AGAAAGTGTGATTGTGTTGTGCTCTAGGATAAACCGAGGCTTTGCTGTTATCTTAAATGTCTCAGGGGGTTGATAGCTAAGTCCACATTCAGAGCATTGATTGCAGAAGTTCAGCAAACTTCTTAGCTCACTAAAGTGAGACCCTATCAATGATTGTCTTCATGGTTACTTGTGTTTTTTCTGTCTACCAGGCGTGCAGAGAAGGCTGCCAGCCGGTCTGCAGGGCTATGTTATGTTCTACTGATTGTTGATCATCAAAATGAACTTTTAGTAACCTATAATGTTTAATTTGCTTATTTATTTAAAAAAATGGTAAAACCCAATGAATTCAGAAAAAACGTCATGATTCTGAACAAAAACACGGACTTGACTGACATAGATCTATGTTTTCCTCTATCTCGTTCTTGCAGCAAGGATTTTATTACTGTTGCACAAACCATTAAACAGTAAAACAATTTTTATTTCACATATTTTCTTCAGCAACAGCCATGGGTCTTGTTCTTGTTTTAAATAAGACTTCAACCAGTCTAAAGAAGGAGAAGAAATAATCTCAAGATGCAAATCATAAGGCGCTTCACAAGCAAAAAAAAAAGTTAAAATGTAAAATAAGGAAAAGTGAAAAAATGTGATTTAAATGTGAGGAAAAGGAAAGACAAAATGATTTAGGAAGAGGTCATCAGTGGATCTCTGGAAAGGAAGAGTTGGTAGAAAGAGCAGAATGAGGAGAAGGTGGTGATGAACCTCATTGATGAATTTCTTCACTCTTTATCTGACAATAAAGCCTAAACATGCGTCTTTACGTTTGGAGCTGACACATTTTCTCCTGCTTTCTGCACTCCTGACCTTAAAGCAGCACTGTTTATGTTACTGTAGCAACTTATGGCGTCATAAATTTCCATCTTACTTTAAAAAGACAAAATTCTCTCGAAAAAAGTCCTGCATGTCTCCTACGACCAGAGCATTTCTTTTTAGCTGTGACATTCTTCTGAGCCTTTCTGAGGACTATCTATGAAGAATGCTAGCATAATGTACAAGTAGTTCAAACCCTCAACCACGAACTGAGTGATCACATTCCAAGTTTACTTCCTGTGCACGCCTTTACAACCAGGAACAAAAGCCAGTTTGTTGGAAAAAAATAAAGTTCATGTGTGCCAGTTTTAGTCTCGTGTACAGAGGACCACGGATCTGGAATGAGCTTGATAAAAAGTTTAAAAACGTTACATTACTTCTCTATCTTTACAGATAAAAACATAGAAAGCACAGATAATCATTTGTTATTGATTATGTAGACTGCTGGGATTATGTGTTTGTTGTTTGTCAATAAATATCTGGCTAATTGTTAAGACTTTTACCTTTAGGCAACTGAGCCCTGATTAAAAGCTTCAGACAGCTTACCTGCGGTGACCTCTCCACATCCAGTTTCCTGTAATGGGCTTGTGCAGATGTAGTATATTGTCTTATGTAATGATGATGCTGTAAATAAACTAAACAACATTTAAACACAAATTAGGATCAGCTCTTCTTGCTCAACCTCAAATATGTTGCAAGCTTTTCCAAGCAAATGTGCAAATGTTGAACTTTCCCCCCACAGAAACTCCAGACTGGCCCAGTTCACCAGGTTTTATTTCAGCCGCCTGCGACCGTACACCGCCTGAGCTGTTCTCCTGTAACTGGTGCTTTTCTGTCCAGTTCCTGTGCAAAGCTGAAAGCAGATAATTTTCCATTCCTCTGCTTCTTTGTTGCATTAGGGCATCTCAGTGAAGCTATTATTTGTAGAGAGCAGAGCGTAAGGTCTTATCATTTACATAAGAAAAATACGAAGTCGGCTAATAGAGTGGGAAGGAGAATTTACCAAAGCGCTGTTAGGAACGTCTCCCTGTCAGTGACGGTGTGTTTCTGTGAAGCAGCAGCGTCTAACAACGTCAGGTTACCAAACATCAAAAGCCCTTTTGGATGCTGCTTAGTCGCGGGTTCATTTTGTTTATTTCTTCTCCATTTTTAATCCTTGAGCTGTTGGAATTTCATTGACATGCAAGCACTTTATTATTTTTTTGACAAATTATGATTTCAGTCCCTCAGACAGGAACATCTGCACGGTAAGAGATAAGCAAAGGAACGAGAGAGGTTTCTTACTCACTTGTGCATAGGGGGCCCAGACATTTTGAAGATAATTTTCAAACAGCTTCTGTGAATTCAAGACTAATGTGCCTGGACTGGTGCATTCTGGGAGGTTTTATGGAATGGTACTGGTTGTCACTATAAGTGCAGTTATTAAGCAAATGTTCTCTTCATGGTCAATTATTATGGTGGTCAAACACAATGCAGACTGCAAACGTGTTGCTAAACCTTGAAATGTCATTACTCAGTTTGAGAAAAACTAAAGTTAGAGCAATAATATTAATTAATACTAAAGATGTTTCTCCTCACCTACTCGTACACTTTTGATTTTTAGAGAAAAACAACACAAAATGTTCCTAATTTTCTGTGGCCATTAAGAGATCTCGGGCTTCCACCCAAGGACTCTGTCAGACTCTTGAAGCTTTCACAATTATATTTTGTTGAAGTTGTAATTACAGCCTTCAGAGGGGTGCATTGTTCTCGCTCCGAGTTACCGGTAATCTCACATTTGAGCAAAATCTGCTCAAGCTCAACATGATTTAAGATGGGTAAGAGGTGGTATGGTCATCGTACAAGGACTCGTAGGTTGACAAGTGTAATTGGAGGCTTGTGGTGTTTCATTGTCCTGCAAATAGGCAGAGAAACCAGACTCTATCCCTCTTTGCTGCAGCTGATGCTTTGGGACCTTTACTCAAATTGGGTTACTTATTCGTTTCAGATAAGATGAGAAATGCACTGAATGAACACACTCATACACACACACACACACACACACACACACACACACACACACACACACACACACACACACACTGGAGGTAGCTTCCAAAACACTTAAGTATATCAATTTTTTTTATCTTTGCCCCTGAACACATCACACTGGAACCTATGAGTGACTTCAAGGTCCTCACTGTTTGAGAGTGAATAAACTCTCCAGCCCAAAAGCCCGGTGATGAGGTCCCCTCATTATCTCTTAAGCTACTCAAGACTGGGCAATGTGGAACACTGCTGATTTATGTTACCCCGTTGAACCTGGGAATGGAGGACAGTTGTTATAATACATGCCAGCAGTTTTTCTAATAAACACAAACTTTTCATCAAAACACACAAACATGGATGTAATTTTTGGGGCAAGGGGGTACAAGTCCTCCATCTATTTTCTTATGGGCAGTTTTGGTCCATTCATGATTTCTTTGACAAATAAGTCACAATTTTATGTAAATTATATAAATTTTGAAAATCAGTGTAAAACTTAGATCATGTTGACCCCAGCACCACCACTATCAATAAAGCCATTTGTGGTCCATAATATGTAGCGGTGAAGATTAGCTACATTTATTAAATGATCAATAAGATGTGATATTTCACATAAATCTGACTTATCAATCTGATTGGTCTTTGAATGTTTGATTTAACATTACTCAAGGTTATTTGACTATTCAGGGAACACACACTTCAAATTAATTCAGACAGAGTCAAGGATATAGTTTTATAAAAATTAAATTGATTCTATTTTCCTAAATTAATGATTATACATGACACAGTTTGAATGAAAAGATGTAATATAAGCAAAATGTTTTGTAGCAAAACCTTATTAATTATCTGAGAGATCTTGTGATTTCTGGGTTGTAAAATCAGTTTGGCTGTATGGTTTAATAAGCTATAGATCATTCATAAAACCATGCAACGCCATTTGTGCCAAGTCTACACACCCTTTTTGTTGAAGGTCCTCATGCAATCCAGGGGGCCAAGAGGTCGGGATGGACACTGCCGGTAGTGGACCTCTGGGCAACAGAACCTGGAACTCGGAACACACAAAAACACACATTTGTATTTTATGTAGTTTTCTGTAGGATCTCGTCATAAATTAGGTCTAGTAGATAGTTGATTTCAGGCTTTTGGTTTCTTTTTCATATAGGCCTTGGTCTAAGTTGCTTTAGATAATTTGATAACGGTGCTTTATTATATATGTATATATGTATATATATATATATATATATATATATATATATATATATATATATATATATATATATATATATATGATTTTTTGTAATCTTTTTCCAAAGTAATTTTTTTTCCATTTCTGAATCATTTTAGTGTGATAAAAAGCAAGTATTTGTTAGCTAAAGGGGCAAATAATAACAGGACTGTGTATGTAGAATTGTTATATTGAAGCAGCGCTAATATTGGATAACATCACAATTAATAATGTAAGAAGAAGAAGAAGAAATTGAAATTAACAGCAACACACTTTTAACTCGTTTGACTTATATTTTTTTAAAGTGATGTTCCAGGACTGGAGAAGGAGGTTTTGGTTTGCTCGGTCTCAAATTTCAACCAGACACAAATTAGTTCGCTTCTCTGTTTCATTTGTTCCGTCTGCTTTTACGTGTAAACACGTAAACACAAACAAGACCGACCGGTTAGCTGTTCTGTAACTGGCCCCGCCCTCACCCCTTAAACTTCCTTGTTTCCAATGCGGTTACCAAGGTGACCGCACAGCGGCGTCAGCGGTTGGCGAAGCCGCGATTACATCAGAGCCATGACGGGGATTCCTCTCCCTGTAGGCTGGCGTGTGACTGTTATGTCAGGCCGTGCTGTGACAGAGAGGCTGAGCCGTGGACGCCGCGGGGAGGAGGCGGCACGCATTTGATACACGTGAGGCGGAAAGTTTTCCCAGTTCAGCCTGTGTTTTTATCCGAGTGCCGAGCTTCGCCGCTGGTTGTAGAGGATGTGTCCGAGCGGAGAGGAACAAGTGTAACTCTGATGGAGGAGGCGTCATTATGGTCATTCCTCTCCAGTGTTTGCTGCTCTAAACACTTCTGACATCAGAACTGCTACCAAGGTGACCCGAACCAAGCTGACTTGAATGTAAGTGATAACAGACAGTAACAGCCGGGAGTGCAACTGAGGCCTTTACCTCGGACCGGTGATGTGTAGGTTTAGTCTTTAAAAATAAACGCATAGTTACAGAGGAGTAATGTCTGACCAGTAACAGCTATAAACAGAAAAACGGAACACAACTTAACTTTTATTTGAGTTAAGGCTTTACTAAAAGAGGACACTAGCGTTAACTTTACTGTTTTTTTTTTAGCAATTTTGAAATCTATTTTAAAGTTTGTTCCCCTTTTCCATAAAATCAAAGTGCAGACGTTCTCTATTGAAGCTGTCCAAACTTGACTTACAGGTTAGGTGACCCATACATAATCCTAATAATGTTCTGTGCTGTTGTTAAATGAGTTCTAGAATGCATAGCTGCAAAGATTCTTTTGACTACAGTGAATGTCTTTGTTCCTGAAGAAATCTCTGAGAGTTCACAGCCATATGACAAACTTCACATGATGTAGGTGCTGAGGGCTGCAGAATCCCCCCCTCCCCCCAGACCTAGTGGTTTTCCATCTCATCAGGAGTCATTGTGTACTTTTCCCAGCAGAACTTCTTGCTTTCTGTTTCTGCCCCAGCTGGGCTGCGTGTATTGACTAAAAGTTTTGTCGTCACTGAGCACACTCCCTGGACGCTCCATCTGCGCCCCCAGACCCCAAGCGGGGCTGACCTCGTAAAAGAGCTTTTGCTGCAGGAGGGATCGGATCTGTGGTGGTTTGCTGGTCAGACAGCTCAGATGTCTGCTCCTGAGCCCTTGGGGTGTCAGGCAGACCGTCTTTAAATAGATAAGCACTGTATGCTTGAGAGGGGCCGTGACCTGTGAGCAAGGTGGTTTTCTGAGACTATATGCATCTCTGAGGCTGATTTAGCAAAACACCGCTCCTCTGTAATAGCTCTCCGGGTTACAGGAAGACAGAGCAGGTAGATTACTGTGTTTTATCTATCCATTGAGAGGCTGGCTGTAAATGTCAAGCTGAGTATTTCTTATGTACCTTAAAAATCCGTCTTAAACCATTCCAGGCAAAGATAACCGAGCACCTGCTGTACATCTGAATAATCAACCCGATTTGTGACTCTAGAAAAACCTAGAACATATTTTACAGTTTAAGAGTCTGTAAATGTGTGTGCCTGGTCTAAAGCTTTAAATCACTCTGTAAAATGTTTTCACACCACCTCCTAACATCATGAATTAGATCAAATATGACACTTTTAAGCTTCCAAAGTTATAGAATTCTCCAATAATAACCGAGGAACAAATCTAGTAGAAGAAAGGAGGAAAAAACGCTGATCAGTAAATACAGGTGCTGAATAAGATGTTATTGTATTATCTCCAATAATCCAGATTATGATTAGCATTGATCATAATTTGTCACAGCAGATAATGAATATTTTCCATTTTTTCCATCTTGTATGCAAAAGTGTTTTAAAAGCAGATAAAACAGCACAGTTTTTTTTTTACTGTTTTAAATTTTAGAGGTATTTCTAAAATATACAACTGTTGGAGCAACATACTAAAATAATGGCAACTGTCTGCTCTTAGAAGCATCACCAGTGGTGTTTTTCCTTTTCAGAAATGGATTCTCAGTTAATTAACTCTGCATTTATACTTTACAGAGTGTTTGCCATGTTTGCTGATGCCCTGGAGACAGCTGGCCGAGTGGAGGGCCTGTCACTGTCCTCCCCGCAACCGCTGGAGGAGGAGGAGGAGGCTGACGCAGCGACAGAGAGGGGGCCGAAGAGACCGGGACGCTACCGTGAAAGCCTGCAGTTTTTAAAGCCCTTCAGGATCACACACAAGTACGGAAACTATGAAATCCCATCTTTGACCTTAAGTCAGGAAAGTGGAAATGTGACAGTCTTTGGCTGGCACAGATGAAAGAGCTAATTGTTCCAGCCGTCTGTCCGATGTGCTGACTTTTAGGGTGTGGTTTGGTCCTATCTCTCAGGGATGCACGGCCTCATGTTTGAACATATGCTATTAGATAAAACCACTTCTGTGCCCCCCCACCCCTCTTTTTACTTCTCTGTAAGATTTTTGTGACGACTGCAAATTACTATCCAAACATTGCAGGTATGATTCACCTGTTATTGACTCTGGCGAGCAAACGCGCCACTTGTTTCTCAGCAGCCTATGCGAGTCTGCTCTGACAGCGTAGCGCCTCTGTGTGGGCTCCACACTTTTAGACACCTCACCCATTTCTACATCTTCTGCTCTATTCCAGGCATCAGCACCCAGTCGATAATGCTGGCCTCTTCTCATTTATGACTCTTCACTGGCTTTCCCCGCTGGCCCTGAAGGCCTACAAGCAATCCAGCTTGTCAATAGATGATGTGTGGGGACTGTCCTGCCACGAAGCCTCCACAGTCAACTGTCAAAGGTGAATGCAAGGCTGAGCTTTCCCTCTGGAATGTGACCTGCGGTGTCTGATTTGAAAGAAACTATTCCACTAGTGAACTTGAAGTAATGTGAAAGTTTACTTACTTTTTGTAATAGCTCATTGGGTCTAATGGTTAATTTTGGTATATGGCATGTAGGCATTTCATAATATGCTTTAAAGCCCCAGTGGTATTTTTACTTGTTTGCTTTCAAACTCTGTGTATCCAGTTCACAAACCTTAAGAACAAAATGAGACTGAAAATGAGACTTTTGGTCACTGATTGGACAGGTGGAGTCACTGGTTGCTCCAGTGTTTTCCACCTCGATGCCCCACAGCCTTTTCTGGGTCTCTTCTTTTCAGAGTCTGACAAAAAAGGCACTGACTAAGCAGAATGTTCACATCACCACCATGTCCTTTGTGTCAGGTGAAGACCCCCCCCCCCCCCCCCCCCAATTATGAGCCCACCCATTAGAGCTGTTTCTCAGTTGTAATAGAAAACCACCCAAATCATGTAGAGCAGAGTCAAGATGAACTGTGCTGAGTAGCGGAGATGCAGCATCAGTCCCAGCTGATCATGGTTCCCACATGGGATGATTGGGTTCATTTACCTGCGTTTTGCTAACCACCAGAACAGACGAGAAGCAAAGGAAGATACGTAAGGCAGCTCACTACATCAAACAGCACAAACAGCTGCATCAGAATAATATTCTGAAGATTAAAGATCTGCTGGTTTGTCTTAAATCAGCTGAGTGATAACGTTTCCCAATGATCTGCAGCAGCATGAAGCAACATGTTGCGTGAATGCCAAGCATTGCTGCACTTTGTAAGACAACTTGGTTTGACCAGGATTGTGAAATAGTTGGGTGCACCATAACATGAAAAGGCATGAAAATAACTAGCTTTAGAATGGAATACCCTACTTGAAGTGTTTACTTATCAACATGCATGTCACAAGCCACTCCTATATACAGTACTATTACAACACTGTATACTATATATCTCATGAATAAGTGGATGAATTTGAGTGAAACATTCAAAAAGTCTTCATTAAATTACAACTGATTAACTTTCTAAATCAACCTGGTTCAAGATAAATGAATGATAAATGACCCACACTTGTATAGCGCCTCTCAGAGTAAGGACTCTAAAGCGCTTTACACTACATTGTATCATTCATCCATTCACACACACACATTCATACACTGATGGTGATGAGCTACGATGTAGCCACAGCTGCCCTGGGGCACACTGACAGAGGCGAGGCTGCCAAGCACAGGCGCCACCGGTCCCTCCGACCACCACCAGCAGGCAAGGGGGGTTAAGTGTCTTGCCCAAGGACACAACAGCAGAATTCTCTGTCCGGAGCCGGGATCGAACCTGCAACCTTCCGATTACTGGACAACCGGCTCAACCTGCCATAATCAGCGTTAGAAAACATCAAAACAACATTGGATTATCCATCTTTTGAGACATTGAGATCAACTTTAAGAGTAGCAGGTGAGCGTAGTTTCCAATACACATTTGGAATTTTACCAGCTCATGTGGGATTGTGCAATAACTAACATAGTGTTAGAACTGAAACCGAAGGAATAAATTCATGACTCCATCATTTCTCAACATAACCTCATTTATCTCAGTTTTGTAGAGGTCAAATTAAGGCCATATGATGTTTGACTCCTATGTTTTGTGTGTGTGTGTGTGTGTGTGTGTGTGTGTGTGTGTGTGTGTGTGTGTGTGTGTGTGTGTGTGTGTGAGTGAATTCTTATGCTTCATAACCATTTCTAGAAACACTCCAATGTTCACCCCTCTGGTATTGTGGCTGTAGAGGTTCGGTGTCACTGTCTCAGCAGACCTTTTATGCCTTGATGATCAGAAAAAGTCTGCATTGTAAAACAAATTCATTTGCCATTATGTTTGATCACAACGGACATGCATCAGGGTTTTGCACGTCCTCACTTCATTGTGTACGTGAGTCTTATCCTTCCGTTACGTAAAGCATCTCTGGCTGTTTTCGTTCGATTATCTGGGTTCCCAGCAACCTCCACCTGCTCCACTGGTGGAATCCCAAGGCTTTCCTTGACTAACACAGAGACTAACACAGCCTGTCCTGGGTCAACTGTCAGGTTCCTGCTATAGGGCCTTCCCCGTTTATGAATTTTGTGGTAAACATGCCCCATACCCCACACTTCTGGAGAATTGTACTGATATAATATCTCAAGTTTTAAAAAAAAATATCACGGACAAATATTGGTATTTTCAAACAAGACACAAAATTACTTTGTAAAGTTGACATCCATATAAATGTACAACCAGAACTAGCCTGCTGTGTCTTTTCCTCTGATGTGTCCCAGACTACAAGATTACACCACATGTATTCGATCGCATGCTGACAACACTTACAGAATAGTAGGTTTTTAGATTTAAAAAGTCTTTGGGTATTGTTCTGCTCTAAACTTTATACTCAGCTTTGTTTATTTAAATTTTTAGGTAGACATTAATGGTTCAGTGAGCATTTTTACAATTTTGTTTTACTTGTTTGTGCATAACCAGTTTTGTGGTTAAAATCAGTTGTCAAAATACCTCAGAAGCTACCATTTAGCTTTCTGAGATGAGTTTTAGTCCTACTGGCCAACAAGCTAATGTCTGTGTGAAATGTAGAAATGCCCCCACTAGCTAAATAAATTGCACCTAAGGAATTCTAGCTGTTTACTTTTGTAAAGAAAACTGTTGCCTCTTTGAAACATAATTTATAGTTCAGAAGATTCACATTTGTAGAAAAAACACATGCAACAGATAGATTTAAAGTAGATTTTGGCCTTTATATCGGATTTGAAAGTCCTAGCAGCACTAATCTTTGTTGACAGTATAACATGTTTGTACAGTGAAAAACAAATCGTTAAAAGACTGAATTAAATACTGTGAAAGAAACTGATTGGGTTCATAGTCCTCAAGACGTTTGAACTTTCAGCAAACGTTCCCTGAACTCTTAGAAAATAAACACAGTAGCTTCTTAGTGCTTCAGCTCATTTCATGTTCATCATTAGAAAAGGTCGGGGGGAGCTTATTTCAAAACTTTAAAAACTGGCTGATTTCTCAGATCTTGTCCAGTTGCTTTCAGACCACATCTAAGCAGCCGTCATGCATTCTAAGTTGATATTGCACACAGCCAGAGATGCTATAAGAATCCATTTCCACAGCTGTTCATAAGAGTGTTAGAATTTAAAATCCTCCGTTGTCTGCAGAAGACCTCCAGGAAGGCCTGATGCCTTCCGAAATCTATGCCTGCAGACTAATGCAGTCAAAATAGAACATTTATGACACAATGAGCAAAGATAGAAAAAGCAGTGCAGATTTTTCAAATATATATAAGAAGACCACCTCTTCACCTGTCAGGAAAGGGAGGTGGATCGATCTCACTTTGAGCTCACGGTGCAGCTGTTTCATTTTTCAGGGGAATAAAGAATTCAATTAAATCCTGGAAGCAAACATCTCTGCACCTCATAAGTGCAAACATAGAATAAACCAAGACGTCTTCTGCAATAGGATAATGCTTCTGAGGATGTGTAAAAATCTACAAAAGGTGTAGTTGAAGAGGGCCCAGCTGAAGGCTTCCTACATGGTGTTCATGGTTAAATCTGTTGTTCTGAATAATGAACTACATGCTAAAAATCTAACTAACTAAAGGATGTCTGCAGACTTGACTGCAACAAATGTTAAACAGGAAGTAAAGGGCTGGTTGTTGTCTGGACTCTGGCCTTTCTAAACACCCAGCTACGCCAGAATCTTCTTGCTTACTTGGCAAGTACAACAGAAAGTCCGTACAGGAAAGCAAGCAAGACATAACCGTACTCCATTACTTTATGTTTAATGAAGAACACTACGTGTCTTGTTAATCAAAACAGGAGTGTGTAGGGCAATGCTGTTTTTTTTTACAGTGGGTAAGCTAGCATTTAACAGTATTGTGAAGAGTCCCAAAAAAACAGCAAATTTCACAGGTTACACACAATTATCTACAATAAGATTACTTATTTATTTAAACTTAATTATTTGTATTTTCATATAACTTACATTGGTGCATCCTTGATCAAATGGGTGGAGCAAGAACACATCTGGGAACTTTGAGCATACTAGCCATGATGTTTACTTAGGACTGGAATAGTACTTGTGCCATCAATGATGATGTTTCAGTACACAAGTAAACAATTAAGACAAGTAGAATTAACCCTCCCACTGTCCTAATGGGTGTGACCCTGCGAGGAAAGTTGACCATTGAGCAGGGTTGATGGTTTATCCCTTGGGTCCACGTGGCAGGAGTGAGGAGTGAGCACCACCTCACCCCTGCCACGTGGACCTCAAGGGATAAACCATCAACCCTGCTCAATGGTCAACTTTCCTCGCGGGGTCACCCAAGACAGTGGGAGGGCTAAGAGATGGCCTGAGTCTCATGTGCTGCTAACTATTTCTGTAGCTAACTGTATAGCTTCCAGCCTTTTACCATTTTTATCTTGTTGAAGCTGTAAAGTCTGATAAATAAAAAAGGGATCTTATCTAAAATATTAAGCTAATGTGTCACTTTTCCGTGGTTTATATGGACTTTGCTCAAACTTTTGCAGTTTATTTTTTGTTCATGGATTAGTTTTGTTATATGCTTCACTGTTTGTGAGTCTCAGTCTGTTCAGTGAGACTTCAGCGATAAACAGTCAGCTTCTGTTTACTAATACAGGAATGCTGAGTTGGAATCAGGCAGGTGGATCTAAGAATAACGGGGATTAGAGATTACAGTGAGAGTCGTTGCTTGACTCGTGTGCTTTATGTCACCCCTCCACTTGTAACACACACTGTCTCCTGATCCCTATAATTAGCTGTCACTGACTGTCTCTGTTTGCTCGCCACACTGCACTTTAAGACATAAAAGAGCTCAATTCTAGTGAATGACCTATCAGGATTTACAATAAGCTTAATAGAGGGCATTTGGATGCTGATCCCCAGTGAAAAGAAAACCTGTGTTTTTCCATTGGTCATGCGCTGTCACATCTCAGTGCCATGATTCAGCAGTAAAGAAGAGGTTGAGACTATTTGAGGAAGTTCTCTTCTGTCTGGTGACAACTGCGTGGGTTGTGGGTGACTTATTCTGCTGAACGATTGTGGCTCGGGGTCTGGCTTATTGCTGCCGCTGCTGCTTTTGTGTGTTAAAGAGCAAATAGAAAAGAACCAATAAAGGAGCACAAAGCTATCACGCTGTCAGGGTGGATGCTGGAGACGGGGAGGCTTTATGTTGTGCCTTACATAGAAAGAGCTGTTATGCAATGCTGATGCAAAGCAGAGATGGTGTGCGAGGGAAAATTGGAACGGCACCCTGGGAGAGTTGACACTTGTTGGTGCTCAGTGAGGTGCGAACCTTGAACGCAGTGTCCCGGCCAACTCTGTCTTGAAACATCAGCTCTGCGTGCCATCTGGTTGCTGGCTGTTAGGAACATTTCATTCTTGTTTAAAAAAGCAAAAAAAAAAAAAAATCCTCATTCAGTGCGGATTCTGTTGCTGGAGTGTTCTCCTTTTAATCGATGCATGTATTTATAAACATATTTAAAGTCTAGTGTTGCATCATGGAGATTGTTTACAGTTGAAATGGTGTTATTTATGCAGAAAATCACCAGTAATTCTGCATTAATTTTAAACTAAAACACATTTTTCTTTCTAGTTAGGGTTATATTAAATCTGTTATTTAGCAGTAGTGTGTTTGTTCATGTTCTTTTACTGGTTTTTATGTTTTGGATTAGTTTTGTTTTTGTAAATTGAAAAATAAATGTCCTTAATAAAGGATGAGCTACATCTAAGGCGTAGGGCCAGGTACGTTTCTACTCCTGCCTGCTTCTTCTTCAAAGAAACGATTGTATAATGGAACTATGATTGAATTATCATGTAAGTAAATATATTTGAAAAGTAATTATTACTACTACTAATAATAATAATACTAATAATAAAACAAATTATTTTGTATTTAAATTTTATCACCAAAAATATTACAAATAATTTTCCTTGTTTTCCTGCTTGCATAATCAACGTATTTAACAATAAATTAAAACATTTTATGTAAAAGTTTTATGTTTCTAGTGAAGTAGCAGGTCCACCTTAAGAAATTAATTAAAGGTGGACTTTTTTTTTCATTTAAAGTTCAGATATTTGGAAAGTGGTTTGAGTCGGATCATTAAAGCCGGGTGTACGCTGTGCGACTTTTTCACTTGTAGCACTCAGCTTAATCTCATATTCAGGTTTGATGTTCGTTTGGCTGCACGGTTACAGATAGGGAGCTGGTCGTGAGGTGTTAATCGCCTCTCGTAACTCTCGTATACTACATGATGCAAACTCGCCCTGACCTCAAAGATTCTCGTACAAGAGGAAAATCAACTCAGGATGGTCAAAAAATTGCACAGTGTATGCCCGGCTTGAGCAATTAACATCTTACCTGTTGAAGATGTTTTTTTAAAGGGCCTGTGTAGAAAAAATATTAGCTCTAATTGAGAATATTACAATTAGAACAACTAATGCTTAGTTCATACTTCTCCATCTGTGGAGTTGAGGAGACATGCAACGCCAATATCTGTTGACACCTGTCGAACGCAATGGAGAGCACACGTTTGTGATTGGTTGGCCCAACAACAGCCCTGGATCATTTTCGGCTTGACGCTACTTCCTTTAAATTTGTCAAAAGCGCCAGTGCTTTTTTTCTTCCCGGTGAATTCTTTGTAAAGTTTTTGTTCCTTGAGATCTAGCAGTTACAACTCTTTGAAAAATTGCTCTCTGTCAGCCATTGCTCCTTGAGTGGTACTGCGTGTACAAGCTGAAGTAAATAAACTGCTGTCGACCACAGATGCTACTGCAATGGTAGGTAAACCTGCCAGAAAATGTATACGTCCCCGCTCTCCTGGTGGAGAATTGCTTTGCAAAGCTGAAACACCAATGGAGAAGTATAAAAGGAAAGCTTCTCCATCAAAACGTATGTGTGTGTGAGTGCAAACTTGCTAACTGAGAAGTATAAACTAGGCTTAAGGGTCACTTAAAACAATTCCAATCTCAAATGTTTCATAGCAGGGTATAAATATGCTGTATTATGACCTTTAAATTGACGTAGATGTCACATTTCATGGTTACTTTGGCAGAATATTAATGAAATTCCACCCAGAAGATCTACAGTAGCTAGCTCTGCTGTAAATATCTACAGTACTCTATGTAAACAACCATGTAATGTGACATTCACATTTTAAAAGTTCTTAAAACAACTGTTGGATAAAACGTTGCTCAGAAATTATCTCTGAGCTTGTTCAAATAGCAACAGGTAAGATCCTAACTAACCTTTTCAGAGTGAGGCTTATTCTTTCTTTTCTTAAAACTGTCACTTTATGGAAAATAAAGTTTTAGTTTCAAACTTAACCAAGAACAATTCTCAGGAAGAAGGAGTATTTTATAACTAAAGTAAATTAAGTAGATGCTGAAGTCAAACGTTTCTAATCACACAAAACTATAAGAATTAACATCACAGATCATTTGGACCAATAGCTGTGAACAAATAGCTAAAACTACACAAAGAAACGTGGAGATTTCTTTTTCTATTGCTACATCAGAGTTCTTCCTTGACTGGAGGAACCTTGTAGATATTTGACTGAAAAGACCTGTTTTTACTCAGAAACAATCGTCTTTGCTTTCACACAGAGCCTAGGTGTTTCCATTGCTCCTAACACAGCGCCATTATGGACATTCCAACTTAAATTTTGACATTGCCTCTCAAGTTCTTCAAAAAGTCCTTATTACGACTCTATTAGTTCTCATATTTGAGCAGACTCAACAGCTTTCAGCTGCTGTTTAATTGCGATTTCCAAGATTCGGCAGCATTTGACTTGGAGTCGTAATTATCAGGCGTTGTGAGAGTGTAGTTGGCTTAATGCTCTGTCTATCTGTGATACGTTTTTAATAAAGTCGTTTGGGCATAAATTACCTTCTGCAGCTGCTGTGTTATGGAGTCATTAGCCGTGAAGCATTTGGCCAACAAGATATTTATCCACTTGAAGAAGCATTACGCAGCAATAGAAGTACATTAGCACATCTTTAACATGGTTGGTACCTTTCTGAGTCTAATTATGTCATGCATCATTCATGATTGTATATCGGAGGTCACCTTTACATTATTATCACGCTGGCTGCCTTAATTTTTCTCTAGTGGTTTTTAACTAGAATGATTGCCTGCCAGGTTGTTTATACCTCCCGTTGTACCTCTGGGCAGTCTGATAAACTGCTTTTACATAATTTAAGGGGAAAAGAGCAATACATAAAATATCCTTTTTATTTATTACAATTTTGCCCTTCATAAAGGCCAACTTTTACATGCAGTTAACAGGCAGTGTTACAGCACTTTGTACAGAACTCGTGCCAGCGATTGAAAAAAAGTCATCAGGTTTCTCATTATTCGTGCTCCTGATATTTTGGTTTCAGACTTGAATCTTTGTGGCACGATGAGCTGAAAAGGCGCGGGCGGGAAGGAGCTTCTCTGACAAGAGTCTTCTGGAGGTTCTGCCAAACTCGTATGCTGGTGGCCATCTTCTCCCTCCTCCTCACAATGGTGGCAGGCTTCGTTGGGCCAGTGAGTCCTGTCCAAATCTTCCATTTCTCTTTCTGCTGAGCTGATTTGGCTTTGAGTACGATTGCTTGCTCAGAGCGCCAAGTCCATGTATTTATTTACTTTAAATCACTTCATCCTGTTTCATGTTGGACTAAAGATTTAGAAGAAAACGTATGAGGAGATTACAAAGCTTCCAACAGTAAAATCTATATTTATACAGTTTTATATTCTGACAGATTTGGATTGGTGTGAGTGTAAATATTCAGAAGAGTGCATATTTCTGAACTGATCACAGTGAATTAATCATTTCTGAGTTCTTCTGTTTGTTGTTTTTGTTTTGATTTGATGATTTGGTATGTGTGCCCCATTAGATGACTCCTTTCCTATTTTATAGCATTAAGTGGATTTATTTTTCACACAGTGCAGCATTTGTTAGACATCCCTCATCTATTTAAGGAACAAAGCACTTTATTATTTCTGCAGATTAGCAAGCATTAAAGGCCGTAGCAGCCTTCTTGCATTTTATTCTTTATGCCTTCCACCCTGAAAATGTTTTTAATCTATTTTATGTTTCATCTATGTTCTGTTATTTGTATCCATATTTATATCTCATTTAGCCTTGATCTAGCTTTCTTTTTATTTGTTCCGTGCCCACTCATCCCTGCTCTCACCGTTCCGTGCCCAGGCCCTTCTGGTCCGAGCTCTCCTGGAGTATTCCCAGAGCCCGCAGCATTCTGTGCCGTACGGCCTGTCTCTGGTAGTTGGGATCTTCCTCATGGAGCTGATGCGCTCTTGGTCCCTGGCGCTCATGTGGGCCGTCAACTACCGCACTGCTGCACGCCTGCGCGGGGCAGCTCTCACGTTTGCATTCCAGAAGATCCTCCGCCTGCGCAGCACTAAAGACATCAGTCCAGGCGAGGTAGGCTGCAGGGGACTTGTGCCCAAATTAAGAACATTTATCTGCAAAGAGAATTTAGATGGGTTTAAATCTGACCATTTCATCAAGCCTGCTTTGGTCCGAACAAATCAGATGTTCTGAGGGTGGGGAAACGTAGAAACCTGTGTCTTGGTTTTAGCATTTTAGAGATTTTAATGTCTAATTCGTGTTTCCAATCGCTGTCTCCCTCTTCAGCTGATCAACATGTGCTCCTGTGACGGACAGCGGCTGTATGAATCTGTGTCAGTGGGTTGCCTGCTGGTGGGGGGGCCCTTAGTGGGGATACTTGGTCTTTTTTATACGTCCTACTTCCTGGGCCCCACTGCTCTGCTGGGATCTGCTGTTTTCATCATCTTCTACCCTATCATGGTATGTTGAGGTGGTTTTTGAGCTGTTGTGAGCATCGGAGAGGAGTCTGAAGAAACAAGAATACAGGGAGTGCAGAATTATTAGGCAAATGAGTATTTTGTCCACATGATCCTCTTCATGCATGTTGTCTTACTCAAGCTGTATAGGCTCGAAAGCCTACTACCTATTAAGCATATTAGGTGATGTGCATCTCTGTAATGAGAAGGGGTGTGGTCTAATGACATCAACACCCTACATCAGGTGTGCATAATTATTAGGCAACTTCCTTTCCTTTGGCAAAATGGGTCAAAAGAAGGACTTGACAGGCTCAGAAAGGTAAAAAAAATAGTGAGATATCTTGCAGAGGGATGCAGCAGTCTTAAAATTGCAAAGCTTCTGAAGCGTGATCATCGAACAATCAAGCGTTTCATTCAAAATAGTCAACAGGGTCGCAAGAAGCGTGTGGACAAACCAAGGCGCAAAATAACTGCCCATGAACTGAGAAAAGTCAAGCGTGCAGCTGCCAAGATGCCACTTGCTACCAGTTTGGCCATATTTCAGAGCTGCAACATCACTGGAGTGCCCAAAAGCACAAGGTGTGCAATACTCAGAGACATGGCCAAGGTAAGAAAGGTCTGAACGACGACCACCACTGAACAAGACACACAAGCTGAAACGTCAAGACTGGGCCAAGAACTATCTCAAGACTGATTTTTCTAAGGTTTTATGGACTGATGAAATGAGAGTGCGTCTTGATGGGCCAGATGGATGGGCCCGTGGCTGGATTGGTAAAGGGCAGAGAGCTCCAGTCCGACTCAGACGCCAGCAAGGTGGAGGTGGAGTACTGGTTTGGGCTGGTATCATCAAAGATGAGCTTGTGGGGCCTTTTCGGGTTGAGGATGGAGTCGAGCTCAACTCCCAGTCCTACTGCCAGTTTCTGATAGACACCTTCTTCAAGCAGTGGTACAGGAAGAAGTCTGCATCCTTCAAGAAAAACATGATTTTCATGCAGGACAATGCTCCATCACACGCGTCCAAGTACTCCACAGCGTGGCTGGCAAGAAAGGGTATAAAAGAAGAAAAACTAATGACATGGCCTCATTGTTCACCTGATCTGAACCCCATTGAGAACCTGTGGTCCATCATCAAATGTGAGATTTACAAGGAGGGAAAACGGTACACCTCTCTGAACAGTGTCTGGGAGGCTGTGGTTGCTGCTGCACACAATGTTGATGGTGAACAGATCAAAACACTGACAGAATCCATGGATGGCAGGTTTTTGAGTGTCCTTGCAAACAAAGAATCAGAATCAGAAAAGGTTTATTGCCATTGTCAGTGAACAAACAATTCACAAACTAGGAACTTGCTTTGGTACTAATGTGCTACATATAACATGAATAATAAGATTAAAAATAGAATAAAATAGAATAAAACTTTCAGCTATAAAAAATGGCAGGTAATGGTAACATGGCCGATAACGTGACGCTGTGTCGAGTACAGAAGACGAGCATGGTTGTGTGTTTATAAGCTATTCACGTCTAACGGCAGATGGAAAGAAGCTGTTCTTATGGCGGGAGGTTCTGGTCCGGATGGACCGTAACCTCCTGCCTGAGGGGAGCGACCTCCGACCTGCACGCCCCCGAGTTCTGGAGACGTACAGGTCCTGGAGAGATGGAAGGCTGCAGCCAATCACCTTCTCAGCAGAGAGCACAATGCGCTGCAGTCTATGTTTGTCCCTCACTGTGGCTCCAGCGTACCACACAGCGATGGAGGAGGTGATGATGGACTCAATGATGGCCGTGTAAAACTGCACCATCATCTGGGCCAGCAGCTTGGCCTTTTTCAACTGCCGCAGAAAGTACATCCTCTGCTGGGCCTTTTTGATCAGGGAGCTGATGGATGGCTCCCACCTAAGGTCCTGTGTGATGGTGGTTCCGAGGAAGCGGAAGGAGTCCACAGTGGTGACGGGGGTGTCTGTCAGGATGAGGGGGAGAGTTGGGGCTGTGACTTTCCTGAAGTCCACAATCATCTCCACTGTCTTCTGAGCATTGAGCTCCAGGTTGTTGCTGCTGCACCAGTACACCAGCCATTCCACCTCCCTCCTGTAGGTTTCACTGGTAAAAATAAATAATTGAAATGGGTATATATTTGTTAAGTTGCCTAATAATTATGCACAGTAATAGTCACCTGCACACACAGATATCCCCCTAAAATAGCTAAAAGTAAAAACAAGCTAAAAACTACTTCCAAAAACATTCAGCTTTGATATTATTGAGTTGTTTGGGTTCATTGAGAACATGGTTGTTGTTCAATAATAAAATTATTCCTCAAAAATACAACTTGCCTAATAATTCTGCACTCCCTGTACTTCTAACAAAGTAAAACCAGATTGTTAACAGTTTATAGATACGATTTGTTTTTCCAAAGACAGAAAAGTTAATTTAGGTTATCAAAGCACTTTGTTGCTAATGATTTCCTATCAGCCTTATAGTTAGTTTCAAGATACAAAAATGACACCCAAGGCATAGCCTGTCAGCCAGCGAGCCCGGTGTTGATGTGAGAAGCGTTTATCTCTCCGATCCCCTGGACAGACCTGTAGCATGGCTAATGGGATTGTGTCTGCTTTCATTTCCTCTCCCGCCACTTATTTTGTCATCATTTCCCCTGTTCCTGTCTGGACAGATGCTCGCATCGAGGCTGACGGCGTACTTCCGCAAGAAGTGCGTGGCGGTCACTGATCGGCGCGTGAGGCTCATGAACGAGATCTTGAGCTGCATAAAGTTCATCAAGATGTATTGCTGGGAGGACGCCTTTGCACAGAACATTCACAGTGAGTGGCTGTTGTGTTTCCTAAATGACTCAGCTCAATGCTTGGTGCTTATTTCCTGTTTGGGGTGTGAAGCCGGTGGTTTTTCTCAGAACTTAATTTGGTGCTTATGTGGCCTTCACTCAGAAAATTGTCCCACTTTGCTTGAACACCTGTCACCTGCAGAAGATCAAGTGGCAGGTGTGGAGAAGGGGTGAAATCTCCGTCACAATAAATATCTCAAGGTTAATTTGCATAGCGTTTGGGGCCTTACGATACTTTGATTTTCTGTTAAAGCTGTTCATCTCATCTATGAGACGATGGTCTTTTTCTTATGTGGTTGTAGAAAAGATATTTTCCTCCTTTTAATTATTCTTCAAATTAACCAGGTGGGATTGGATGCTGCTGCTGCTCTATAATAAGCCATTACAGTGATTGGTATTCCCTCTAATTACTAACGAGCCTGAAGAGTTACAGAACCATTCCTTTCAATTAGTATCACTATTACATGGATGATCAGAGTTTTTGCCTGAGATGTATGACTCATTCTTTGTAGTTCACACAGAAACTATCTAAGGGGAATCTCAACAGTGTGAGACGCACCAGGAGGAGGGAGTTCTCATATTTCACACGCTGTGCTGTTGGGGCGTAAGATGCTCAGGCTTCTTGCTCCTGCGTTTGCACCCTGTGTGCTGGGTTAACAAAGCAGCCAGCACATGCATTTAAAAGATACACACAGGGTCACAGAGGTCGGGGATTGGGCGTTAGGCCTGGAGAGTTTTCAAGGCTCAGCAGGTTTTCAAGCCTGTTTCAATAAAGGCGGCTCTTGTCCTCCCTTTTTTATCTGTTTGTGTTTTCACATCGTGTTGGGTTAGCGGCTCTGGGGGTGCTGTGGGTTGAGTGTTCATCGAAGAACCCTTTGAGAGTCACTCAACCCCTTTATATATTTTTTTTCTTTGCTCTTATTCATTTCTCTCTTTCATGTCCCCTTTTCAGAGGTACGATCAGAGGAGAGGGGGATCCTAGAGAGAGCAGGGCTCATCCAGAGTCTCACAGTGGGCGTGGCTCCTATTGTCGTGGTGATAGCAAGCGTGTGCACCTTTACCCTACACATGGCCTTGGGTTACGACCTTACTGCAGCTGAGGTATTTAGGAGTTATGGTGTTTACTCTGTCACTGTCTGCTAAATCCCCTGAGTTGGGACATGACTATGGGAGTTTTGATGTCAGAAACTAAGAAAAGAAATGTTACAAATGTGTTTCTCCATCCTGGTACGTCCTTTACCAGGCTTTCACAGTGGTCGCTGTTTTCAACTCCATGACCTTTGCCCTGAAAGTCACACCGCTGGCTGTGAGGGCGCTGTCTGAAGGTGCTGTTGCAGTCAAAAGATTTCAGGTGAGGACAGAAACATCTTCTGGATATATAATTTAAAAAACTCCCCTGCATTAGTTATTTTTGTTTACATTTTTTACTTTTTTAAATATGATGGGTCATGCTGAGTTTCACGTGCAGGTTTAACTTGAAAATAGTCTACTCCTCCTATTTCCTACTTTAGCCACTGATAAAAATATGGTAAATGGCCTGTATTTGATATAGGGCTTTCTAGAGTCCTGGAGCCCCCCAAGGCGCTTTACAACACAATCAGTCATTCACACCCAAGTGGTGATGAGCTACGATGTAGCTACAGCTGCCCTGGGGGCGCACTGACGGAGGCGAGGCTCCCGAGCACTGGCGCCACCGGTCCCTCCGACCACCACCAGCAGGCGAGGTGGGTTAAGTCTTGCCCAAGGACACAACGACTGTGACAAACTGAGCGGTGCTCAAACCTGCAACCTTCCAATTACGGGGCGAGCACTTAAAAAGAGCAAGTCACCCCCTTCCAGATTCTTACTCAACTCCCACTTCCTGTTTGAAAAATGCAACAAATGCTGTTGCCTAGCAGACCGAGAGGGCGGAGCCGCTAACAAATATACACACACACACACACACACACACACACACACAACATTGTGAGATCATAATGTACCATCTAACATCATAGTGTACCTCCTAGCCATTAGCGATGGCAGATTTAAATTCGATTGCAGTGCAGAGTTTTTGCCTGACGACGGCGCATCGCTGACAGTTTTAGGCAGAATATTTTAATTTGAACTAAGATGCACTAAAGTGCCGAATTATTGACTACACGCGTCTGCAGCACGATAAGACACTCTTTTTATGTAGTTTTTCAGCAAAAAAATGTTGATTTGGAGTGACTTGCTCTTTAACTTCTATGCCACCGTCACCCCATATAGATGGGAACATGCTTGGATTAGACAAAGCCAGTCAGATCTACCTCACACTGAAAATGAACATTCATGGACTCATTCATCTTGACTCACGACGGGGAAGGCTGCTGTTGGTTTAGTGTCCAGGAAACAGCAGAGAATGTCTCTGCTAGTATTAGCTAACTGTTAGCATTAGCAACTCCACAACACAGCATAAAGCCTTCAGGCTTGGTATATTTGTGGAGATAAAACATCAGTGTTGTAGAGTGAACAGAGTCAGTGGTAGAATTGCGTTTCTGTTAGCCAATCAGACGCGAGATGTCTGAATATCATCAATAATAATGAATAAAACTCGAAATTCTTTCATTTTCCGCCCTCCCCTCTTTTCCAGCTAACTTCTACTTCCTAAAGCAGGAGAGCCAGAGCTTTTTTCCGAATAGAACGACTCACCAAGCAGTCATTTATACCAGAGACCACACAACATTTATTGAAATAACGAGTTAACGAGAGCTTCAAAAGAGATTTTGAACATTTCCTCTCAATAAAAGCAAATGTCAATTTCTGCAGGTCATCAGACTAAAATAGAGTCAGTATACAGATGCAGTATGAGAATTGGCATGCAGGTTTTAGCCTGCTTAGAGTGAATAAAAGGCGATCCTGTTGCTAAAGACCTTTCCACCCACACCACATACTGGCATTTTTGATGTACTGTTTCCCAACACATGTTTAAAAGTCATATGCTGGTGGGAGAAGTTTCACACAGCCAGCTGGGGTTAAGTAAACAAGCATTTCTGCCAAGGATCCACTAAAAGACTCAAGCTCATCTGTGGTTGAACTCATGCAGTGAATAATAAAACACCAAAGTGCTCCAGAACTGTACAAGCTGTACTCGAAGACTTGAGCTCTGTAGTGGAGTCGTTGCTGTGGTTCTGGCTCGTGAAACCACATAAACAGTCATTTATTTTTACTAAATTGATTTTAATTGTCCTTTAATGAATAACTGCTGTAAAGTTGCGTTTTTATGGGAAGAATGTTTTAGAATTTGGCTTGTTTGACTCCTCAGAGGCTTTTTATGATGGAAGATCGAGAGGTGATTTTAGTCAAAACAGAGGACCCTTACAACACGGTGGAGTTTCGGGACGCCACGCTGGCCTGGGAAAAGGCTCGTTCCCCGGCCACAAAGTCAAACCCGCCTCCTAAGAAGCAAGGAGGAATAAAGCGTGTGCTGCGCAGAGAGAAGCTCAGCTTGTACATTTCCTCTGAGAACGACAAGGAGAACAAAGATGAACCCAATGGACAAAGTCTCCTCACAAACATGGAGCAGGAGAGTCCGCAAAGCACCATCTCCTCAACTCAGAGCATGCGGCCCCCGCTGCACAAGACCTTGCATCGTATTAACTTGCAAATCAAGCAGGTAACAGAAAAAAAATACATCGGGGGAATGTTCCCTAAACAGTTAGAGAAGCCTTCATCTGGATCGTATCATTCTTTTGTTCAAGGGTTCTTTGGTTGGAGTCTGTGGAGGCGTCGGGAGTGGAAAGAGCTCTCTTCTGTCAGCTTTGCTTGGGCAGGTCAGATGCTGTTATGGTGTCTTTCATGAGTAATGAAAACATCTTTTTTGGCTCACTCCAATTCCCCCAAATTAGAAAAGTTTAAAAAAACCATTTTCTGAGTCCAACTTGGTGTTTTTGTGCTGCAGATGACTCTGGTGGAAGGTAAAGTGGCTGCAAGTGGCAGTTTCGCTTATGTGTCCCAACAAGCATGGATCCTTAATGACTCACTGAAGGAGAACATTCTGTTTGGACACGAATATGACTCAGTCAAGTAAGACCATCATTTGCATAATGATGCTGCAAAAACAAAGCATCCAGGCTTGGTTTACACCATCTCCATTTTTGCTTACATTTTTTCTACATCAGATACAATGCTTTGCTGGAAGCGTGCTGTCTTCTCCCGGATCTTGCAGAGCTTCCATATGGAGACATGACAGAGGTTTGTGGACGACATGTCCCAGCTGTAAGCTTTGATTTTCCTAACAGAACAGATCACTTATTTTTTCTTCTCTCTAGATAGGAGAGAGAGGTGCCAACCTGAGTGGAGGACAGCGTCAGAGAGTGAGTCTGGCTCGTGCACTCTACAGCGAGCGGCCCATTCTTCTCCTGGACGACCCGCTCAGTGCTGTTGATGCTTGTGTGGGTTCACACATCTTCAACAGAGCCATTCGGGGCACCGCTAAAGGGAGGACCGTGATCTTTGTAACGCATCAGCTGCAGGTCAGGACCCACTAAAGAGTGCTTCTAAAGCTGATGAGGATCAGCAAACACAGAAACAGCCATAACACATAGCATACCAGCCGAGAGTCATTCTCATTCAAATGAATGCTAACTGATTGTGAAACATCAACATTTTGTGAAGTAGCTCACAAAACATAGAACGGACTTTTATTAAACACTCACAAATTAACTATCAGATGTACATCTACAGTTAATTACCATTGATTGTGTCCAATCCAAGATGGCTGCTCAACTAATCAATCATAGTAAATTCAAATGTTGAGTCACACTTTGATGCAGTGAGCCCCCTTCAGACAGGCCATGACAAACGGAAATGTTCCGGACTCTGTCCGTAAGACCTTTGTGTCTGAATACAAACATCCGGATAACGTGTTCCGTAATTTATCCGGACGAAGCCCCTAGTAACAGGTCCGGACTTGTTACGGACAGGGTGGCTGCTTCAGACTGGTGAGGTAGAGTTCCGGACAAGGGGGAGGGGGAGGAGGAGGGGACCGGGGGACGCCGTGCGCACCTAGATAGCCCGCTGCTGTAGCGTGCGGCGAACCACGGCAGCTCGCCTCCTACGGTACCGACTAGACGCGCGACAGAGCTCTTCACACCGCTTCACACCGCTTCAGTGATTCCTTTAACCATTGAGCTTCATCATCCAGGTCTCTTATGCGTCTTCGTGTGCACAGAATTATGCTTAAGCGCCTCGTGATTTTTATCTTGAGAGGCGTTATAGAAATGATATTTTCTTCTTCTTCTTAGCATGAGTCCGATTCCCCCCACCCCCCCCCCCCCCCCACCCCCCGCCGCCGTCAGACATCTGGAACTTTTCCCTGCTGTGTGAACGCAGCCGACAGGACAAGTTCCGGTACAAAAGTGGTGTGTCTGAAAACACAGTTCCGGTTAAAAACCGGATTGAATTGTCCGCAAATGTTCCAGAATGTCTATCTGAAAAGGGCTTATTTCCAACATGCTCCGAGTATTCACTAATCTCACATGCTCTTGTAATCATGTTTGAGATTACGCGTAATGTTTGTTTATTTGTTTATTTAAGGATCCCCATCAGTCTTCCCCAGAGTAAAGACTATTCTCCTGGAATCCACTTCTTTAGAATACGTACAAAAATTACAGAAGAATATGATCAAACATAATAATTACGACTTATTAAATTTATTTGATAAGCTTTTGGTGGTTGTGGAGGGCAGCTGTGGCTACATCATAGCTCATCATCACCAGTGTGTGTATGTGTGTGTGAATGGGTGAATGACTGATTGTGTTGTAAAGCGCCTTGGAGAACCCCAAGAAGGCGCTATACAAATACAGGCTATTTACCATCTAAGATGACAAGAGTTCAGATTCCAACAAGAATAATAAAACAAGATATAACAATATAGTAATACTTGTTAACACTTTACAACAGCGGTCCCTTCATTAACGTTGCTTAGTGCGTTATTAAGCATTAATAAACTATTTAATAAAGTATTAACAGCTGCTTAATCATATTAACAAACACTATGATAATTTATTACAATATTTTCAGAGTCTAAATATTCCATAATGACACAGCCCTGTGTTTTCCTGTTTTCTGTTGGGGTTTTTTACCTCAGAAATGAAAGGTTGTGGGTAATAGTCATCATTTCAAGGGACTTTTAATGTCAGTCTACTTTCCCAAACTACCAGAACTTTCAAAGCAAACGTAGATCCTCCTGTTATCTGAACATTTTCTAAACAGTATCTGAAAGAAATTATTTTGTTGCTTCCTTTTCAGTATCTGCCTGAGTGTGATGATGTTGTTCTGATGAAGGATGGGCAGATTGCTGAGCATGGCACCCATGCACATCTAATGGGTAAAGAGCGTGACTATGCCACCCTATTCAACAGCGTGCAACAGGAGGTAAGGCCAGGGGCACAGGAGGAACAAAGACAGCTCCTCTGAATAAAGGATCTTTGCCCCTGCTACACTGTAACACTGAACATTACAGGCTGAATAATTCATGAGAACAGACAGACGGGCCCAGTAGCGCGGAAATGTTAATGTATACCAGGTCTTTCATTATTTATGTGTGAATTGATTCACCGGTGAGCTGAAAAAGATTGCAGCACTCGTGTCTTTGTTTAAAGACAGCATGTTGTTATTAAGGCTGTTCTGGTTTGTTTTGGTATTGTTCAGAGTTTTATTCACCATTGCTGTGCTCGTCTTTGCAGAATCTGGTGAGAAAGAATTTGAAAAACAAACAACAAACCGAAGCAGTGAAAAAGGTTAATGGTGCTGTTGATGTTGCCAAGATCAAACCAAAGGTGGAATGCAAGAACAGAGGTGAGAGAGCCTGTCACATCTTACTCTAGACTCCAAAAGGAAGCTGTAAACGTTTTCTTCCTTGTCCTTGTATTCAGAACAACTGATGAAAGCTGAGGAAAAAGGCTCGGGTGCAGTCGCCTGGCCTGTGTACGGAGCATACATCAAAGCAGCAGGGGGTCCAGTAGTCTTCATCATCAATGCCCTCTTCTTCCTCTTTACCACGGGCAGTATAGCCTTCAGTAACTGGTGGCTGAGCCACTGGATCAGGCAGGGCAGTGGGGTAAGCCAAGAGATGATCCTGCTTCATTATAAAAGACGCCTCTCTTTAGTGTGTGTTCGGCTCCCAAAAGAAAAATAACTACTGTGCTTCAGTGAGTTGTGGCAGCAGTCTGAGCATTAATCTGAATGTGCATGATTAAAAAAGTAACGGCACCTCAGTAAACTTAATTAAAACAAGCATGAGCGCTTGAGAAACAGATGTGCAGCAAAGCAGGCAGCCGCTGCTGTTGAGAGATGTGCTCGGAATAGCAAACATCACCAGACTGACTGATTTTCAGCGCACTTATTTTAAGCCAAGATGTGCTTTTCTCAGTTTTATTAGAGACCAAATGGGAAATGTTTTTTTTCTTCCTCTTCGTCTTCTTCATACTTTGAAATTTGTTGCTCCATCTGCCCTCAGAACACATCATTAATCTCAGGGAACGAAACGATGGTGAGCACCAGCATGAGGCTCAACCCTCACATCCAGTATTACTCAACTGTTTACGTCGTCTCCATGGGCGCCGCCTTACTTCTGAAGACCGTGAGAGGGCTTGTGTTTGTGAAGGTAAGCATCCTACACGCTTTGTCCTGTTTTAACCACTAATGGACCTGGCAGTGATATAAAATCATGATGTATTATTGGGCTTTACAGTTAAGTGTTCCTCCCTAATTGTCCTTTTTTCATGCTCATGTGGTCGAGGCACTATAATGGAAAATAGCTGCTGGCCAAATCCTATTAGCATGTTGTCTACTGCTACTCCTCACCGCTCTACAAAGGCTTTAGCCCCATTCCCACCTGTACCGGGTCGGCCCGGGCCGGGTAGCCCCAGTCGGCCCCAGCCTGGCCCGGTTGATTCCACACATCCTTGCCTTAAGCCCATGTGGGCTGATTCTACCCACCAATCAGAGGCTTGCTCTAATGGAAGGTGTGAATGGGCTGATTCTACCCACCAATCAGAGGCTTGCTCTAATGGAAGGTGTGAATTTGCTGTCAGCAGTGGGCGTGTTGGCCCTGGTCGGCCTGAAGCAGTACCCCTCGGGAAGAGGGCCGAGAATGAGCCTTGGTTGGCCGGGGAAAATTCCAGGCCACCCAGATATGTAATGGGCCATTCCCATCTGTACCGGGTCGGCCCGGGCCGGGTAGTGTAGGTTGTTTACATATCTGGGTAGCCTGGTATTTTTCCGGGCCAACCAAGGCTCATTCTCAGCCCTCTTCTCGATTGGGTCTGCTTCAGGCCGGCCAGGGCCAACACACCCACTGCTGACAGCAAATTCACACCTTCCATTAGAGCAAGCCTCTGATTGGTGGGTAGAATCAGCCCACATGGGCTTAAGACAAGGATGTGTGGAATCAACCGGGCCAGGCTGGGGCCGACTGGGGCTACCCGGCCCGGGCCGACCCGGTACAGATGGGAATGGGGCTTTGGTCTGTCTGTCAGCCTGTCTCTCTTGTGTGCCCCAACTTTTGGCCTGTATTGTATGTGCATGTGCATACGTGTGTGTGTGTGTGTGTGTGTGTGTGTGTGTGTGTGTGTGTGTGTGTGTGTGTGTGTGTGTGTGTGTGTGTGTGTGTGTGTGTGTGTGTGTGTGTGTTTGTGCATATGGTGTGTTTGTGCATATGTGTGTTTGTGTATTTGGTGTGTGTGTGTGTGTGTGTGTGTGTGTGTGTGTGTGTGTGTGTGTGTGTGTGTGTGTGTGTGTGTGTGTGTGTGTGTGTGTGTGTGTGTGTGTGTGCGCGTGTGTGTGTGTGTGTGTGTGTGTGTGTGTGTGTGTGTGTGTGTATTTGCATGCACTTGTGTGTGTGTGTGTGTGTGTGTACTTGCATGCACTTGTGTGCGTGTTTGTCTGCGTGTGTGTGTGTTTTTGCATGTGTGTGTGTGCATGTGTGTGTGTGTGCTCGTTCATGTCAGTGCCCCCTCCGGGTGTGCATCCTCTTTTTCCTCACTAACCCATCCCGACACAGCACCACAGAGGTTAGTCCCCCCCACGTTAATGCGTGCCATTTAAAATGGCTAATTCTTCAAAGATGGCTGATCTTTTTTTACCTCTAGCTGTGACAGGATCTTTTGCAAGTGTTAAATATTCCATTAATAGAATTAATTTGTTCTTTGCTGCCACATGTAATTTCTGTCCAATTGGCGAAATGTCTCTTGCGAATTGGGTCATGACCTTTATGTAAGCCTCTAGAAACTCATTATAAATCAGGATTTGACAGCCTTCCTCGTACGAGGAAAGAGAACAGCCACCCAGTGCCATGCACATGCTCAGCATATGGTGAGATAGTCTGTGGAAACTGCAGGCAACATGTGAGCACCTCAGCATTGTGAGGCTTTTTTTCTGTCTGTTTATCCCACTTATGATTGCTGCCATATGTTTGTCGAAGCAGTTTGTTTACATGTGTCAGGTCTCATGTTCAAACACAACATGTGATTTGCTTCGACAGTGCACCACGAAGGCCGCCTCTGTGCTCCACCGCAAACTGTTTCGCCGGCTCCTCTTCAGCCCCATGCGCTTTTTTGATACGACACCTCTAGGTCGTATCCTGACCCGCTTCTCCAGGGACATGGACGAGGGTGAGGCTTGATTTGTCTTGACTGAGAATCTTTCCCTCAGGAGAGCTCTCAGTCAGTGATGTCACTGTGGTTGACAAGGTGTAGTGCTGAGACGCAGCGTGATTTGGCATGGAGCCTTTTCCCTAGTGAGTTGCTCTCTGTTATCCACTTCACTTGCGTTTTTCTTTGACATGTCTATTTTTTCTGTTACCTGCAGATCTCACACACCAAAAGAGAGGGAAAAAATTAGCTTTCAGCAGAGAATCCGTTTTTCTAGCCAGCTCCTGAGTTGTCTGAGGAAGTAGAGAGCTCATCTCACTGTTTTAACACAGTTGGATCATTTCAGCTTCAACTTGGATTCATCTGGTTTCTTCTTGTCTTTGGGAACCAGAATTTTAATGTTCTTTTTTACCTTAGAAATGGTCAAATGTCTCCAAATGTGTTACTAAATATAAACCAGAATGGGTTCTCATTTGTTTAAGATTAGAGATCAATCAATATGTTTTTTCTGGTACCGATGCCATTATGCAGTGGTCAGCTGTTAGCTGACGTGCTGCTGAGTTTTTGGGCCGATTTTAGTGGCCGATATCAATAAGACGTTTTTACCCTATTTGCAGGCTAAAATGTTGCTAACGCCAACAGGGGATGCACAGCTTTTCTGAACCTGAATCCTTTATCGAACAGTGAATTTAAACAACCAGTTAATTTTGTGCAAAAGCAATCATTTACGTTAATCTAACAAATTAATAAACTGATCAAGTATTAAATATAAAAACAGCTAAATAATAATAAATGTCTGTTGACTATAATGTTTTAGAGTATTTATTAAGCAGATATTTTTCTGGAACATAAAGATACATCTAGAGACAGCAGTAGCTCAGGAGGTTAGCGGGTTGTCCAGTAATTGGAAGGTTGCAGGTTCGATCCCAGCTCTGACCAGAGAATGCTGCTGTTGTGTCCTTGTGCAAGACACTTAACCCACCTTGCCTGCTGGTGGTGGTCGGAGGGACCGGTGGCGCCAGTGCGTGGCAGCCTCGCCTCTGTCAGTGTACCCCAGGGCAGCTGTGGCTACATCGTAGCTCATCACCACCAGCGTGTGAATGGGTGAATGACTGATGGTGATGTGAAGCACCTTGGGGGGTTGTAGAACCGTAAGAAGGTGCTATACAAATACAGGCCATTTACCATCTATATAAGATTTGGCAGCAGCACCAGGCTGCCCATGGATTTTTAAATCAGCTCTACACAAGATTTATATTGGCTGATGCCAGTAAATAAATAAAAATCTGAATACCAGCTCAATTTATTGGCTGACCGATCTATTAGTCTATCCCTGTTCAAAATGGGCCTGTTTAAACATCCCTTCTGATTTCTGTCTGCATTTTATTTCTCCTCTCTGCAGTGGATGTGCGACTGACCATGCACGCTGAGATGCTGCTGCAGAACCTAACTCTGGTGCTTTTTTGCTTGGGGATGGTGGGCATCGTCTTCCCCTGGTTCTTGGTCTCCGTTCTACCCTTGGGTGCCTTCCTCTGCATTGTCAATCGAGTCTCCAGGTCAGACTCTTTTTATTCTTTCACTGTGCGCAGGATGGATGAAGCCCTGTTATCGGAGTTGTCTGTAGTTGTTGTTCTTTATAATTCACTGACAGCTGCATGTTTTCCACCCAGCTAGCACTGAAAATGGTGATTACACTATAAATGTCAGAATGAAGAAAGCATGCTTCAAATCTGTGTAGAACTTCATTATTGAGAGATGTCACGGTAACCGGTGTAGCGGTAAACCCCGGTAAAAAAAAAAAAGTTGACAGTAATAATAACCATCTTGTTTTTTAAAATATATATTATCTCAGTGGATTACCGAAGCTGCGATGTAGGCGCGGTGACCCTTACCAGCCACCGTATCATCTGCTGAAGTTGCCGGCGGCACATGCGCACTTTGTTGTTTACAACCAAAACTTTCTTGAAGCTAAAGCTGAAATAATGGCCAAAGGAGGAGACGGCAGCGCTCAGGACATTTATTATCCCTCAAAGAAGACAAAGTGGGAAGTATGGGCATTTTTTTGGATATTTGGAGAATGCCGAGGGACATTTTATAGAAGACGGCTATCCTGTTTGCAGCACGTGCAGAAAAAGAGTCTGTGAAAGGCAGCAACGCTTCAAATCTCATGACACATGTGCGTGACCATCACCCACAACTTTACAGTCAACGCAAGGCAAGCTAACGTTAGCGTTTTAGCTAAAATGCGTGATCCGAGGATTTGGGTTGAGGGAGAATGCAACAAGTCGCTATATAAAGCAGCCGCAGCACCGCTACCTGCATATAAACCGTGTCGCGGACACCCCCATGTTGAAATGATGCTATGCATTACGGGGCTCCCAGGGGCAGATGAGAGTTGGTCTCTCTCCGAGAATAGTTGTGAATTTAACAATGATTACTGCCTGATGACATTTTCCCACATCTGCAAAGCTCACTGGAAGAACACAAACCGAGGACAATATTTTCCTGATATAGGGTTTATTACTCAAGTAAGGGTAAAAAAGTATCTGATTAGAAGGCTACTTGAGTACGGAGTATTATCTGATCTAATATTTTTAAATGATGACATCAAACAGAAAAAATATAAGAAGTTATGCACAAATATTGGTATTTTAAAGACTAAATGGAAAAATGTAAACAAATAAACAACATAATTACAAAATAACAAATTTTAGGCAAAATTTAGACACAAACTGAGGGCTATTTTCCTGATATACAGGGTTTATTTAGTTGTCTGAAAATGTAACACATTAAAAAATACCGCTATTATACCGAAAACTGTGATAATTTTGGTCACAATAACTGTGAGGTTAAATTTTCACAGCATAACAACCCTAAATGAGACCCCCGGAGTGCGTATTTTTTACTTTACAAAATAATTTAATGTATGTGTGAATTTAAATTACAGTACGTCCACAAACTTAAGCAATGATCAGTGAGAGTGTTAATAAAATAACCTATATTGGCAGATGTGTAAAGTTTTAAACCCTGTGTATGGGGGTAAATTTAGCAGAAGTGCTCTGGATGACCTAATGGCTCTATGTTTGTCATTATTTGCATTTTGCAGAAGTTGTACAATAAAGGTGAATCCACCAAGGGGAACAGCAGCTTGCTGGTGTCATTAGAAATAAACCACAGAATCATTTTTTCTCTTTCTGTGAGATCAGAAACACACTTCATCCATTTCACTGTTTTGCTGAATTTACAGTAAATAAGTTTTAAGTGCATTTGAAATGTTTAGTAAGCACACTGCAAAAACTCATTTCTAAGAACATTAAAAAGTCTAATTTTTAGACATTTTATCTTATTTTTAGTCTAAGAAGAAAAAAATCATTCTTCTCTAGAAAAATAACATTATTCAAAATAAGGTAGATTTTCTTAAAGAGCAGTAACACCTAAATTACTTTTCTTGCTGATAACCTGTATAAATGAGTATCTAATAGTGCTGTAGATGTATGTAATATTTATTTTGGCAGTTTAGCGCAACTCACTTAAAATATGATATTTCTGCCCAAAACTGTAACCATATCCACCTTTAGGTTAACATTCTGCTCAGCCTTGATTTAGGATCAGCCACAGCTGATTGCTGTAGCGCTGCAGGGTGACATTGTCTGTGCAGTGCTACGTGGCTGCTCTGCACTGGACCGCAACTCCACCTGGCTCAACCACTCACCTGCTGATATGACAAGTTGGTGCTCAGAGATGCTGGACTTAAAAAAACATCCTCCACCCCTTTCTCCTATTGATCGCAATGAACAGGAAATCCTCCTTCCTGCAGTCAGTTTCTGTGTCTGCTCTTTTCTTGAGCGGTGATGAGTCAATGCTCCCGTGCGCGCACAGGTTAACAACTCATTTTTTTTTTGTCTAAAAACTAAGAGCTCACTCAGGGTGGTTGAGGGGGGTGCTGTCAATCCTTGCTTCAGTGCCACTCTCTCGTTCCTGCAGGCGACACCTTTTTTTTCAGGTATTTTTCGAACAGGAAATCCGGTTGAATTAAGTCTCCACCCATGGAGACTATATGGAGACTCCACTATATGATCCAAATTTTCTTGTTTCTGGTTATAAAAAAAAATCTGCCAGTACAGCAAGCAAAAGTTGCTTGATTAGAATTCTTAAAACTAGTAAGATAATCTAATTTTACATTTATTAGCTAGTTTTAAGAATTCTAGCCAAGCAACTTCTGGCAGCTCCACTGGCAGTTTTTTTTTTTTTTTTTACTCGAAACACAGAAATTTGGATCATATTTAAGAATGTTTACCTCATTTACAATAATGATATTTTTCAAAAGAAAAAAAATGTTTCTTTTAGACTAAAAATAAGCAAATGGCTAAAAATTAGGCTTTTTTGCTTTCTTACAAATCAGGTTTTGTCAGGTGTGGCAAAGATGGACGACCATGTGGGGAAGAAGCTCTAAAGTATATTTTACTCCTCTTCTTCATGCTTAATCTTTTCCCTGTCGAAATTAAAACGAATCATTTCCTTAACCAGATTTGACTCCTGCTCGTTAAAGATGGCTTTCATTGCAAAATGTCTCAATTTGCAGGCACTTATCGTTGTGAAATGCAAGCAGAATAAGAGATGAGCTTTGATAGGGTAAACAGCACACCTGAACTGGAAGGAAGAGAGGATCCCCCAAGCGGGTAAAGTTGTGATAACCCCTCGGCAGGGCTGTTCAAAAAGGATCATCATACAAAGTCACAGCGTCCCAGGATGTGTATGGGTGTTATGTAAAAGTGGGTTTCCCATAGAAATTACCCACTTTTTAAAGCTGCTTTTATAGAATTGTAAAATGAAACTGCCCAGGGCATCAACATGTTTGTGTGCAAAGCTGCCTGGAAGCGAGGAAGTGTCATGTTCTTTCCTCATCTCCTCACAGCTTTTATGAGGCAAACCAAATGATTCATGGGAGACTTGTAATTCCCAAACACCGTCATTCAGTCTTGGCAGCTAAAGTAGACACAACCCTGCCTTTTCCACACGCTTTCCCGCCACGTCGTCCTACACAGCGCGTGGCTCATTGTTGTGACCGTTGTTCGTGCTCATCCACAGCCGGATGCTGCACCATGGACCGTATCCCGCTCTGGGCGTGGCCTCATCCTTACCTGTCTGCAGCAGCATTAGAGCTCAGACTCTTTCCATTCCCTCATTCACATTTTTCCCTCAGCCCTCAGCTGTGTGAAGATGGCAGATGAATTTAACTGAACTGTAACATACGTGCCTCGGTTTTTAAAAGGGGGTTCTTTCTCACAGCCTCACATTTCATTCAGTGTTTTAAGATTGCGTCTTCTGTTCATACTGTGCCGTGTTTTTTTGTGATTTCTCACTTGAGTTTAATCCATTTAGAAAGTTTCCTCCTCAAACGCAGCGTTTTAATGCAATAATCTCATTTACATTCAAGTGAACAGCAGTTCTACAGTGTTTCACCACATTTAAGGATAACAAATCAAAGTAGAGTACAAGTTGTTTTCTGCAGCCACCACTTGTAATTTGTAGTTAATTACACACTTAACAGAATCTGAAGCTCATCTGCTCATCTATTTTCAGAGTTTTCATTCGTGAGCTGAAGCGCCTGGAGAACATCAGCCAATCACCCTTCACCTCTCATATAACCAGCAGTCTGCAGGGACTTTCCACCATCCACGCTTATGAAAGAGGGCACAGCTTCCTCCAAAGGTGAATGCAATGTCGCCTGTCACGGACAGATGGCATTAAACTTTAAACTCATCATATGGCCTCTTGTAGTTTTTTCAGTTTGCTCCTCAGCTTAAAAAAATATCAGACAACATGCAAGAAAAATATTCTGCTTCCAAATAAATCAGCACACATCCCTGCTTGCTGCTGCTGCTGCTGAGAGATCTGGTCCCAGTAAATGTATATATATACCTCTCTCTCCTTTTCTGAAGATACCAGGAGCTGCTGGACACCAACCAGGCCACCACCTACCTCTTCAGTTGTGCTATGCGCTGGCTGGCTGTCCGCCTGGACCTCATCAGCATCTCTCTTATCACTGCTGTGGCACTTCTCATTGTCTTCATGCACAGTCAGATACCTCCAGCCTATGCAGGCCTGGCCATTTCGTATGCAGTGCAGGTGTGTAAACAAGCACATAAAAACACACAGAAAGTAAGCAGGCCTTATCTTCTGAGATGTGTGTTTGTGCAGAAGCCCCATTTAAACGGTTTCATAGAAAAACTCAGGTCAGAGTTTCACCATGTCTCGTTTTATAGAAAAAACATAAGACTAATTAATTCAGTTGTGTGAATTTTCCTGCAAAGGCTCTACTTTTGTAATTTTAATTCAGGCTATTCAGAAGGAAAATAAAACATCTGGATCTCCTTTTGGCTCTGCTATCACCCTCTGGTTTGAGAATGAAAAGTTTGACCAATGTTATACGAGGTTGTGTGTTTAAATCAGATTATGCTGTATTACTACAAAGAAGATGCTTTCATTATGTAGCTGACTGGTTATCTGCACTGACCAAGCAGAGGCAGCTCCTCTCTGTCCCAGATATGTCTCAGATTAAAATAGCACACCAGAATTTCATCATGCTTCTGCCTCTGTACCTTAGAAACAACAGTCAGACTCAAGCAAGAGTCCAGCTGGAAAATCACTTGTAGACCAAACTAATCAGTTTAACATAACAAATATCTTCTTTAAATTTTAGCGCAAAATAGTAAAGTATCTAGGTCTAAGTCTTAGGGAGTAGGTTAACTGTGAAACAGTTATTTTACTTGTTGTTTCTGAAATACTATCACTCTGAGTTTCACATGCATGTTATACGTGAAAATGGTCTTTAACCCCTATTTTGAGCATTAGCCTCTGATAGAAAACGGACAGGGAAACACTCGGATTAGAAAAGCCAGTTAGAGCTACGTCACATTAAAAACTAGCATTCGTGAACTTACCCATCTTGGCTCACGACGGGGAAGCTTGTTGTTGGTTTAGCATCCAAAGCAGAACTCCTCCAGGTTTGAGTTATTTGTGAAGATAAAACATCAGCGTTGCAGAGCCATGTTGCTGTTAGCCAGTCAGAGGCGAGATGTCCAAAAATCACAAATATTAATGAGTTAGACTCCAAATCCTGTTGTTTTCTTCTACTTTCTGAAACTGGAGCACCAGAGCTTTTATCCACAAGGCATTAATTTACAGTGGGGCAAAAAAGTATTTAGTCAGCCACCGATTGTGCAAGTTCTCCCACTTAAAATGATGACAGAGGTCAGTAATTTTCATCATAGGTACACTTCAACTGTGAGAGACAGAATGTGAAAAAAAATCCACGAATTCACATGGCAGGATTTTTAAAGAATTTATTTGTAAATCAGGGTGGAAAATAAGTATTTGGTCAATAACAAAAATTCAACTCAATACTTTGTAACATAACCTTTGTTGGCAATAACAGAGGTCAAACAATTACTATAGGTCTTTACCAGGTGTGCACACACAGTAGCTGGTATTTTGGCCCATTCCTCCATGCAGATCTTCTCGAGAGCAGTGATGTTTTGGGGCTGTCGCCGAGCAACACGGACTTTCAACTCCCTCCACAGATTTTCTATGGGGTTGAGGTCTGGAGACTGGCTAGGCCACTCCAGGACTTTCAAATGCTTCTTACGGAGCCACTCCTTTGTTGCCCGGGTGGTGTGTTTGAGATCATTGTCGTGTTGGAAGACCCAGCCACGTTTCATCTTCAAAGCTCTCACTGATGGAAGGAGGTTTTGGCTCAGAATCTCACGATACATGGCCCCATTCATTCTGTCCTTAACACAGATCAGTCGTCCTGTCCCCTTAGCAGAAAAACAGTCCCAAAGCATGATGTTCCCACCCCCATGCTTCACAGTAGGTATGGTGTTCTTGGGATGCAACTCAGTGTTCTTTTTCCTCCAAACACGACGAGTTGAGTTTATACCAAAAAGTTCTACTTTGGTTTCATCTGACCACATGACATTCTCCCAATCCTCTGCTGTATCATCCATGTGCTCTCTGGCAAACTTCAGACGGGCCTGGACATGCACTGGCTTCAGTAGCAGAACACGTCTGGCACTGCAGGATTTGATTCCCTGCCGTTGTAGTGTGTTACTGATGGTGACCTTTGTTACTGTGGTCCCAGCTCTCTGCAGGTCATTCACCAGGTCCCCCCGTGTGGTTCTGGGATTCTTGCTCACCGTTCTCATGATCATTTTGACCCCACGGGATGAGATCTTGTGTGGAGCCCCAGATCGAGGGAGATTATCAGTGGTCTTGTATGTCTTCCATTTTCTGATAATTGCTCCCACAGTTGATTTTTTCACACCAAGCTGCTTGCCTATTGTAGATTCACTCTTCCCAGTCTGGTGCAGGTCTACAATTCTTTTCCTGGTGTCCTTCGAAAGCTCTTTGTTCTTGGCCATAGTGGAGTTTGGAGTCTGACTGTTTGAGGCTGTGGACAGGTGTCTTTTATACAGATAATGAGTTCAAACAGGTGCCATTAATACAGGTAACGAGTGGAAGACAGAAAAGCTTCTTAGAGAAGACGTTACAGGTCTGTGAGAGCCAGAGATTTTCCTTGTTTGAAGTGACCAAATACTTATTTTCCACCCTGATTTACAAACAAATTCTTTAAAAATCCTGCCATGTGAATTCATGGATTTATTTTCACATTCTGTCTCTCACAGTTGAAGTGTACCTATGATGAAAATTACTGACCTCTGTCATCATTTTAAGTGGGAGAACTTGCACAATCGGTGGCTGACTAAATACTTTTTTGCCCCACTGTATATGTGTGGCTGCTGCAGATTTAGAGGAAAAAACAAGTGAAGGAGAGCTCTACTCTTGCTACTGCTAAAACTGTAGCTTAATTTTTTTTACCCAGTTTTAATTATATTAACACAGAAATTGTTTGCTCTCAGATTGTTTGTCTGATGATTGTTATATTTTTAGCTCGTGTTGTAATCAACACAAAGATCAGAGCAAATAATTGGGATCAATTAGCGTGATTGTGAAGGAGGCATGTCAGTGAGTCTGTTTACAGCTGGGTTTGCTCGTGTCTAAATAGCCAGTGATTTAAAGTAATTGGTGTGACAGTGTTAATCATTAACCTTTTTAACTCTCTGCTTGTCTTTCACTTTCAGTTGACGGGATTGTTTCAGTTCACGGTGCGGCTGCTCACTGAAACCGAGGCTCGTTTCACGTCGGTTGAAAGAATAAACCATTATATATCGGTAAGTGGAGACAAGACACAGTACAAGGCAGGACTTCTGCCACGCAAACCACAACATCAACTTTTATTTCCCTGTCAATAAAGGAAAGCCCACAGAGAGAAAAGCACTAGAACTCAGTGAGGTTACTTGTTCCTCTTGGAGATTCAGAGATTAATACCAGATCACATCGCTTTGCTTTATCTCAGAGTCTTGACAGTGAAGCACCTCGACAAAGTCCTGAGGCGACTACTCCTGCCCCCTCCTGGCCTCAGCAGGGAAAGATCACCTTCCAGGATGTGAGCATGTGTTATCGAGACAATCTTCCACTTGTGCTCAAGAGCCTGTCTTTCACTATCCTCCCCGAAGAGACTATCGGCATCGTGGGCCGCACCGGATCAGGTACAGCTGACCTTCCCTGCTCCCTAGCCGGCAGCGTCTCAGCTTACATTTAAATCTCTGTTGCAACATGTCCACAATTGTTAAGCACAGCATCTTTTCTGCTATGTGTTTACAGGAAAGTCCTCTCTGGCTGCAGCTCTCTTCAGGCTGGTGGAGCCAAGCGCTGGCTCCATAATCATTGACGGGATCAATACTGCGCAGATCGGCCTGGATGACCTGCGGAGCAAGCTAACCATCATTCCTCAGGAGCCCGTACTCTTCATCGGCACCATCAGGTAATCCAATTATGATTAGTTTCATCCCCGTAGTTGTGACTGATGCATTATTCTGTTGTACAAAAGTCATTTTAGGGGGATAAAACAATTTGGGTAAAATGGAAAATTGTGTAAAACAGTTATTTGCATAGGAATTAAGGCAGAAGATCAGTTTTAGCTTTCGAGCAGGTGGTTAGTATGTCTGCCTGTTTGTTTATACAGATGGCAACTACCTTCTAAAAAACATGTTTATTCAGTCTTTATTTCTGAAGCTTTAATGTATTTTCCCTAAAAAAAAGGAAGTTTCTTTACATTTACATATGTATTTTAATAATCCCACATATTAAACACGCATCATTCATCATTGTTATCTTACCTTCATAGTGTGGGCCTGACAGTCTTTCTTTCTATGTAACCTTTGTTTTCTCCCATAAGAAAATCATATGTCTAACGTGACAGGAATGAGTGAGTTGAATGCACATGTGCAGAATGTTCTGGGAATGTATTAGAAAGTGGGAAACATTTGGCAGGCTGTGCAAGCAGAGTGAGAATATTAGGTTATGTTGTACTTAAGACGTCTTTAATGTTGCATCTTGGCAATCTGATCCCCCAGAATGTGCAGCCTGTGAACCATTAGCTTGTAAAAGTTCTCTTAGCAGCAAGTAACAGGGCTATTGCACAGAGACTGTGCACAGAAGATCCAGTTAGACTGAGTGAATGGCTGAACAGAATAAAAGTGATGTATTTCATGAAGACTTATATACAGCTTTAAAAAAGTCATTACTAGAAGGTTAAAATTGGCTGTTTTTTTTATTAATTAAGATGAAAGTTCACTGAGAAACCATTTTTACTTGTTATCTTTGCAGTCACTCTGAGTTTTTCATGCAGACTGAACATGAAAATAGTCTCCTACATCTATCTCCTGCATTAGCTTCTGATAGAAAATAGATGGTGAAAATCTAGGATTAGAAAAGCCTGACAGATCTACGTCACACTGTCACTTAACATTCATGGACTCACTTATTTTACTCGTGACGGGGAAGGCTGTTGTTGGTTTAGCGTCCAGGAAACAGCAGAGAACGTCTCAGCTCGTAGGAGCTAACTGTTAGCATTAGCGACTCCACCACACAGCAGAACTCCTCCAGGCTTTTGTTATTTGTGGAGATAAACCATCGTCGAAAGTACACTGAGTCAGTGGTAGAGTCGTGTTGCCTTTAGCCAATCAGAGGTGAGATGTCCAAATATCAGGAAATAAGACTCCAATTTCTGCCGTCTTCTGCTCAGCTCAGTTGTGGCTCACTTTTATCTCCTGAAATAGGAACACCACATCGACTCATAAGGCGTTCATTAATTCTAGAGTCCACTAAAGATCTGTTGAAAGTAACGAGTGAACTTGGTCTTTAAATAACAGCTATCAATAACCATAGCTTCAGGTAGTGATTTTGAGATCTGCAGAGTGCCAAATGGCTTACATTAATGGAAAATTTTCATTCCTGTTGATGAATATCCCAATTATGGTTCATATCCCCATAGGAGCAATTTAGACCCGTGGGATCAATACTCTGATCTGGAGATCTGGGAAGCTCTTGAAAAAACCCAAATTAAAGAGATGGTGAGTGATAAGATGATGGTGTAGTAAATGACACAAACCCTTGGGTGAAACTCTGTGAATCCATCCTCAGGTCAGTCAACTGCCTCATTCACTCCACTCGGAGGTGACGGAGAACGGAGAGAACTTCTCGGTGGGAGAACGGCAGCTGCTCTGCGTGGCCAGAGCCCTTCTAAGGAACAGCAAGGTGCCGACTGCATAATGCCGCCACCTCACATTTACATTTCAAACCTTGGTGATGATCTCTCCAGATTCAGTAAATGAGAGAAGAGCTTGTGTTCTTCACTGAGTGGGATACCACTGCCACCTGGTGTTTGCCATCTTTACTGATAAAGAGCTAGACCTCTTATGTTAGCGTTTGTAGGGCCAAATACACACACACGCACACAGTAATTTGACCTTCCTTTGAAACAATTATTTTTCTTTTCTGCTTTAGATTCTCATACTGGACGAGGCAACAGCAGCCATCGATACAGAGACAGATCGTCTCATCCAGGAGACCATTCGCAGTGCGTTTGGCAGCTGCACCACTCTGATCATCGCACATCGTCTCAACACTGTGATGAACTGCAGCAGGGTCATGGTCCTCGACAACGGCCAGGTGTGCATAAATGCAACACGACTCTGCCGACTGAAACACACTCACAAGCTGAAGCTGCTTCCACTCGACTGTGTGAGCAGAGCAGCACCTTAAAGGATATTTCAGCAGTTATTAAGTATTTCTGTATAAAAGTCAAAAACATTTCTGTGACAATAACCGTGTAATACTTATTGTGTAAGGAGTCTATAAGCTCTTAACCATCACGCATATATTAAATAGCACTTAGTCGAGTTGGAGCTAAAAGAAATCAGCCTTAGTAATGTCTAAATATTTCAATCTTAATGGTGCATTATGCAGAAATGAAGTAAAAATGACATCCTGTGGTAAAATGTGGTTTCTGCAACCACTTTAAACAACTCTGGAGCTTTTTGCAAGCCATCGTCAAATTACAATTGTCATCGCTGCAAGATTAGCTTGCAGGAGACACGGCATCCCCACACTCACTGTTGGTAAACAGTAGTTACGTCCCTCCTTCTTTTGTTTTGAAAGGAGAAAAACTGACAATCCCCACAGCCAGCTGGATGTGAAATAGGGCTGGGCAATAAATAAAAAATGTATCGTTATCGAAATGTCTGACTCGTATTGAAACAATTTGTCCTATATCAATAAATTTGATAATAAAAAAATTTAAAGTTGTGTGTAGGTTGGCAACGTTCATGTACCTTTAAGAAGCTGTACTACCTTGAGTCACAAGTGACCCAACTCAACGTAATACATGTGACAGCCCCACCTAGTGGACAACTTTTGTTTCTGCACATACCTGTAGTTATCGTCCATGTATCGTTATCAAGGTGAAATCCTCAACATATCGTGATATTGATTAAAGGCCATATCCCCCAGCCCTAGTATGAAATGTTTCAGTGTAACCTTCCTTCCAAAATGACTGAAACATTAGACTCTTTCGGAATTTTCTCACTGTAAAGTTCTCACTATATTCTTACATACTGCATCTTTAAAGGCATAGTCAATTATTTGCCCCTTTTCTGGTTATAAAGTAGAAATGTGTGTGTCAAGATCTAACAGGGTGGTTGAGCACAATCCAAGTGTATTTTTTATTTCACCGTCAATGAGAAAGTTTCCAATTTTTAAGTGCTAATGATTTCCCCTTTGTCCTTTTTGGGTTGTTGTTTTTGTTTCCTGTAGATTTTGGAGTTCGACTCTCCTGCAGCTTTGCTGGCAGATGAAAACTCAAGATTCAGAGCCATGATCCAAGCATCGGAGAGCCAAAGCTGAAATGATAAATAAAACACTGGAGTTGAGAGCTGCCCAAAAAAAAAAAAGCAGTAAAAACACATTCAAAACTACACAGTTTCACCAGTCCTGTCATGATGTGCTGGAAAAAGAAAGAATCCAGCGATGGGAGATCTGTGTAACAGTGTCTGTTTTCTTTCTTACCACGTCAAAGATCCAGAGACTAAATTCATGTCCTAAAACACGTCCAGTCTCACTATGCAAAATGAGATTCGACGAAACTGTGGTGTCCACTGCCGTTTCACACAAGTTATTTCCTAACGGCCAACTGCAAATCAAACTGAGTTCAGACTCAAACAGCACTTTATGTTTTGTGCGGTGCTTCCTTTTTCCTTGGAAGGTCAGTAATCAGTGAAACTTTAGATTAGTTTTGGTCTTTTTTTGTCACTAAGACCTCAAAGTGCAGGAACTTACTTAAGATAGTATTTTGTTTGCTGTGTCATAATATTCAGTTGAAGTATGTGAGGATTTTTGTTAATTATTCATTACAGAGTCTCTAAGATAAACACTTGTTTTACATTCCTATGAGGCACTGTCTAAAAGATTTTGAAAATATTTTCGGTTTTTTTGCTGCAGTCTAAAAGAATAATATTTGTGCGTATTATTTCAAGTGAGATATGTGCCTAGAGAGCTATTTTTTTAAATAATGGAGTCAGCCATGTTAGACTGTGTGCAAGCAAAGTACTGTGCTTCAAAACTGAGCTAAATGTCCCAAATGCTGGAGTTTAAAATGTGCACATTTTACACTTTTTTTTGCTAATATTCTACAAGCAAAGTTGTTTCGATGTTGAATACAATCTATTCATGTGTTGCATTTGAAAAGTACTGTATGCAATTTGCAACCAGGGCAGGATGATGATCAACATCTGGATGTCTTTAAATGTTTCTCCAAATCTGAAGATCATAGACTTTTTGCCTTATAGTCAAGTATTTGCTGAACAATCGTTAAAAAGTGCAATATGTTATTATTGCTTTGATACTTTTATAACATTGCCTTTTTACACTTGGGATTGTAATGTTGCAATACTTTTGTTGAGTGTTCAATAATAATATAAGTTTTTGAATAAAATATTTTTATATAAATGAAAATGTCTGGTTTTCTAAATGTAAAAGAGAGATGTGGACATGTGAACTATGTGGAGAAACTTGTTTGTTGTTATTTCAGATTTAAAACAAATTTGATAATTTAGTGTTTTTGGTGCATACCGTTTGGTATTTAATGGTGCTTTTGTTTTAGCACCTCTTTTTTTTTTTTACCTTGATAATTGAAACTAATGGCTAAGTTGGGCCAGTGTTGCAACTGCTATCAGAATGAACTGAAATGTGAATAAGACATCCGATTTTAAGAAAACGCATTGCAGAAAATGCAAAAGAAAAATTCAAATTTAAGATTTAAACTTTAAAAAGGTAAAAATAATTTTAAAGAAACTAGAGTAATTTATCCTGAGACTCCATAGCCTTCGTCTAAAAGGTCCAGTGACTAAAGCCTACTGGTTGTGCAGCGCAGCAGGCTAAAGACCAAAGGTAAAAAAATGGTAAATGGCCTGTATTTGATATAGCGCCTTCTAGAGTCCTGGAACCCCCCAAGGCGCTTTACAACACAATCAGTCATTCACCCATTCACACACACATTCACACACTGGTGGGGATGAGCTACGATGTAGCCACAGTTGGCTTGGGGCGCACTGACAGAGGCGAGGCTGCCGAGCACTGGCTCCACCGGTCCCTCCGACCACCACCAGCAGGCAATGTGGGTTGTGTCTTGCCCAAAGACACAACGACAGCGACAGACTGAGCGGGACTCGAACCTGCAACCTTCCGATTACAGGGCGAGCACTTAACTCCTGTGCCACCGTCGCCGTAGGTGACAGATCATTTGCTGCTGTGGCCCCAGACTCTGGACCTCTCTCCCCCTGAGCCTGAGATCAGTGGCTCATTGGTCTCCTTTAAAAAGCAGCTGAAAACACCTGTTCAAGGTGGCTTTGGTGTGACCTTCATTACCACCCTCTCCTTATTCTGCTCTTTTTACCAATTCTGCCTACCAGGATCCACTGATTTCCCTCATTCCTATTCATTTTCTTTCTCCCTATTTCCTTACATTTATTCAATCAACACCTTTTAAAAAAAAACATGTTCTTTTTTGCAAAATTTTAAATCCCTTTTTAAATTTTTTCTATTTACATTTTTTGTTCTTGGATAGCACCTTGTGATTTTATCTTGAGAGCCGCTATAAAAAAGATTGTTTTCTTTATTTATTTCTTTTCTAAAAGCAGTGATGTATAGAGAGCAGAGATGCAGCTCCGAGCACAAGTTAACCCTCTGATTTAGTTAAAACATTTTTTTTAATTTTGTCTCGAACTACGGCCAATAAAAAACTCTGTGTACATATAATGAGTGTGATGTTTGTGTTCCTTTTGTAAAACATGTGAAAATTAAATCCTGCAGATATATATCTCTAATTTCTCCTGAAAGCTTATTACTTAAATTTTCTTGGAAGTCTTCCTTCTAAATTACTTTTTCCAAGGCTAATATATGAGCCTTCCTTAGGACCTTTTGTAATTTTTAAAAAGAAGTTATTGGGAATTTTGGCAATGTTGCTCCTTCAAATGTCCCTCCAAATGTTGAAATTGATAACCTTCGGAATGTTTGTTGAAGGTTTTTTAAGGAAAGGCAGCTTTGTTTATGTAGAACATTTTATTCATTAAAACATATTGCTTATTTATATTAAATTATAGATTTTACCAAATTAAATGTAATTTTTACACTTATTTTGAAATTTACGGACGACGCAAACCGAAAGTGTGGCTTTTTGCAATAACTGCTGGGACTTGTAGTTCCAACGAGCTGCTGCTGCTTAGTGGGGAGAAAAGCGTCGGCTCGGCTGTGATGCCGCTGGATGATGGCTGCCTTCGGTATCCTAAGTTACGAACACCGGCCTCTGAAGAGGCCACGGCTTGGCCCTCCAGACGTTTATCCCCAGGATCCAAAGCAAAAAGAGGTGAGGTTTCACCGTTTTGAGTGTGAAATCGAGAAAGTGCGATTTATTAGCGAAAATGTCCAGCAAAAGACGCTGCTAGCAAGAGTTAGCATGTTAGCAGAGCTGCAGACGTTTCGGGCCTCGCAGTAACAATGAGCTGCTCCTAGTTGTCAGATTGTTGGGCAGCTTAGTTGAAAAACAACCGGCTCGTTTGATAGCAGCGTTAGCTAAACTGGTGGGTGGTTTTCACGTTCACCCAGACTGTCACCACTCCTTTGTTTTGTGATAAAAAATAATGATGATCGTATTTCAAAAATCTGATGTTATTATTGATTTGGCTGCTTTACAAAAATTTGTTTTGATATTGAGTGTGGCCTAGCTAATTAGTGCTGCTTTCCATTTTGTGTCATTCTGGCTCCATATTTTTGTTGAAAACTAAGAAGTTTTTTTATTTTGTTTAAATCCGAGCCTATTGTTTTCTCAGATAATTTTGTAACTTATATTTATTTTTTGCTGTCAGTAAAATTAAGACCGTTCGAGCTTGATAAATGTGTGATTCGCTTGTCTGTGATCTGAGATTAAGAGGCTGAAATGAATTTATTTGCATAAAAACATTACATTTTCAGTATTTTACACTTTGATGTGTTTCAGGATGAGCTGACTGCTCTGAACGTAAAGCAAGGTTTTAATAACCAGCCAGCTGTGTCTGGTGATGAACATGGAAGTGCCAGAAATGTCAACTTCAACCCCTCAAAGGTAATGGCTAACATGTTAACAGTGATGCTGGACTGTGTCCCAATCACAGCCACTTGACACTAATGGTTCCTGTCCATCCTCCCTGGGTCCTGCTGCTTTACAGATCAGTTCCAACTTCAGCAGCATCATTGCAGAGAAACTGCGCTACAACACATTTCCAGACACAGGGAAACGTAAACCACAGGTCAACCAGAAGGACAATTTCTGGTTGGTCACAGCACGATCACAGAGCTCCATCAATAACTGGTTCACAGATTTAGCTGGGACTAAACCTCTCACACAGCTGGCTAAAAAGGTGAGCTGCTTTTACTAAATCACCTGTTTGGTTCGTTGACGTAACAAAAACTCCACCTATTTATAGGATGCTGTGGCGGAAACACTCTTTGTTTATTGATGTAGTTCTGGTTGCATCACTTGGTTGTGCTGTGTAATTTTCATGTCAACATTTGGTAAAAAGATGAGAATTTCTGTCAGTTTCAACAAAACGGTTTAGAAATTCATCACATATAAAAACTGGAGCATCAGCACAGATTGAACTATTTTTAGCAATGTGTGATTAAATGTAATAATTTTTGTTGCTTAATTATATTTGATCCTAAGTGTTAATGCATTTTCCCACAAAAAAGTGTAATCAGATTACTCCATTATTACCTTGACTTGTTGCTGTTGGTGCCATATGTCAGTTTCACTTAATAACTACATCCTTTATTGTTTTTATTTAACTACATGGTAGCTTGAGTTTTACACAAATACTGAAAGTAGGGCCCTGATATGAAGATGTTATCTTCGTTCTGTGCTGCCAGTTGTATTTGTGAGGACTCTAATCGATTTTCAGACTTGTTGACTCCTTTCCCAGCGGTTTATTCATTGATTGCTTCCTGTCATTAAAACAGAAGAAATATGGAACCTGTCTTCATCTTTAAAGGACTCAAAGCTTCTCCTTTATAGCAAATCATTGCTACATTCTTCTCATACATAATTAGTTGGGAAATCAGTACTTTTTCAGTTCCTGCATCTAATCGGTGCTTTTGTAATATTTTCTAAACTTTGTTTATATGAAATGATTTTCAGGTTTTGTTTTGTTTCCATGGAGATCTTACACAGAAAAGCAGTCCAGGTTTTTGGTGAACATGGTTATTGAGATGGATCCTGCTCTTTCGATCGGTTTGAGCGTTTTTTTTACCTGAACGTTCTGCAAACGCAGCAGCTACGGAGATGATCTGAATTTGCTGACGAGCACAGGGAGGCTGTGTTGGCTCTGTAAAAGAAGAAAAATTGGTCTCTGGTAGGGTTGTCACGGTAACCGGTGTGGCGGTAAACCCCGGTAAAAAAAGTTGACAATAATAATAACCGTCTTGTTTTTTAAAAATCTATTATCTCGGTGGATTACCGAAGCTGCAATGTAGGAGCGGTGACCCTTACCAGCCACCGTATCATCTGCTGAAGTTGCCGGCGGCACATGCGCACTTTGTTGTTTACAACCAAAACTTTCTTGAAGCTAAAGCTGAAATAATGGCCAAAGGAGGAGACGGCAGCGCTCAGGACATTTATTATCCCTCAAAGAAGACAAAGTGGGAAGTACGGGCATTTTTTGGATATTTGAAGAATGCCAAGGGACAGTTGATAGAAGACGGCTATCCTGTTTGCAGCACGTGCAGGAGAAAGTCTGTGAAAGGCAGCAATGCTTCAAATCTCATGACACATCCGCGTGACCATCACCCACAACTCTACAGTCAACGCAAGGCAAGCAAGCGTTAGCGTTTTAGCTAAAATGCGTGATCCGAGGATTTGGGTTGAGGGAGAATGCAACGAGTCGCTATATAAAGCAGCCGCAGCGCCCGCTACCTGCATATAAACCGTGTCGAGGACACCCCCATGTTGAAATGATGCTATGCATTACGGAGCTCCCAGGGGCAGATAAGAGTTAGTCTCTCTCTGAGAATAATTATGAATTTAACAATGATTACTGCCTGATGACATTTTCCCACATCTGCAAAGCTCACTGGAAGGACACAAACCGAGGACAATATTTTCCTGATATAGGGTTTTTTACTCAAGTAAGGGTAAAAAAGTATCTGATTAGAAGGCTACTTGAGTACTGAGTATCATCTGATCTAATATTTTTAAAATGATGACATCAAACAGACAAAAAATAAGAAGTTATGGGCAAATATTGGTGTTTTAAAGACTAAAGGGGAAAAATGTAAACAAATAAACAACATAATTACAAAATAACACATTTTAGGCAAAATTTAGACACAAACTGAGGACGATAATCTCCTGATATTTAGTTGTCTGAAAATGTAACGCGTTTAAAAAAATACTGCGATAATACCGAAAACCGTGATAATTTTGGTCACAATAACTGTGAGGTTAAATTTTCACACCGTGATAACTCTAGTCTCAGGTTGTTAAAAACAAATCTCCTAATTTAGCAAACCCTGTCTGGATTATTCAGGTCTAATGTTACGGCGCGAAAGCAGCTTAAATCAGTAATTCTGTGTTTAAATCCCTTTTTAAAAGCCACTATATTTGTGCATCTGAATAAACCAAATCTGTTTGTTGTCTTAGGGATTTTTTAACCCAAAACACAAATGCTCTCATTGTCGGCTGCTTTTGTAATTTTTATTTTACAATTTCTCACAAATAATATCGATTTTTGAAATCTTCATGTGTTTTCCTTGTTTTTAGTAAACCCATTGTGCTCTTACTTATTGTGCCGAGAGGTTTTTAGTTTCTTAGCCAAATTAAAGCAACGTCTGTTCATAGGGTTGCAAGCCCCTCACTGTGTTACACATACATATAATATGTATGTTTTATTGATGGTGATGTCAGCTTTGTGCGAATTTAATTTACGTTTCTGTTACAGGTTCCAATCTTCAGCAAAAAAGAGGAGGTGTTTGGATACTTGGCCAAATACTCTATTCCTGTCATGCGGTCTGCGTGGATGATCAAGATGACCTGTGCTTATCACGCAGCCATCACCGAGACTAAAGTCAAAAAGAGACACGTGATCGATCCTTGTATAGGTGAGAGGTGGATCGTTTTCATCTAAATGGTGTATTTGTAGTTTCATTTGATTTAGAAATGAGATTTTTTTTTGTCTGTTCCAACTTTTGTTTCTTGTTCGTTTGCAGAATGGACCCAGATCATTACCAAGTATCTGTGGGAGCAGCTGCAGAAGGTGGCAGACTTCTACCGACAGTTCCCCAGTCAGGGCTGCAGCTCGCCACTGCCGACCATGCCTGCTGATGTGGAGACGGCCATGAAGCAGTGGGAGTACAACGAGAAGCTCGCCATGTTCATGTTTCAGGTCCGTTTCTCCCACCGTCGGACATCTAAGCTGTTCCAGGATCAGATTTAGAGGAGTTTATCTGCAGCACCAGTTCTTTCCTGTTCTGCAGTCATTACATTTATTTGTATTTTCCTTTATTTTATTTATTTTCCTTGGTGAAAATTCAAACCCATGGCTTGTTACGAGACATTTCTGACTTTTTTGCGTCTGCACCTCCCAAACAAAATCTGCATTCAACAAATGAGATTAGTTTTGAGTTCTAATAAACGTGTACATTTTGAGTCATGCAAGAAAATAAAACTTAATTTGTACTTATTTTTTTCAAGATAAAGCCTAAAATAACCTTAGCTTTGCTAACGTTTGGCTAAACATAAGTAAGCGTGTTTCCTCACTACCTTCTTTTCATGCTTCCATCTCTACCAATTCTGCCTTTCTCTGGATCCTGTATCACCATTTTCTTATTCATTTATGGGCCATTCCCATCTGTACCGGGTCGGCCCTGCCCGGATAGCTCCAGTCGGCCCCAGCCTGGCCCGGTTGATTCCACACATCCTTGCCTAGTTATGCAAGGAATGCAGTCAGAGACATTTTCAGCTTCTAGGTAATCAGCATGATAATGAATGATGATGAATTGAGCATGCCTTAAGCCCATGTGGGCTGATTCGACCCACCAATCAGAGGCTTGCTCTAATGGAAGGTGTGAATTTGCTGTCAGCAGTGGGTGTGTTGGCCCTGGTCGGCCTGAAGCAGACCCCCTCAGAAAGAGGGCTGAAAAACAGTCTCGTTGCACCCTAAAAAAAGGCAGGCCACCAAGAGTCTTTCTCATTTTTTGAATTCAGTTTTTTTTTAAGTTTTCCCTTTTTGATATTTTTTTAATCCTTTTTTAGTCTACTATTTTGTTCTTGTGAAGCACCTTGTGATTTTTATCTTGAGAGGCGCTATATTAAATAGTTTCTTCTAAGAAAAAGCTGTCCGTACCAAAGGAACGTACAGATGAATAACTGATATATTTTAGCTGTTTTGACTAAAACACCGTGGCATTTTCAGGATGGGATGTTGGACAGACATGAGTTCCTGACGTGGGTGCTGGAGTGTTTTGAGAAAGTTCGACCCGGTGAAGACGAGCTGCTCAGACTCCTCCTGCCCCTCCTGCTGCAGGTAATCACATCTGCATTCACATCTGCGCTCCCACACAAATAGATAACACTTAGGAAACATTCTGGCTTAATCATCCTGCAGCTGCACGTTTATATCAAAACCTGCTCTGTGTGGGCTCCTTCCACAGCCCGTCATGTTTTTGTGTCTTCATCTGGCGGTGCTGACCTTTGCTAACAGCACCCACTGGGGCACACAGCCTTTCCTTTGCTGCTGCTCTGTAAGCTTACTGCTGTTAATGGACACTCGAGTGTTGTGGCTAATGCTGTGAATCTCTCTGCGCCACAGTACTCAGGAGAATTTGTACAGTCTGCTTATTTGTCACGACGACTGGCTTACTTCTGCACACGGCGCCTCAACCTGTTGCTAAGTGACGGTAGCCTGGGCCCTGGCGCAGGAGGGCACCCAGCACACGGCATCTTGACACAGCAAAGCAATGCCCTGCCCCCCACCCCGACCTCCCAGCCAGCTGGAGGGAACCAGCCTCAGACACCTTTCACAGATTTCTACATTTGCCCACAGCACAGGCCTCTGGTGTTCGGCCTCAGCTGCATGTTACAGGTACCAGACTTTATTCTAGCGCCCAAGTCTTTTAGGGGTTTATTATTATTTAAAACTTAAAGATCTTTTGCCTTTGTGTTTTGCATCCATCACATCAGAGCATAGTGTTGTGCTGTCCCAGTGCGTTGGTGTGGCATTACTCTCTAACAGACAGCAGAAACAAAACCGGTTCTCCTCTGGACCTCCTGCCCATCGCGCCCTCCAGTTTGCCAATGCCAGGGGGAAATACTGCCTTCACACAACAGGTGATCCTAAGCAATACCTAGGAGATTTTTACATTTTAAGCTATTGCTTTCTAACTGGTTTCAGTGGTTCTTGAACCAGAAACTTAAGCAGTTGCACATGACACAGCCCTCTTCAGCCGTCTTTTGACCAGACGTTGCACTAAACAACTTTGATGGCTCGGGTCAGCACTAGTAGCTCTCTACCTGCTTTATTGGGCCTGTGTCTCACGTAAAGTCTAGCAGTTAGCTTTTTCAGTTTGCAGACCGTCAATAAAAGGCACACAAAGAAGAAATGGTCAGAATTTTTTGTTGGCATCACGGCCAAACCGTCTAAAAAATAAGTAATAGATTCCTATTTTTTCCTTTGTTCTGAACTGCCAATAGGAAAAACATGCAAAATACAACAGCTTGTCTGGCAACACCGTCTACTAATCTGGTGTGAGCAACAGCAGGGTTCTTTAGAGGTTGTAATTCAGTTTTCCACAAGTAGGGGGAGAAGTGGGAAACTTTTTAAGAGTAGTTTTTACTGAGGAGGGATTTAAAAAGAAATGTTGTAGGCAGAATTTAATTTAATTTATTTATTTTATTTACTTTTATTTATTCCTGCAAATGGCCCACAATATACAGATAAAACATAAAATTAATGAACCTCAAATGGAACAGAAGTTATTTGTGTTTGAGGAGAAAATGGCTTTAGAGTAAAAAAAAAAAAAAAAAGAAAAAATAATTGAATATAAACAAATGTGGAATAAATATGTAATTCTAGTTTAATGACTGTTTTACATGAACTGAAAACATTATTAGTTATCCTTTATACTCCTTCATAATCACAATTTTGACAAGTCTTTTAAACTCCATCTTTCTCTGCAGGTTCGTGTAAAGTTGCGAGAAATCGAGGAGCAAGTTAAGGAGCGGGGCCAGGCGGTGGAGTTCAGGTGGTCGTTTGATAAGTGCCAGGAGACCACAGCAGGTAGGAGCTGCGTAACCCCGCCCCCACCCTCTGACTGCAGACTGTTTAACACCCTGTGAGCATGATTGGATACGGTGTAATCCCTTCCCAGGTTTTACCATTGGAAGGGTTCTTCACACCCTGGAGGTTTTAGACAACCACAGCTTTGAGAAGTCGGACTTTAACAACTCACTGGATTCCCTCTACAACAGGATATTTGGTTCTGGGCAGAGTAAAGATGGCCACGAGGTAAGCATAGTCTTTTTGTTGGTGCACGAAGTCTAATCAGAAAGTTTCTGATCCTACGAGACGCTCCGTTTTAAAGGATATTCCACCCCTAGGTGAAATTTAGTCTTGTATTTCTGTATTTCCCAGAGTTAGATAAGTGACGAAAAAAGCATTTTGTAACCAGCGCAGTAATTCTCCTGGTCTGGCAGCAGTCTGCCTACTTTAGCTTAGCATAAACAATGGAAGTGAATAGCAGAAGTTAGCATTTTGTCTGCAAAAGTGATTAAAATGACTCCATAATGATACCAATTATTCTTGGTGAGCTCAATAATCATGTCAACTGCAAATGAAAAGTAAGAAGTAACAGGAAGGACTTCCAGGAGCTAATTTAGACTTGAGACTACACCACCACAAAGCACCGCTGGGCGCATGGATATAACACAGCGGCCGAAAAGCCTCATTATTATTGAGTTAGCCAAAGTATAAATCAGATTATACGGCTGTGGTGTAATTTACTCAACATGTGATCCTGTTCTGAGCTCGTTTGTCCTGTAACTCCTGTTCTTGTCCAGATGTCTCCTGACGATGACGCTGTGGTGACCTTGCTGTGTGAGTGGGCCGTGTGCTGCAAGCGCTCCGGCAGACACAGAGCCATGGTGGTGGCCAAACTACTGGAGAAGAGACAGGCTGAAATAGAAGCAGAGGTGAGATGAATCTGTCCCTGGGTGTGAACTCGCATGTTCTTTTTTTAGACTGTAAAATCAAAGCGTTTGGGGAGATTCATCGTGCGTGTGTGGCGTTTGTCCGCAGAGGTGTGGTGAGTCAGAGGTGGTGGATGAGAAAGGCTCCGTGTCGTCCGGATCCCTCTCCGCTGCAACTTTGCCGGTTTTCCAGGACGTTCTGTTGCAGTTTCTAGACACGCAGGCGCCCACGCTCAGTGAGTCCTTATTCCCACCATTCCCCGCTGTGTTTAGTCACGGTTGATCTCTATAATAGCTGAAGGAACCTTTAAATCCTTTTTTTGCTCTTCTGATTCCCTTACCTTCTTCATATTTATTCCAAAGACTTGAACAGGGAAGTCCTGGTATTGAATCATTTGCATCGTTTTCCAGCGGAGCCCGGAAATGAAAGTGAGCGGATCGAGTTCTCCAACCTCGTCCTTCTTTTCTGCGAGCTCATCCGCCACGACGTCTTTTCCCACAACATCTACATGTGCACGCTGATCTCCCGTGGCGACCTGGCGTCCGACTCCCACCTTCCGAGGCCGCGGTCCCCGAGCGACGAGCACTCTGACGAATCCGAGCGGAAAGAGCAAGACGTGGGCAGCAGCGTGAAGATGGAGGCACGTTGGAGGCATCTGTCTGTTTTGTTGTGCTACGATGTTGAGATGGTAACATCTGGTTCTGTGTTCACCAGGACACCGGTCTGTCTGAGTCCATGGAGATCGATCACAACTCTAGTGCTAATTTTGACGAGGTAATCATCAGAATAGGGACATAAATAGGTTGATCAGAAAGCTCTTCTTGTGTGTGTGTGTTTATTTTTTCTTGAGGTGATTTCAGAACGTGTCTCTGCAGATGTTTTCACCTCCGATGCACTGTGAGTCCAAGGGGAGCCCCTCCCCCGAGAAGCCTGCTCCAGACCTGGACAGTAAGAGCAGCCATAAGGATAAAGGCATGGACCCCGCCTTCCCGCAGCTGTACGATCAACCCCGACACATCCAGTATGCCACCCACTTCCCTATTCCACAGGTAAGGATTCATCAGGAATCGCCTTTTCTACAGCTCATTTAGAGATTTTCGTTCTTCTCCCTCTCTGTGTTGTCAATCGGGGGCATTTTCAGATTTCTAACGCAATAAAACTTAGCTTGGAATATTAAAATGGTGCAAATAGCTGCATGAATATCTTAAATGGCTTTAGCCAAGTCTTGAGCTGCTGGATTCTTTTTTTCTAGATGTTTATTTGACTGTTTTCTCCGGATGAGGAACGTTTCTGTGTGCTGCTCAGACTCTAGACTGCGTCCAGTTTAGTTTTGTTTTCCATCTTCAGGAGGAAAGTGCCAGTCACGAATGCAACCAGCGTTTAGTGGTCCTCTACGGCGTGGGCAAACTGAGAGATGAGGCGCGACACACCATCAAGAAAATTACCAAAGACATCTTGAAGGTGCTCAACCGCAAAAGCACCGCAGAAACAGGCGAGTTCTCAGAGGGTCACCTTTTGTTTGACTGATGTTCCAGAGCTTCCTGGTTTAGTTGGGTCTTGTTCTCATTTAGGGGCGTGTTTAAACCTGGTTTGGTTTACCTTTATCATGTTTCACAAGTGCTTTCCTCTCACCAGCTGGATTGTTTTTCCTGAATATTGTGTGTTTATCACATCAGAGATATTGTTTTTCCTGGAAGCAGCAGAGCGGAAAGCAGAAGCTCCGTTCTTTTCCATAAAAACATGGACCATCCTGATAACTGACAGTTTTACACTAGCTGGTCCTGGGAATTCTCCTCTTTAATAGAATATAACCCTTGTTTTCTGACCTTCTACAAAAGGGCTTGTTTATTATCCATGTGTGTGTGAAGAAGAAAATGTCATTTCTATAGCGCCTCTCAAGATAAAAATCACGAGGCGCTTCACAAAAACAAAAAATGTGAAAATTTAAAAAATAATTTAGAAAATGGTTAAAAATATATTTAAAACGAGCAAAAAATAGACAATTGTGATTAAAGAGAGAGAGAGAGGGTGAACAGGAAAGAGGGAAATCAGTGGATCCTGAGGAAGGCGGAATAGGTGGGGAGAGCAGAATAAGGAGAGGGTGATGAAGGTCACGCCAAAAGCCAGCTTGAACAAGTGACTCTTCAGCTGTTTTTTAAAGGAGACCACTGAGTCCGCTGATCTCAGGCTCAGGGGGAGAGAGTTCCAGAGTCTGGGGGCCACAGCAGCAAATGATCTGTCACCTTTGGTCTTTAGCCTGGTGCTGCACAACCAGTAGGCTTTGATCACTGGACCTCAGGGTCCTGCTGGGGGTGTAGGGACTAAGAAGATCACCAATGTAAGATGGTGCTTGTCCATGGAAGGCCCTATAGACCAGAACCAGGATCTTGAAATGAACCCTGAAGTTGACTGGCAGCCAGTGAAGCTGGAGGAGAAGCGGGGTGATGTGGGTGTGTTTGGAGGACTTGGTCAGAAGCAGAGCACAGACAATCTGAACCACCTGTAGACGGTTCAGGGAGGTTCTGCTCAGACACGGGAAAAGAGAGTTACAGTAGTCTAAGCGTGAGGAGATGAAGGTGTGGAGAACTGTCTCAAGTTCAGAGCGGGACAGAATGGGACTCAGCTTAGCAATGTTCCTGAGATGGAAGAGTGAACAAGAGAACTGACATGAGAATCCAGGGTGAGAGCTGGGTCAAAGGTCACACCAAGATTCCTGACAGAAGGTTTGGTTTGAGAAGCAAGCTGACCAAGAGAGTCTCTGACTTTGGGAACCAGCTTGTCTGGGGCACAGATGAGGATCTCAGTCTTATCTTCATCCAGCTGAAGAAAGTTCCCAGCCATCCAGGTTTTGATAGAGTCTAAGCAGGTGTGTAACAGCTGAAGCTTAGACATCTTATGGGGCTTAAAGGAGATGTACGGTTGGATGTCATCTGCATAAAGATGGTAGGAGATTCCTTTGAAGGAGCTCAGGATGTGCTGAAGAGAAAGCAGATAGAGGAGGAAGAGCAGAGGCCCCAGCACAGAACCTTGTGGGACACCATGGGTAAGCGAGGTGGTGGAGGACCTAAACTTGGAGACGGCCACAGAAAAGGAGCGCTCAGAGAGATAAGAGGAGAACCACTCCAGAGCATTGCTTGATAGGCCTACCCAGTCTCTCAGCCCCTCCAGTAGCAGGTGATGGTCAACAGTGTCAAAGGCTGCAGTCAGGTCCAGCAGGACCAGAACAGAACAGTCCCCTGCATCACTGTGAGTCAGAAGGTCATTAGAGACCCTAAGAAGAGCTGTTTCAGTAGAATGAGCTCTAGGAAAACTGGACTGGAAGCTATCTTAGGGGCCAGTCCCATCTGTACCGGGTCGGCCCGGGCCGGGTAGCCCCAGTCGGCCCCAGGTTGGCGCGGTTGATTCCACACATCCTTGCCTTAAGCCCATGTGGGCTGATTCTACCCACCAATCAGAGGCTTGCTCTAATGGAAGGTGTGAATTTGCTGTCAGCAGTGGGTGTGTTGGCCCTGGTCGACCTGAAGCAGACCCCTTCGAGAAGAGGGCTGAGAATGAGCCTTGGTTGGCCCGGAAAAATACCAGGCCACCCAGATATGTAAACAACCTACGCTACCCGGCCCGGGCCGACCCGGTACAGATGGGAATGGCCCAATAAATGTTGCTATGGAGAGAGGGGTCGAGACTCAGTTTTTTAAGAAGCGGGTGGATTACAGCATTCTTAAAGTAAGCAGGGACCTGACCAGAAACCAGAGAAGCATTAATTATAGAGAGCACGCTGGGACCAATGGACAGAAAAGCACTTTTAAACAAAGATGAGGGTAAGATGCCGAGGGGGCATGCAGAGGTCTTCATAGAGTTAACTAGTTTGGTTAACTCAGGCAAAGAAACAGGAGCAAAGCTATCTAGGATGATGGGCCTGGTTGGAGTCGGGAGAGGCAGCGATAAGGCTGAAGGAGAGATGCTAGATCTAACCTTATTGACTTTGTCCACAAAGAAAGACAGAAAGTTCTCACAGTCTACAACAGAGTGGATGGAGGCTGTAGGAGTGGCAGGAGAGACGATGGTGCTGATGGTGTTAAACAGCACCTTGGGGTTCCCTTTGCTCTGGGACACCAGGTTGGAGAAATAGGAAACCCTAGCGTCTCTGACTGCAGAGTTAAAGGATGTCAGAAGATCCTTTAGGTGCAGCAGATGGACGTGGAGATGGGTTTTCTTCCACAAACGCTCAATTTTTCTGCATTGGCACTTCAGGCTGCGAAGGCTGTCATTAAACCAGGGAGTAGGGTTCACTGCAGGAACTGATCTGGTTCTGACAGGACAGATGTTGTCCAGAATGGAGAGGCAGTGCTCGTTAAACTGAGAAGTTAAGGAATCTGGGTCATTATCAGAAGAACAGGGTGGATCAAAAGCAGCAGAAAAATTGCTAGCTGTGCTCTCATTAAGAAAACGAGAACTAACTAGACGGCGAGCAGGAGGTGGGGACGCAGAAACTGACAAGTTAAAGAAAATGCAATGGTGATCTGAAATATAAACGTCCTCAGGACAAACACTGTCAGCATTTAGACTCAGGGTAAAAACAAGGTCTAGAGTGTGTCCCCTGGTGTGTGTGGGGCCAGAAACACGCTGGGTAAAGGTGTGTGTGTGTGCGTGCGTGCTTGTTTCCACTCCATCTCTATGCTAATGGCTCTCATCTGTTCACAGTCACATCTCCTCAGATACAGGTGACCTTATCAAGGTGATTTAAGATTTCCTGCACAGATTGGGACGATCGTGTGACACATACCTCTAAGCTCATGATGTGCCTCAGCTCTCAGCTGTGTTTCTCATAAATGAAAAGCACAACTCCCATTTTTTATTCCTTTGAAGTACCCTCTATCACCATGTGTCGTTTTGCACAGAAGCTTCAAATAAAAGGAGGCTGAAAAAAAGAAGAGAAAAAGATGACAGCCTAACCGCTTATGTAGATTTCACAGCTGGCCTAGTTGGTAGACTGGAAAGAATTCCATCCACCAATTTTCTCTTTTTTTAATCATCTCTCTCCTGCACAAACAGGAGGAGAAGAAGGGCAAAAGAGGAAAAGAAGTAAGCCAGAAGCCTTTCCTACTGCAGAAGACATCTTCTCTAAATTCCAGCACCTCTCCCACTTTGACCAGCACCAGGTCACCTCACAGGTATGGAAACCAGTTTGTCACCTTTCACTTGATGTTTTTGGACTGGCCATAGATTAAGAAAGCAATTGAGGAGAGTACAGATTGTCCTGTAGAGCAGTGGTTCCCAACCTTTGATCCTTGAAGACCTGTGTTCTAGACGAGCCAGAACCCCCAACCCCAGCACTCCTGCCTGCATACGCACATTAAATCTGATTAGTTACAAACGTTACACAGACCTACAGAGTTTTAACACTTATGGAGTTTAGATTATACCATTGGGTGTGTTATTGGGATTTTAGGTTGGGAGCCACAGCTGTAGGGCATGGTTGCTGTCAAGCAGGGAGGATTGGGGTCCCATTTTTAACCCCGATCCCAGTCCCAAGGCAGACACTCTACCACTAGACCACTGAGAAGGTTGCAAAGAGGTGACGGGTAAAATACGATGATGGCTCGGTTCTCTCAGCTGTTGGCTCACGATCATCCCTTTCAGGACTTTGCTGAGACGTTTGCATATCGCGACCGTTTCGGCAGCAAGTGATGTCATCACTGATTAGCTTCCACAGACATTACTAACATAAAAAAGTTAGATTCTGTCAAAGCGCGTCGTAATTTAATTCATTCAAGGGAAGGGGAGAGTGACTGTGAGATATAAAAGTAACCAGAAGAAGCGCTGTTTTATGGTGCTCTGTAGAAAACCACAACGCGGCCTACATTATGGCAGTGTGGGGGGATTTCCGCTGCATTTCTGGCTTTGGGAGTTTAGAAACAGAAACTTTAAAACATCAACAGTGCTTATTTTCTTTTCCTTCCATTTGCCGATTGATTGATGATGTCTCCCAGTCCTGGTGTCATTTCCCACTGAGTTACAACCAGTCAACATGAGCTAACGGCAAGTCCCGCTCAGTGACTACCGGGCCATCCTGAGCACATACCCCAGTTCAGGTACTCCACTGGTTCCAGAAACGGCCTGGAAGATGGTCCTTTCATGGTGACCCTGTGCATGCTGTGCAGGTCCGGTAAAGTGGAAATGGGTCTTTTACAACAGATTTTGATCCAAAAAACTGTGAAAATGGGCACATTTTAAAATTTTAAATCTATATGGAAGCCCCAGGGGACCAAAAAACATTTAATTGCTTTTATGTATTTTACATGGTATTTTTTAAAAGGGTGGTTTTTAAGCCTGATAATATTTTCTGGATGCAAACCAGTTTGTTTCCATGCAGACTGGGTCAGGTAAGAAGATCAAAGGTGCGCTCCTGTTTTTGGTACAAAAGGCTCTGCCGGGCTTTCTTCTAGTGGGTGTACGCTGTTGTGTTCACACCCATTGGGCTGCTAGCTTCATATTTTGTAAATCGGTCTCCTTTCTTATTCATTTAAATTTTCCTAAGAAGCTCTAAAATATTTAACAGTCCCTTGATTCATAACTCAACCAGTTGCCATCAAACAAACGAGTGATTTTGGTTTGTAGAGTTTGAGAAAACAAACATTTGAGCGTACACACTTTTCCACTGAGTTGTTTTATTCTCTCGTGTGCAGGTGTCCAGAAACGTTCTGGAGCAGATCACCAGCTTTGCCTTAGGGATGTCCTATCACCTTCCTCTCGTCCAACACATTCAGTTCATCTTTGACCTCATGGAGTACTCCCTCAACATTAGTGGCCTCATAGACTTTGCTATACAGGTACCACGTAGCTCCGATTCAGCTAGACAGGTCACCTTTAGTGGCAGTGAAGCTTTTCTGAAGCTTTTATGTTTTGTAGTTGCTGAACGAGTTGAGTTTGGTGGAAGCAGAGCTGCTGCTGAAGTCCTCCAGCCTGGTGGGCAGCTACACCACTAGCCTGTGTCTGTGTATCGTAGCTGTGCTGAGGAGATACCACTCTTGTCTCATCCTCAACCCTGAGCAGACGGCGCAGGTTTTTGATGGGTACGTCACTTAAAGTTCACCCGGTTCCTCATTCTACTAAAAACTTACCAACGTTTTATTTTGTTCTTTCTCTGTGTCATCTGCTTTTAAATGAACAGAAACGGCAATTTAATGCATCCACAACTGGATGCTAGTGGGGTTAAGGCTTCAATTAAAATTTTAATTAAAGTAGTAAAAACAGAATGTTTGAGTTGGAGAAGAAGGTTAAAGAATAATTGGCAGTTTGTGTTTTTTCCACAAACTCATTCTTCTGACTTTCATCAGAAGACTTTATTTCCCGGTGATGCTGGCAAGTGCAAGTAGAGCCACGCGTCTCTAGAATACAAAATACAAAGTTGGATCAGTTATTACCGCATCTAGAAAGATGATGTAGAGTTTTCATGGTAAACATTTGTTATAAGTATGTTAATGGGAGAGCCCTGGGTTTGTTTGTAGCCTGAATTAAGTTTAGATTAGTGGATAAACATTCATTTTGTATGTTTTGACTTCTTTGGCACAAAACCACCTCAAAGCTGCTTTTAAATGGACAGTTAGTGTTTACTGAAAGGTACGTCAGCCCGTTGCTGGCTTCAGCTGAGCTTTTAACCACAGGATGTTTAATCTGTCCAAGAAAAGAGAAATCATCATTAAGCGAGACTTTTTTCTGGAACTACATTGCTAAATGAGGTGTGTGTGTGTGTGTGTGTGTGTGTGTGTGTGTGTGTGTGTGCGTGCGTGCGTGCGTGCGTGCGTGTGTGTGCGTGCGTGTGAGTGCGTGTGCGTGTTGCTAACAGACTGCGGATCGTGGTGAAGTCGGGTGTGAATCCAGCTGACTGCTCCTCTGCTGAACGCTGTATCCTGGCCTACCTGTATGACCTCTACACGTCTTGCAGTCACCTCAAGAACAAATTTGGAGAAATTTTTAGGTATTGGGGGAAAAAAATCAGGTGTCAGAAACTGAAATGATGTTTAAAATGTATTAGTGTACCCCTGCAGCACACATCCCCATCCGAACGGCGTTGTTATGGATTTTTGCAGCTGAGTAATTTTCGTTCACCACTCTGTGCTCTCACAGCGAGTTCTGCTCCAAAGTGAAGAATTCCATCTACTGCAACATCGACCCGTCGGATTCCAACATGCTCTGGGATCCGGTGTTCATGATGGAGGCTATCGCCAACCCCTCGGCCCACAACTTTAATCACTCCATGGTGGGCAAAATCCTCAACGACAGCCCGGCCAACCGCTACAGTTTTGTTTGTAACGTTCTCATGGATGTTTGTGTGGACCACCGAGACCCCGAGAGGTAAGCCGTGATGGAGTTCTGATTGCTTCGGGTTTTTGCCCCTCTGTTTTGTGGAGGTGCTGTTTTCATGGCGGGTCACGTGTTTCCAGGGTGAATGATATCGGGATCCTGTGTGCCGAGCTGACGGCGTACTGCCGCTCCCTGAGCGCAGAGTGGCTCGGCATTCTCAAAGCTCTTTGCTGCTCCTCCAATAACGGAAACTGCGGTTTCAATGACTTGCTGTGTAATGTAGACGTAAGTTTATTCTCATTATTCTCATCAGATTGTTCATTTTCTGTGCTTTCATGTTAAATTAATTTTGATTGTGTGCCACTCAGGTCAGTGATCTATCCTTCCATGACTCCCTGGCAACTTTTGTAGCTATCCTTATTGCCAGACAGTGTTTACTCCTAGAAGACCTGGTTCGCTGTGTGGCCATCCCCTCCCTCCTTAATGCAGGTAAGCATTCTTGATAAAAGAACAAGCAGGACTTTGTAAAATTCTATTTCAGGAGGAATTTTAAAATGTAATAATAATGGCTTTGTTTTCATTTGAAAAATGTCCACTACATCAACATTTGCTTCATAGACAACACCTTAACCTCACCCATTTTACGGCAGCCGAGGAATTCAGACACCATAACATGTAGCTGTTAGCTAGCAGGCTAATGCAGCACTAACATGTTGTCTCAAGAGTTGGACGTATTTTAAGGAAACTTGGATGTGTTCTTCTTTCTTCTTGTGTTAAAGCATTGTTAAAGTGTCGGATCAGCAGATGCTCAAAATCAAAACCACACAGATCAGGGGCCAAAAATGTGATCGGAACATCCCTAGATGTGTGCCAAGCTGCCGTGTTGAAATTTGACTTTTGTAACTTCAGGAATGTCTCTTTTATTTTTATACATTCTCAATTTAAATGCATGACAAATGCAATATTTAAAGGTAAGGAAAAAATTAGCGGTTTTCTGTAGAAAATGATGCTTAAGTCTTTGATTTGAGACATAAAGAGTCTTATGTTTGTCTCAATGAAAGAAATACATAAGTAAGTAAAATTTATTTACATAACACTTATCAGAAAACCAATCAAAGTGCTTCACAAAGAAAAACGTCAAAATGAAAACATGATTAAAAGACTAACAACCAAACGACTAAAAGTTCATAAAAACACATGGGAGGGAAAAACCACTAAAATCTCCTTCCAGGGTTCTAAAACCCCCCACGACACTTTACAACACGTCCAGGCATTCAGATCTGTTGGGTCAATGTTGTTTTCTAGTTTCTTGCTATTTAAAACAGCTTTTAGTCCATCAGCAACAACAAAACCAAGATCTGAGTCCCTTTCTGTGTTTGCTCAAGTTCTACAAGCGGCGCTCACACGTCTGCTCTTCAGTAAAAGTCAGGGAGGGTTCTTGTTCCCATTTACAACAAAGTTGAGTTAGAAAGATGTGTTCATCACCTAGTTGTGATGAACTCTTTCCATTTGCAAAAGATTTAGATTCATACAAACATCTGTCAAGCCTGACATCAATACACCCCTTTAAAAAGTATTTATCATCTATCAGCAGCTGATGCTGGAGGGCCAAACTTCTACCACTCTTGATTTACAGTCAAGGACCATAAAAGGCCCACCGTCCACACATCAGAGATGTAATGATTCGTTAGTTACATCTTACGTAAGAGCCATCAAAGGTGAGATTCCATAGAAAATATGAGATCAATTTGATGTATTTTTGAATATTACTTTAAACAGAAGATCGGAACTTTTTATTGCAGGGATTAGGTAACACTTTGTATTAACCCAGAGTCAAAAGAGAGAGAGAGAGACAAGTTTTAAAGTTTAAGAAGATTTATTTCTAAACAATTTAAAACAAGGCTAACTCAAAACACTCTGTGTGATGAATGGATCTAGGTGTGAATGAGGCAAAATGGATGTGTAAATGTGGAATGTTGTTATCAGAACTCTCATTTCCGGAGAAGCATTAGTTCTGTGTGGGAGCGAATGTTTTTGCTCTAAACCACAGTCGGAGTTTCAAAAACCACATTCAGACGCCATCTTGCCGTTCTACATACCCTTGGTGGAGACTTCCGTTGTAGATCCAGAATGCCAGGTCCTCGGACCCCCCCCCCCCCCCCCCCCCCCCCCCCCTTTGGTACCAGAGCCGATGAAACAGCGTACGGTACGACAGACTAGTCTTGGGATTGCCTCCAGGTAAGCGACAGTTGTTTGACTGCTTCAGCGGGACCCTGAAGGGTCAGTGAGTTCAGCTTTACGCTGAACTGCGTTGCATTCAGATGTAGCTTTCAACAGGTTTTATTATCCAGCTGGTCAAGGTTCTTTGTGTTTAAAAAGTTACGAGTGGCTGGCTCGAAACTCTAGAACGTTTGAACTGAGTTAAGGGTGACGTGGGAATTAGTTTTATAATTCAGATGTTTTGATTTATGGTCGAATCAGAATTTGACAACAAAAATAAACACCGCACAGACCACGCCACGCGTCAGAAAGGAAAGCTCTGATTGGAGAGACAAAAGGAATGTGTCATGTGATTTTAACATTACTTGTGATGGGAGTGTCTAGTGCTTCTGTACCAAGTTAATTGTTATATAAAACTACTGATTACAGTATTATAATATCAAGTAATTAATATTCTCATTTCACAGATTGATTTAACATTAGGCTTCACATGATTGTTTGACTAACAGACGTTATTTATGATTATTTAATAGAGTTCTTCTGATTTCTAAGAGAGTTCTTCTTGGTCTTCTCTTGAGCTGTAGGGGGAGGCAAACAGCTAGTTAGAACAGTTTAGATGCAGAGGCATCAAAGGCCTTGAGCCATATCTCAAGGAGATTAGTTCTTCATGAGGAGACAGGGGAAATTAGATGGAAAACAGTCCCTTCATGACGGTACAGAGACCAATTAGGTATTTTATTTATTGGATATTTTTATTCAATCAACAACAACAATTTATCAATTTTACATAAAAGTAATCAAGCAACCAAAAAAAGGAATAGGTTGAAGCCTAGTGGCTTATAATTAGCCTATCCTTAACCCCCACAGAGATAATCAAATCCTTAACCAAGAGGAAAAAAAAGTAGGGCTGATAGATAAGATTCATAACATTTAAAGAAAAAACAATGATAAATCAAGAAATCAAATCAACACAAGGTTAGACATCAAACTAAGTTTCTATAACTTTGGAAGATGCCAATTTTTAAAAATGTCTTGAAAAATGACAAAGAATAACACATCTTCAGTTCATCATTAAGTCCATTCCAGAACTTCACTCCCAAAACCGACACACATCTATACTTAGCATTAGTTCTCACTTTAGGTATTTCAAACATATGAGACCCCCTCAAATCATATTTTCCATCTCTTAATTTAAACATACTTAAAATACAAATTGGAACATTCTTTTTCACCACTCTATACATCATTTCTAAAGTTTTAAGATATATAATGTCCTTAAATTTTAAAATAGCTGATCCTACAAAAAATTGGTTTGTGGACTCCCTATATCCAGCTTTATTTATTATTCTAATAGCTCTTTTTTGCAATTTAAAAATTGAATCCAGATGTGTTTTGTATGTTTTCCCCCAAATTTCCACACAATAACTCATATAAGGCAAGCAAAGGGAAGTACAGTAAATAAAGGCAGCTCTTGTGCAATAAATCTCTTGTTTTATAAAGAATAGAAATAGACTTGGATAATTTACGTTTCACGTGATCTATGTGAGACTTCCAACAAAGTTTATCATCAATTATTACTCCTAAAATTTTAGTCTCATATATTCTTTCAATTTCAACATTATTTAGATTCAATTTTACTTCAATATTACTCTTAATACCTCCAAACAACATACATTTTGTTTTACTTTCATTCAGTGATAGTTTATTAAATACAAACCATCTATTTAACTTCATCAATTCTGTTTCCACTGTTTTCAGTAATTCCTTTGTTATCTCCAGAACAAAATAAGTTTGTATCATCAGCAAACATCACATATTTTAAAATATCACTAGCTGTACAAATATCATTTATATAAAGTAAAAATGGCTTACGTCCCAACACCGATCCTTGTGGAACTCCACAAGTTACTTTTCTAAGTTTAGATTTCATATTATTAATACTCACATATTGGAACCTTCTTTCCAAGTAACTATTTAACCAAAGTTGTACAACACCTCTTAAACCAAATCTTTCACATTTCTGTAACCGTAAAGAATGATCTATCATATCGAAGGCTTTGCGTAAATCAATGAACACACCTATTCCAATCTGTTTTTTATCCACAATTGTTGCAATATTTTCAATAAATTCCATCACTGCTAGAGATGTTGAGTGATTTCTTCTGAACCCATACCACTGGTCATTCAATAAATCATATTTTTCAAGAAAATAATTTAGTCTGTTTTCAAATAGTTTTTCAAGAATCTTTGAAAATGTAGGCAGCAAAAATACTGGTCTATAATTTGACACAACCTGTTTATATCCATTTTTATATAATGGGATCACTTTGGCAATTTTCATTTTATCTGGAAAAATTCCAGTTTGAAATGATTTGTTACAAATATAAGTTAATGGCTGAAGGATACTATGAAGAACTTCTTTAACTAATGACATCAAGGCCGTCACAATCCATGGACTTTTTACTCTTAAATTTACTCACCACATCTATAATATCACTCTCACAGACTCCTCCAAGAAACATTGAGTTACATTTATAAGAAGTACAATTAAAAAATGTGTCTTCGTGTATTCCTGGTACAGAAATCTCTTCTGCCAAATTGGGACCTACATTAACAAAGCAATCATTAAATTCGTTGACTATACTCTCAATATTCTTAATCACTACATTACCTTCTTTTACAAAACATGTTGGAAAACATATATTCTGATTTTATATTATCTTATTAAGTACACTCCAGGTAGCCTTTATATTATTTTTAGATTTTTGAAGCAGCTTTTCATAATAACTTTTCTTTTCATATCGCAAAATACTTGTTAATCTGTTTCTATATTTCTTATATTTGTCTTCATTTTCCTTAGTTCTATTTGTCAAAAAAATCTTATATAACTTATTTTCCTTTTACAAGCTCTTTCCAGACCTTTTGTCATCCATGGTTTTTTCTTTTTGAGATTTTAAGAAAACTTCTTTAGTGGACAATGGCTGTCATAGATTGACAAAAATATGTCTAGAAATGCATTATATGCATCATCAGTGTCATCCACATAAATCTTTTTCCAGTCATAATTTTCTTTTTCTCTTTTAAAAACTGCAATCTGTTCTGGTGTTTTTATTCTACCAATGTAATCAATCTTTTCCTCTCGAATAGTAAATTGATTATTAATTTCAAGCACTGAAAAGAGAGGCAAGTGATCACTTACATCCGTGACTTACAGTCCACTAAGTATCTTATCTATCTTATTAAAAAAATGTTGTCAGTCCTAGTGGTAGTCACATTGCTGTTGGCCAATCTGAGGCAAGATGTCCAAATATCAGGAAGTAAGACTCCAGATCCTGCCGTCTGAAGCTGCTTTCCCCTCCAGCTGAATTGTACTTCCTGATTCGGGCACCATCTGAGCTTTTTTCCCCAGAGTACGACTTACAAGGCATTCATTCCCACTAGAGACCACTACAAATGTATTTAGTAAACAGTGTTCAACACCTTTAATCTTATAATTGACAGATGATGTATGTCGAAGGGTTTACCTCTGTCCCTAAGCAAGTCTTAACCATAACTCCCGTTAATCTTCGTTTCTTTCGATGATGTGTTTTAGCTTCAGCTGGGATGTTATTCTGCTTTTTCCCAGATTAGGTTTTTTTGAATGTGCATTATGTGTTAGACAAAGTCTGAGAAACCACACCAGAACATCCAGCATAATAATATTTTAGCTCTGTCGGGGAAAAAGAACGGCGTGTGTTTGATCATGTGAACCTGTGAAGACTCACTCCAGTCCTTCCATCTCATCACTTTGGACAGAAATCCTCATTCAGCCAAGCTGATTTGTTGCATGTGGCTCATTTTATATCACGACTAAACCTGCCAAATGCCGTCAGCCCTTGCTTGTGGCTCTTATCACAACAACCACCCAATGAACACTAACAAACGCTGTTCTGTGTATGTAGAGAGCATCAAACATGTTAGAATGAAAGAATCTGGTCTGCTTCAGCCTGCAGCGAGCAGGACTCTGAGCCAGGAGCACGACTCACCTGCAGAATTCTGCTGCACCTGTTTAAGACGCCGCAGCGCAACCCTGTCCCACAAGATGGCGTCAAGTCAGGTACTGAGCACAAACACTTCAGCAAGTTACTTCTGATAGTGAAAGAACTGATTTGTTGCTTTTTTTCTGGTGACTTTGCAGACAAGTCGTCTGTGGGGATCCGTTCCTCCTGTGATCGTCACCTTCTTGCCGCTTCACAGAACAGCATAGTTGTTGGAGCAGTTTTTGCTGTCCTCAAAGCCGTATTTATGCTGGGTAGGAGTTTTTGTAACTCCAACAGAGTGATCATAAACAGGGCAGCTTGAGGGTTCTTGTGTGAGTTAGGAACGGACGAGGCCACAGATTCTGCTGCTTGGATTATTTGCTCTTTCATGTTGCTGCAGGTGACGCTGAGCTAAGAGGCTCGGGTCTGTCGCACCCAGCGGGCCTCGACGACATATCTGAGGGTCGCAATGTCTCCATAGAAACAGCCAGCCTTGATGTTTACGCAAAGTATGTTCTGAAGACAATCTGCCAGCAGGTGAGTTGAGCTGAAGTGGATTGGAAGGATTAATCTAGTGAATTTAACCACCACAAGTCAGAAAATTCTAAAAAATAAAAATAAAAAGTCTTAGTTTCATTATCCTGAAATCATTTGATGTTGCTCCTAACCTATCAGATGTGAGAATAATCACTGCACACATGCGTCAGTGCTGCTGAACAAACTAGAAGTGGATTTTGAGGTTTTCTACATGTCCTGAGGCTTAATGAGAATTTACTCGTTTTTTTTACTCATTATAGCTTTTATTCTCTATAATTAGCCTTTTACTCCCCTCCTCTTTTGTCTCCACCCATTGCAGCTTTAGTCAAGCTAGTTCTGCTTGACCGAGTCTGAAACTTGAGGATGATGCAAGTTTTTACCTGCTGTCCCCAACTGCTCATCTTGTTGTGTTGCAGGAGTGGGTTGGAGAACGCTGCCTGAAGTCCCTCTCTGAGGACAGCAGCGCTCTGCAGGACCCGGTGCTGGTAAACATACAGGCCCAGCGGCTCCTGCAGCTCATCTGTTATCCTCACCGCCAGCTGGACAGCGATGACGGTGACAACCCTCAGAGGCAGCGCATCAAACGCATCCTCCAGGTACAAAACACTCGCATCAAGTTCTGTCAGCAAAATCTAATTCTTTACTTTTGTTTGTGATTAAATATTGTACAATTATAGGAATAAAGTTCATTATTTATCAACCCCTTTGATCTGCTGCTTTGGTTTTTTTTTTCCTTCCAAATGAAACCGTGGGGTTTTCCTGCCCTTTTCTGGCTAAGTGTATTATTTCATGTTTTTCAGCCACCTACTAAATCATTTTTCACTTTCTCTCTGTGGCAGAATATGGACCAGTGGACGATGAGGCAGTCGTCTCTGGAGCTGCAGCTGATGATCAAACAGAGCACAAACAATGTGAGTCTAACTCCTTCCTGTTGTCCCAGTAACAGAAAATGGTGAATTTATAGTTGTTACTGGCGACATAAATGTGTTTATTTTATATTTAGGAGCTCTACTCTCTCCTGGAGAACATAGCTAAAGCCACTATAGAGGTTTTCCAGAAATCAGCTGAGATGAACTCCAGTAACCCCTCAGGAAATGGAGCGGCAGCCCAGGCTGGCTCTGCATCCAATAGCAACAGCACCACGAGCAAGATGAAACCTATTTTAAGGTGCGGATTTCAACTCTGCACTGATAATGGGATCTGTCTTTAATCTACATTTTGGGTTGAATGAAGCTAAGATCTTTGTTTTCACTGATATCCAGCTCCTCAGAGCGATCAGGCGTCTGGCTGGTGGCCCCATTGATAGCCAAGCTGCCCACATCGGTCCAGGGCCATGTCCTGAAAGCAGCCGGAGAGGAACTGGAAAAGGGACAGCACCTCGGCTCCTCCTCTCGCAAAGAGAGGGACAGGCAGAAACAGAAAAGGTACGTGGCAGCTGAGTCTTTTCCCTGGAATCTTGGTAGTTTTGGAACAATCGTGTGTTTCTGCTCCCGCAGTATGTCTCTGCTGAGCCAGCAGCCGTTCCTGTCTTTGGTGCTGACCTGCTTGAAGGGCCAGGATGAACAGAGGGAAGGCCTTCTTACCTCCCTCTACAGTCAAGTGCAGCAGATTGTCACAAACTGGAGAGAAGATCAGTACCAGGATGACTGCAAGGCCAAGCAAATGATGCACGAGGCTCTGAAACTACGTCTGAATCTTGTGAGCGTCTTTCAAAAGCATAGATAGCTGTATAACACAACATCTTAACAAGATTTTGTTTATTCTGATTCAAAATAATTGCACAAGTTTCTAGTTTCATGTGCACCTTATCACACAGAACCGACTTTGGTCTGGATTTGAGTTCTTAGAATAAAAGATTTCATGAAGCGTTTTTGTTTTCTTGCTAAGGTTGGAGGCATGTTTGATACGGTGCAGCGGAGCACCCAGCAGACCACTGAATGGGCAGTTCTTCTCCTCGACATCATCAGCAGCGGCACGGTGGATATGCAGTCCAACAAGTGAGTGTTGCCTACAGGGAGTTTCCAAAGTCACTGTCAGTAATGTGCCTGTCTGGTGCTCATCTCCGTCTCTTTTCTGCAGTGAGCTGTTCACAACGGTGTTGGACATGTTAAGTGTGCTAATAAATGGCACGCTGGCTGCTGACATGTCCAGCATCTCCCAGGGCAGCATGGAGGAGAACAAGAGAGCTTACATGAACCTGGTGAAGAAGCTCAGGGTAGGACCTGTGTGTGTGTGTGTGTGTGTGTGTGTGTGTGGGGGGGGGGGGGGGGGCTGAAAGAGTGTGCAAGTGTGTAGTTGAGCTACGGCAATAATCAAGGGGCTTTTATTCTAGTTTCAGACCTGCCAACCTGTACACACTTTGCTTGGCAGTTATGCAGTTTGGCATCTAATTACCTTGGTATGACTCACCCCTCTAAACTACGCAAAAAGCTGTGGACACGTGAGTTCTGTAGCAAAAAAGCATGTGTGGTACACGACTCAGCACATGGTGAAGAAGTTTAGGCCAGTCATTGTAGAAAAGCAGAAAAAAACAATTCTGCCTAACCTATAGCGTAACCCTCCCCCCGTCTTCATCCTGTGTCCTGCCCGCTGCCTCTCTCCATCCTCCAGTTCCCACTTGCTGCTGTCCTGGGGTTTAAAAAGGTCAAGTGTGTGTCCCTCGGCATTCTTCAAATATCCAAGAAATGCCCGTACTTCTGACTTTTTCTTCTTTGAAGGATAATAAATGTCCCAAGTGCTGCCATCTCCTTTGGCCATTATTTCAGCTTTAGCTTCAAGAAAGTTTTGGTTGTAAACAACAAAGTGCGCATGTGCCGCCGGCTACTTCAGCAGATGATACGGTGGCTGGTAAGGGTCACCGCGCCTACACCACAGCCACGGTAATCCACCGAGATTTTTTTTTTTTTAAAACAAGACGGTTATTATTATTGTCAACTTTTTTACCGGGGTTTACTGCTACACCCGTTACCGTGACAACCCTAGCCCTGACACACTTTCAGATATTCTCATGGTGCAGCTGTGTTCTCCAGAGATCAAGGACTAGGACCCAAATGAGGCTGTAATGCTTTGGCACAAAGACGGTGTCAGAAGCAGGAGGCCAGACTTCATGGACAGAGAAAACAAGGAGTCTGACTAGATTTCAATGAAAGAGTTCATAAAAACATCTCTAAAAATAAATAAATAGTAAAAATGACAAAAGAGTTGTTTTTCTTATTAATTGATGTTTTAATTATTTTGTCACTCTGTCTGGAATCAACATAATATAGAGTAACATGCTTTAGGTAGATCTAAATCATTTAGAATTTTGGTCGGTAAAAAATATGCCGCTTGGCCGGTGAGTAAAAAATTTAATTTCGTACCCTGTGTGTGTGTGTTTGTGTGTGTAAGTGAGTGAGTGAGTTGAAACCCGTTTCTCCAACCACTCTGCAGCGTTCAATCGGCAATATACAAAATAAATCATTACTATTAAAGACATTAACATTTTTTTTATTAATTTTTATTAAGTATCTAAATAATTCAGTGCAATTAAGCTGTTAAGCTGTCAGCTTGTATGAGCATATATTATATAAGGAAAGCAAGAGCAACTTTTGAGTTTTACTGCGTAATATTAGAATGCGTGGTAATTCGGACTATTCAAGAATATGTTTCCAGACAGTAAAATAGCCAAACAATATGGCTGCTGATGATCTAATGACTTTGGGCTCTAGGCCTTTTGCTGCTTCACCTGTTTGTCCCAGAATTAGGGGACGCTCCAGCTCGAAGGGTTAAAAGTGGTTCTGACTAAGGTAAAATCTTTGACATTTGAGGTTGTACGATTTTGTAATTGTTGCTCCGTTTGTTCTTACTCGTACAGAAGGAGCTTGGAGATCGACAGTCAGAAAGTTTGGAGAAGGTTCGCCAGCTTCTGCCGCTACCGAAACAAACCCGTGATGTCATCACCTGTGAACCCCAAGGCTCACTAATAGACACAAAGGGCAACAAGATCGCCGGCTTTGAGAAGGAGGTAGACACACTTTACTCCTCGTTCAACATGACGATCGACAATGGCTTTGGGTTAGGTTCTTATGAATGCTAGAACTTGGAGATTTGGTGGTTCTGAGACAAATAGAGGACAGTGCAAAGACATTGTTTTTGTCATAATGATCAAAAGCAACTGTTAGGCTAATCATCACTGCTTCTACAGCTTCATTTGTTTTTGAAACACTGGTCATTTAAATTTTCTAATGTTCAATATTTCAGGTCTTTTAGGCTTTTGTTATTGATTAAAATGTGTAATTTGGTTCATCAGGGCCTTCAAGTATCAACCAAACAGAAGATTTCTCCTTGGGATGTGTTTGAGGGTCTGAAACACTCAGCCCCTCTCTCCTGGGGCTGGTTTGGAACTGTACGTGTGGACCGGAAGATCACTAAATTTGAGGAGCAGCAGCGTTTCCTGCTCTACCACACCCACCTGAAGCCCAAACCTCGCAGCTATTACCTGGAGCCTCTCCCTCTGCCCCCTGAGGAAGAGGAACCCTTGACGCCTGTCCCTCAGGAGCCAGAGAAGAAGATGATGGAGACGGTGAAAGCAGAGAAGAATGTGCCAGCTGTTCCTCCAGAGTCGAACAAGAAGAAGCCTAGCAAAAAGAAGAAGTCTTCCTCTACCAAAACAGAGGTCTGAGTAGCTTCGTGTCCAACAGGCATGTTTTAATTTAGAATTAGGGAGTTAACTGGCTTTTCTTTGACAGGATTATGGGAATCGTGCAACAGGAGGTGTGAACTACATGCCAAACATTGCCCCAGAGTTAATGCAGAGCCACCCATATGGCAGAACACCCTACAACCCACAGCCCATGGGCATGTTGGCACAGAACCAACCCCTGCCTCCAGGTAAGCCCACAGCATCATCAAAGGCCTAGTTTTGGAGACTAAGCAAAACCCAGTCTTGGTTTTACGTTCCTGTGCCTTTCCATCAGGAGGTCCAGGGTTGGAGCCTCCGTACAGACCTCCGCGTAACATGATAAACAAAATGATACCCACTCGACCCAGCTATCCACCCAACATGGCTGGTTTGGTTGGAATTGACAAGCCATACCAAATGCCCTACAAGCCCCCACCTAGCATGGCTCAGAGCCAGAACCCACGGCAGCAGTTAATGTACAGACTGGTGAGTTGTGCCTGTTCCTACCCGATCAAATAATCCCGTCTGATGTTTATATCCTCTTGTTACTCGAACTAATGTTACAATCACTTTTCTTAGCAAAGCCAAGCTCATGGACAGCCCATGAGGCAAATGGCTCCTAACCAACCATACACGGCAATGCAAGCCTCACAGGTGGGTGCGTTTTAGTCTAAAGCCGGGCGGACACTGTGCGACTTTTTCACTCGTAGCACTCAGCTTCAGCTCAAACTGTACGACTTCCTCGCAGGGCAGATCTCACGAGTCATCTGCTCACACTGCACGACCCAGTTCTCGGATGCGACCTGACTGCTCACACTGTACGTCTGGTAGCAACACGTCGGCCCTAAAAATATGCTAAAAATAGCCGTTTTTACTCAACACGTCAGACTTTTTTGTCTTGTTTTGCCTGTTGTCCTTCGGGAGTGCTGCAGGAGGACACACAGGGATTTATGGGGGTTGGATTAGGAAAACGAAATAAAGAAAGTAAATCTGTGTTTTGTGATCAGTTTAATTTGACATGAACACGACAAACACGCTTTCTTGACAATCTTTGTGAGTAAAAAAACGTGTAGAAACAAAAACGAACAGCGTGTGTTATTAGGGAAATAGCGAGCGGCGTTGATGCATGATTGCGCATGCGCCGTGAGCGGTTCTGATACTTTTTGGGTCGCAGCTGCTCGCAGCGCTGCTTCAACAGTGCGATACCCTCACGAGGGACGAGCAAAATATTAAACACGCCAGAAGTCCGTGCGACCTCACGACTGCTGATCGGTAGCTGGTCACGTGGTGTTAATCGCCTCTCGTAACCCCCTGTACACTACACGACCGCTCGGCGCAAAACTCGCCCCGATGTCGTGGATTCTCGCACGACTGGAAAATCGGCTCAAAAAAGTGAAAAAGTCGCACAGTGTACACCCGGCTTAAGACATCTTCAAGTGTTGACCACATAACTAAGCTGAGAAATCAACATTTCAATTGATTACCAACCTTGTTCCAATCCAGTCTCAGAGCTATACCTCATATGGACCCCACGTGGGCATGAGTGGTGGAATCCTTTCCTCCTCCCCCTATGGGAACCAGAACTTCCAGAGCACCCATCCTGGACCAAACCCCGCCGTGGTGGATCCTCACAGGCAAATGCAGCCGAGGCCTAATGGATATGTTCTCCAGCAGGCTCCAGGCCCCTACGTGCAGATGCCAACAACACCAAGGTCAGCTTTGTAGGACAGCAGCTGCTTAGTCTTGTGTTTTTACTTTTTTAAATTTAAAGCTAAGTCTTTATCTTTACTAATTTTGCTCCTGTTCATTTTTTTTGGGGGGGGGGGGTTGTAAACTTCAGGTTTCCTCAAACCCACCAGTCGAATCCTGTCATGCAGGGTCTCAGCCAAACAGGACCCCAGGGAGTGTATTCTGGCTTGAGGCACAATCCGATGCTGGCAGATCAGCAGCAGCAACAGCAGCAGCAACAAGCAGCGCAGCAACAGCAACATTACAACAGACAAGTAGCACTCCGAGTAAGAGACTGATCACTGGTTTACACAGGTTTTAGCTTGGTTTAGTTTATTCTTAATAATAAAAGGATAGAGTATGATTACAAGGCCTGGAAATTAAAGTTTCTGAGCTTGACGTGGTCTGAGCAGCCTAACTTTCTAAGCAGATTTAGCCTTCTTGAAAAAACTCTAGCCTTAAAATTGGAACATTTTTAAACCTTACACTTTCTGTTTCTGGCAGAAATATGATGCTCCTGCTGGAAGTGCCCCCTGCTGTACCAGAACCAGTACAGCTAGTTGTTGCTGCCAATACCTGAATTATGGATGTTGTAGTAAAAAGGAATCTATCCAACTAGATGAAATATCATTTACATACACCACTGTGACATTTTTGGATTTAAGATGGCAGTGATCCATTTTGGTCTTGGTTTTGTTTGGACCAGTAGTGGAAGAAATACTTGATGGTTTTACTTAAGTAAAAGTACAGATAAGGGGGTGCAAATGACCTAAGGAAAAATTGAAGTATTCAAGAAGTAGTGTTAAAGTATACATTTTCAAATGTACTTTAAAGAAAAAAATTACAAGTACTCAACATTTAAGTAGGGCTTAAAATATGCATTGTGTTGTAAGTGTATGGGTTAAGGTGTTGCCAAATACACCAAAATAAAACAATAAAACAATGTAGATAAGCAAGTCTACTCAACTCTGATTTAAAGTAAGAGCTTAAAGGTACAAGAAGTAAGAAATTTATAGTGAAAAAAATAACAAACCCGTCTAATGTCTCAATGATGTTGAAAGGAAAGTTACACTGAAACAAATTTCCTTCTCAGCCGGCTGGGCGGTTGTCAGTTTTTCTCCTTTCACAATGGTCAAAAACGGACACAGTCACTTTTCACATTCTTTGAGCCTGTGGGGTTGCCAATTCTGTGCTGATCTGACACTGCAGCACTGGCTTTTGTAATTCAACACTGGCTGACAAAACGCTCCAGAGTTGTGGAAGGTATGTTGGCCATTAAAGGAAGCAGCCCAGAAGTTATTTCTTGTACCCCTAAGAAGCCTCGGCATCTTTTTGCTTCAATAGGATAAAGAAGGCTAATGGCTAAAGCTGAGCTAACAATGCCAACAGTGAATTAAAAGGACACAGTCGGATGTAAAAATATCTAAAGCTACTTTTTTCAATTAGCAAAAACTCGATACTACAGTGAAATTAATTTACTCATCAGTTTACTGTGTATGACTCGTCTTTGCTCGTCATCAAGACTCTTCTGGTGCTGAGTTGTAACTGGAAATGTTTGCTCAGAGCAGACTCATTTGTTTTAATACAGACTGCAGTACCCACATTTGACCACTGAATGTCATTCTTTCTTCATGCACCTTTAATGAACAGGAGCATAAAGGCACCCTGGCCTTAGATAAGGATCCAGATTAAATAAGAAACATGATACTTTTAAAGGAATACTTTGCTACTCTTTCATATTTTTAAATGATTTTCTTGAGCCAGTATGTGTTGAAACGAACCTTTACAGGATTAATGAAAGGCCACCCAGGCCCTATCGCCTCCTGTGGCCAGCATATTCCACATGCAATTTCAGCTTGTCTGGCCGCCCTGTTGGAACTAAGAAAAAAATTGAGCTGGCGCTGCTGTCTGGTTCCAGCACGTCTTCTGTTGTACTTCAATTTAAATGAAAAGCAATTTGTAATTACAATGACTACAAATCAGACATCGGCAAGTCACATATATGATGTCACCATAGAATCTCCTCTCCCCTAGCGTAGCTTCTACTGACCAAATGGCCAGTTTCATGGTGGTTCTTTCCTCCTGATGGAAGGATTTGAAGTTGGCTGATTTTACAGCCACTTTTCCTCATCATTTCTCCATGTCTGATTTGATTACGTCAATTGGCGATGTGCATTTGTAGTCCTGGATGTATTTTCACACAAAACCTAAAATAACTTTTGCCTCCATTAGAAAATAACAAATTTAGTCCCACTGACTTGCAGTCAATTTTTCGTTCTTCCGGGGACCCATGGTCCGGAAGAAGATGGGCGTGACTTAGGCTCACTATTGAAGCAAAATACAGAAATCGCCATAAAAACATTAATAAAAAGGATCTCTTTCAATTAAACATGTTAAAAACTGTTGTGTCTCATTGGTTTAGCAAAGTAAAAAATACTTAATTAGTTTTGAGTAATGTTTTAATTTACCTGGAGGTTTTTGAAGAAAATCACTTAATTTTTCATAAAAATCTATAAAAAATGTACAGGACTGTATGAAATGTGTTAAAGGCTGTTGTTGTGGGATTGGTCTAGCTTAGTAACACCGTTGGGAATTAGGTTGGAGTATTTTAATCAATTTACCTGTAAGCTATTGACAAAAAAGTTTTACTTATAAAAAAAAGGTCAGATTGTATGAAATATGTTTCTAACTATTGTGCCTCGTTGGTCTAGTTCAGTAAGACAACATGGAATTGATTTTCAATAATTTAATTAAGACTAGAAACTGTTGACGGTCCCTAAGCGGACCACCGCTTTCATGAGCAAGTCCCCGGAACACAGCTGACCGCTGTCTCTCTCTGGTGCAGCACACGGCATGAAAATCTCCGGCTAACTGTGGTGAACTATGAGTGTATATCTGTCAAATGTCCAACATCCAACTGTGGTGCAGCGGAGTGAGGTGACACGAGGCACCCCATACCCTTCTCATGCATGGAAAACTTGGCAGCCCTTGCGAGACTGCTCAGGCCTGCTGAGGACCTAGTGGAGTGTGGCTAGACTGACCTGCAGAGACTTTTGCTCCTGCTACGGTCTCTCTACATTTCTAGGCTAAGGTTGTTGTCGTTTTAATAACAAAAAGAAAAAGCAGTGACAAGGAAAACTTTGCTTCATCTGAAAGGCTAACTTTTTTCTGTTACGTATACATTATCACTACATTTCAAAGAACTGAAAAAGAGAAAATAAACCTTAAAACCTTAGAGAAGCAAGCTGGTGCATTCAGTGAACTGAGACGTTCTTTGGAAGCTTTACCTTTTTTTCAGTGGGGGCTCTGAAGGGCATTAGAGTGAGAAGCCGATGAATTTAGACATAACTTTACTGAAGTTAGTTTCTCTTGCTGTAATACTTTTGTCCTTCTGCAGCAGCAGCAGGCTCAAGCTCAGCAGCAACAGCAGCAGCAGCAGCAGGTTCAGCAACAGCAGGTTCCTCCTCAGCAGCAGGTTTCACAGCAGCAGCAGCAACAGCAGCAGCAGGTTTCAGCCGTGGCTCCTCCAGGTCAAACACAGAACCAGGGTCTGAACATGCAGCCACTGCCCCCTCAGCAGCCCATGGTAAGTATGACTCATAAAAGCCTTTAGTTGTCCTCTGGTCTGCAAAATATAGTAGAATTTTAAATGACCCTAATGGTTGGACATTTATTTATTCAATAAAAAAACTTAATTGTCCAGTATAATCCATAAAAGTCCAGTTCTAATTAGTTTTTCTTAGTTCAAAATAAAAACAAAAATTTAGTGATGTACCGATATCCGATATTAAGATCACTGTTATGGCCAATAACCGATATTTGCCAATACCGATATACTGACATTAATGCTTCTAAAATCAGCAGATTTTGTATAGAATGAAAATTATTAAAGCTGAATTTACGTTATTACCGTAAATCCTCTAATACAGGCCGGTATTCAATTAAAGGCCGGGTCTCCAATTTTGGCCGGTGTCGGAGTCAGCGGAGGTGAATAATGGCCGGTCTCTTATTGTGGCCGGGTGGAATGTGGTAACAAGCAAGTACAAGCATCCCAGCGGCAGGGTTATAGTCCCCAAATCAACCAGCAGGAGCCAATAGAGGTTCACACAGACCTTTATTAGGCTTTTTCTTCAACGCTTTGTAACGCTACAGACACGATCCTCTATCACGCTCCTACCACACAGAGTCACGGTGTCAGTTAACCATGCTAATTCAACCCGCTCCACAGAACACACATCACCTTCCCTGTGGCTTACATAACACTCACACAACACGCAAATCAGCACATAGGAACTAGCAGAACGATAGGAAACACATATAACACAATACCCAGAATGCACCTGGCTTACAACCCCAGCCAGGTCATTACACTATCAAGTTCAAAGAGAACGTGCTGATTATGCTGCAGAACACTCTGGAGAGCAGCAGTAGGGGGTGTATGAACTAGTCAACTTCACTATAGTGACTTTTTATGCCTGTCGCTGTCACGTGATAATGACCGGCAAGGTGCAGCCCTCGGAAAAGACAGCAGCCTGCTGTCAGCAGGTGACAAGCTCCTGCGCTCGGGGGGGGGGGGGGGGGGGGGGGGGGGGGGCAACGCGCTGTGCCAGACCGTAGGTACTGACACGCGATCGTTCATGTCGGTTCATTTCCTTTAATGTTTTCTGTCTTTTATTTGCGCTTGATGTGTATCGCTGCTGTGGAGCGGGGCGCTTCACCTTGTCCTCCGACGCACAGATCACTGATGCGGCCTCCAAGCAGGGAGCGCTCCGCTGTTTTCGCGGTCGGTAGATCTGCCTCCTGAGCACGGCCACAGTAACAATCAGGTGTCGCCACCTCAAAAACTAATTTAACACGCGATCGTTCATGTCGGTTCATTTCCTTTAATGTTTTCTGTCTTTTATTTGCGCCTGATGCGTTTCGCTGCATGCTGTGGAGCGGGGCGCTGCCCGCATCACCTTGTCCTCCGACGCACTGATCACTGATACGGCCGCCAAACAGCGAGCGCTCCGCTGTTTTTGCGGTCAGTAGATCTTTTAGAACTGCAGTTCAAAGGTAACTCATGAGGTGAATATACATGAACCCAGGTAGCAGTTTTTCTTTAGGATTGAGAGGAGATGCAGGAAGATAATAAACAGACAGGACAGAAAAATAGTCAAATAAAAACAAGTTAGTTTTTGTACCTGGTGGTTGCAACAAACTGACACCATTGAAGGTCATCAGAAGTGAGGAACAGAAAATGAAATAATTATTTTAATGTTTAGAGCAGCAGGAACTCCGAGAGGCTGCAGGCGCATCAGTGAGTTTGCGGCCGCTGCGCAGGGGGAGGGGGGAGAGGGCTGAAGCAGGGGGAGTGGGGAGATGGCTGAAGCAGAAACTACCGTTGTTAAAAGAAATGTTTAACTTTGAAAATGTGGGCGCAATTTTAATTGTCAAAAACTCCAGCGAACCATTAGTTCATTTTGCTCAAATAGAAATAGAGGCCTGCCTCTAATACTGGCCCTCCTTCCAATAAAGGCCTGGAGCTTGATGAGCTTGAGTCAAATACAGGCCCGGGCCTGTATTAGAGGATTTACGGTATATACACACAACACACACATTTACGGTTTTGAGATGATTACGATCACTGTCACATGACTAATCAAATACACATCACCCCCCTCACCCTCTGAAACAGATAAAAAAAAAGGAGACAAGATAGAAAAATATCTGTTAATATTGGCCCGGTTTTATTTATTGGACCGATACCAATATGTTTAAAAAATTACTAACGTCGGCCGATACCGATATTGTTGTCGATATATTGTCCATCCCTACTAAAATTATACTTAATAACTTGATTTTGTTTATTTATATAGTGGTAGGATACGGGAGAAGTGCTTAACATCAGGGGGGAGTATGTCATTGAAAAGCTAGTTTTGATATTTCAATCATAGTACCATAGTAGTTCATGCTTTTTTTATTCCACTACAGGTTTGCACAACTGTAGCTGGGCATTTTATTATACAGAAACATAGAGCTGCTATCTGCACTAAAGTAAAATTTGAGGTATATCACATGATATCACAGCACCCCTTCTACGGAAAACTAGCTAGCATGTTAGAAGTCACTCTGTCACTTCATCGTTCACACAGTCACTGTTGGTTTAATATAGGTAGAGCTGTAATCATCATGTAGCTGCTACAGTAACATGCATTTATTTGTTCTCATTTCATATAATTATAAGGTTTAAAACAGGATGTCATTCAATTTTATGTCATGTTACTGTCCCCTACTGGCAGATCTGAGTATTGCACCATGAGGTGCTTTCAGCAGATAGAGACACACAGGCTGTTGAAGACTGAAAGATGGAAAAAAAAAACTATGACAAAAATGGAAGTTATTGGCTGCATTTCCTCTTAAAGGCCCACACAGTAGGCTTGTGTATTTATGTCAGTATTATTCTGTCTACTTTATCAGCAAATTTGAAAATTGACTAGCTGTAAAACCGCTGATTTGGAGAAGGGAAGGTAATTTAACTATTGTTTTGGAAGTGTGGTCATTTTTCAACTGTTCATTTAGAAATGTATTATTATTAGGACTAAGAAGGTAAATCTTGTCACAAGTCGCCCCACCAAGATATTTTCTCTCCAGCCACCACTGCTTTTCACATTCTTTCAATTTAATGTGAGAATATTGTTATATTGTTCAAATGAGAAAATTAGATTATAGTAACATGATAGTATATCTTAAATGGAAATGTTGTTTTAGAACAATAAAAATAGGATGTTACTCTAATTTTATTTTGCATGGGGGCCAGCTCTGTTTGATTGGTCCTAGCTTTATCCATTTGCATGCAGAGACTGTTTAAATGACAACCGTAGAATCCGCCCGACGACTGAGTTCTGTCGTTGTGGCTGGTCATGGCCAGTATATTTACATTCATAGGCTTCTTATTTTCTGCACCATTAGACAAGTAAATTCTTAATAACTGATAGATACATTATGATTTCCTGAAAATTGCACACCATCTTTTTAGGTGGGACAACTTGTGCAATCGATGGCTGCCAAAAACATTTTTGCCCCACTGCATGTTATTTTTAATATATGGACTATTTATTTGTTTAATTGTTTCAAATAGGTTATATTTTAGATTATTAAGTTGTTTAGAAACGATTAGAAACGGAAATATGTGGGCTACTTAGAAGCATACTCAACAGCACTGAATCTGGCTAAAACAGAATGCATCAGTTAAGCTAAAACAAGGAGAGACTTTATTGCTAAAATTGTGCTTATTTGTTTTCTTAGTTTCATCGACATGGGATGCCACAGACTCAGCAGCTACAGCAGACTCAGCAGCAGCAGCAGACTGCAGCTCTGGTCCGGCAACTGCAACAACAACTTTCCAGTAAGTCACAAGCCTGCCTTCAGTAACTTCCTCTCTGGTTTCAATCTTTTAAATATCCTTTATCTCCTCTTTCAGATACACAACCAGGACAGGGCACCAATCAGTTTTACTAAAAATGTTAATAGCTGTGGGGACAAGAGGTCTTTGTTTTTGTGGGGCAGCCATGTTTTGTAAAATATATCCAGTCCGTTGTAGGCAGGTGGAGCGAAAGACACAAAGGACCACCTTAAAACAACAATGAAGAGCCAAAACCCACCTTAATTATAAAGGCAACAATTAGAAGATACCAAGACTTCAGATGTGTAATTATCGTTTATCACAAATGAGTCTGATGGTTAAATTTTGGTTCATTAAAAAAAAAAACTTATGTAAAAAAATACCACAAATTATAATAATGCATTTTTTTTATTTACCTTGTACATTTTTTCCCAGTTTTGTGTACTTCTCATTAAAAATATCATGTCAATTTTTGTACTTGTGTTTTCTGCCATAGATTGAAGTCTCAAGATTTTTTTTTATCCTCTGAACATAATTTGACAGGAACAGGTTTGTAAAGGTTCTGATTTAGTTAAGTAAGACAACCCGGAAACACAGTTTGGCTCCAAAGATTCAAATAAATCTAACAGCCAACTCTTGTAACTGAACCCTGACACTGTTATAATTTTTCATTATACTGACAGATGAAACCAACTTCACTTAGTATTTGCAGATTTCTTTGTTTTTGTTGGTTTTTGTTTATCTCTATTCTGACTTTCCAAGCGACTAAAAAGCACTCCTGACTCAGGTCCTAGAGGTCTCCCTTCAAAGGGAGAGTCCAGTCCTTGAGACCTTGGCAGGAAGTTCAGAGCAGTCCAGCTCCTTTCGTCCGGTGGCACTCCGAGTCGAGTTAGCAGCTTGTTAGACATTTCTGGCACCACCGGCTGAAGGAGAGTCCCATAAATTCTCAAACATTCAAGGGACACGTGGAGGACAGTGTCAAGCCAACGCCGGTCTCGACTGTCCTTCCTTTCCAACTTCCATGGTGCGTGGCGCTGAACAAACCCATTTGTCTGCCTCACACAGCCACTGATGGCCTCCAGAGCTTTATACACATGCATACTCTCATAGTGCTTCTCAACCACAGCTGGGAGACTTTTGACTGCTGCCAACATGTGGAGGTCATCTGTTACAGCTCTGCCTCCCTGGTCACCGTGGAAGGACTGAGAACAGAAAGAGGGATAAACCTGATCTGGGTTTAGCGCTGGAGCTGTGCAGCGGTTCAGCAAACCACCTAAAGAGTCTGCAAGCTCAGCGTTGAGCAGCTTTATTACTTTGTCTTGTGTGTAATCGCAGTCAGAGTCTGGGACTCCCTGGCGTAACAGAAAGTACCTCATGCCATCGTTTGTAAACTTCTGCGAGTGTTCGAGAGGGTCCACCACATTACCCAAACTTTTAGACATCTTCTTTCCTCCTACTGTCCAGTGTGAGTGGACATGGATGACCTGTGGCAGCGGGAGTCCGGCTCCTAGAAGAAAAGCCGGCCAGTAGATGGCATGGAATTTTAATATATCCTTTCCAATAACGTGATGAGCTTTGTGCCACCATTGGTCATGTTGATCTGGATAACCAACGGCAGTGAGATAATTCACAAGAGCATCCAGCCACACATAGATGGTTTGTTCGGTGTCTCCGGGGACCGGGATGCCCCACTGAAGGCGATTTCTGTGTCGAGACACGGAGAGATCTGGAAGGTCTTCCTGCAGCCACTGGAGAACAACGTTGTAGAAGCGCTCTGGCTGTATAACCCCAGGATTCCCTCTTAACCAGTCGACCAACTGAGACTGAAATGAAGACAGGCGGAACATATAGTTCTCCTCCTTCATCCACTCCACCTGGAAAACAGTTGAGTAGATTTATAAAAACATCTGGAGTTTCCATTCATAAAGAAGAGGAACTTGACCTTGGGATGACCCAAGACAGTCAGCACAACATTATTGGGCGATTGCTCCTAATAACAAATAAACTTACAATGTAATTAAATCCTTTTAAAGGTTTTTACAGAATAATCCAAGTTACCTTATGCCCACTCTCCAGTGACACTTTAACCTCCTTTCCCAACGAGTCCAGAGCATTGCCAACCTGCGACGGCGTAAGGAAGCTTTCGTCTTGCGTGGAGTACCAGCCTTCATAAACCCCCTTGTAGATGAGCCCTTGGTTCCAGAGCAAGGACCAGAAATGCTTCACAGCCTGATGGTGCCTCAGCTCGGTGGTTCTAATGTAGTCTGTAAAGGAGATGCTGCAGCTGCTGAACAGATGTTTGAATCGCTCTGACACACCAGTGCAGAAGGTAAGGGGATCTTTTCCTGCAGCTTCAGCAGCTTGCTGGATCTTTAAGCCATGTTCATCTGTTCCTGCAATTATGAAGATGACAAGGTATCACCTGTAAGTAAAAAATGATTCATTGAACGCCACATTCTACATCACACGGCCACTCTCCCCACCTTCCGAATAGATTTGATTACAATTTTGCAAGGATAAAACCTTAATGTAAATTTAAACTGGAAAAATGTAAAATTAAATATGGAATAAATTAACTGGAAAAAGACTAAAAGCAAAAATTACACCCGAGATCACATTTTCCCCAGTTGTTTTATTTTGTGTCACATAGTTCTTACCTAACTGCTGAATTGTTAATTTGTCTCATATGTTTAGTTTTATTAAAGCTGATATAGCGAGTCTGTGAACAAGCTAGGTTTTGAACGCAACATGATCACAAAACACTCGCCCCTGCCCTCGGGTATCTTCCCTGAGACTGAATTTTGGCCGACATAGAAAAAATTGAACATATCGGTCAGCCTCTAGCTTTCGATCTGAAATGTGTTATTGGCGGAGATTTTTAGACAAATGTGAGAGAACCACTTGCTTACTCTCCACAATACATTTATAACTATACTATGTTACAACAGGTAAGATATTAACTAGGGATGCACAATATATCAGAATTGGTATCGCCAATGTCAGTCGTTTTTTTACATTTCAGTATCGGTCCGATAAGTCAAACTGGGCCGATATTAACTAGGGCTGAATGATTAATTGCATATGCAATTAATTGTGATGTGACAAAAGGAGATTTCCCAATTGCAAAGGATCTAGTGTAGTTTAAGATCTAAAATGAATTATTGCAGGAAAAATATTATTTTAACACATCATTGATTGATGCACAAATTATGCACACACTTTAGGATTTAGCATGAGATGATTATATGACACTTATGCAATAATCACATTTTAAAAGTCATTTATGATTCAAGGAAGATGAACTTTATTCAGAGTGAGGAGGTCTCGTCTTCTGCATGAGACCTTGAGCAAAGATATTATGGCTCCCTTGTTCGGTAACGAGGCCTTATGCAGTGCTTTCTTGTTTGGGGGCCAGACAGATGTGGTGCTTGTGTCTGCAAATTAAAAAGTTAATTTCTGGTAATTTTTGATGTAAACTTGACCTTTGGGTACGCTACACTAGCAAACGACCGTAAGAGACTTTACCTCCACTGAGTTATATGACTAGCAGCTATGGATGTAACTGAACTACGGAAGCTCTGCATGGACAAGACGTCAAAAACTCTAAACACAAAAGACTTCAGTAAATGGGACACACTTCTTTCCTGCAAATAAATTTTTACAGTTGATACGAATACCTATGCTCCTTCAAGGGATGTGCTCCAGGCTGCGCAACATTGCATCTTCAAATACAAAATGTTGTCTTTACTTATGAGTGTTTATGTAGACAAACTTGTTGATATTATTTGTAGATAAATATGCAGATATATAAACTTGTTTATATTCAGTATGTTACATAGATTTATTTTGCTTCCGTTAGTTGAAAAATAGGAGAAAAGTCCCTTAAGAAAATAATCGTGAATTAAATCGCAATTGCAATACTGAAGAAAAAAAATTGCAATTAGATTACTTTCCAGAATCGTTCAGCCCTAATATTAACAACTGATATTTATTCAGTCTTGTTTCCATTTGTGTATCTGTTTCAGAGGGTGAGGGGGTGATGGTTTAATTGTTTATGTGGCAGTGACGGAAATCATCTCAGAAGCATAAGTGTGTGTTGTGTGTGTACATAACGTATTGCAAATTGCACTTTATAGAAATAAAGCAAAACATTCAAAAACGTATCTTGCATAATTGTCAGTCTATACAAAATTTGCTGATTTCAGAATATATATATATATATATATATATATATATATATATATATATATATATATATATATATATATATCTCATTACCGGCCATACCAGGGATAGTAATATCGGTATCGGCCCAAAAATTTGTATTGGTGCATCCCTAATATTAGCACAACCTTTCCACAGAAACCAGATTTGATTTGAGCCTTTTTGGATGCCAATCACTTGCAAGAACACAAGAGAATAAGGTGGATGAAGAATTTACCTGTAGCAAACCTTGAGTTGAACCCCTGAAGCTGCTTATATCTGTGTAAACAGTCCGCTATTACAGCAGAATACAGGTGTCCGAGGTGAGGAGCAGCATTCACGTAGAAGATGGGAGTTGTTATGTAGAAGTTCTTCTCGTCTTTAATCAGCTGAGTGCTGCTGCATCTCAAAGCACAGCTCCGCAGTCTGGGAATTTGAAATAAAAACTGTTTTTGTTGAACTCTGCAAAAAGCCTCACAGCCTCTGACAGTAATAAGAAAAGGAAACTTCATCGTTTAACGACAGGCGCCGCTGACAGAGAATAATCCAGAGGGTGGCGAAGTCCTAACGCTTACCGAGAACTGTGATAGCTGAAACGGTAATATCTAATTGTCTTTTATGAGATGTTTAAAGGTAAAACGAACAGTTTCAGTTACCCATGTGTTCATTTGATTGCTTGTCAAGGTTAGCATTTCTTCCGCCTTTTGTGAAAACTCCTCGTCCAACCAAAATACTAGAACGAGCACGTGGACAAAGATCCACCAATCAGATTGTGAAATTTCTCTTGGGGTTTTTTTTCTTCTGAAAACTTTATTGCTCAATAATTTGGTGAACAGAGAACGCCTAAAACGGAGATCACCAACTCCAGCCCTCTATGGAAACCAACTTTTGCTGATTTCGTGTCCCAACTCACCTGATGAAGGGGTCACTAACAGGCTTCCACAGAACGACTTGATGAGGAGATGATTAAAAAATCAGTTGTGGTGGAGCAGCAAATAGAACTATTGGTTAACCCTGATCTAAATGGTTAACATAATCCGTGTCCCCCTTCTTACTAATTGTTAGCATTCAAACTATTGTTTTCCTGTTTTTCTTTCTTTCTTTCTTTCTTCTTCTTCTTCCGTACACTTTTTGAACCTCTTCTTCAAATTTTGAGCTATTTCAACAATTTTATATCAAAACGTTCAGCTCGTTAGCTCTTTTCGGCTATAACTTTTGGCATTGATATCTTTTAAATTTTTCTAGTTATTAAAGAGCAAGTAACGTCTAAACTAACTTGTTTTTGCTGATGAACTGTATAAATGAGTGGCTAATAGTGTTTTAAATGTGGGTATTCATTATTTTAGCATTTTGGTGCATTTTCTTTAAAAATAAAAAATTCTGCCTAAATACCACAGTATAGCACCGCCTTCAGCTTAAAACATAGAGTTTGAGTCATTTTGAATACACTTTAACCAATGGCTACAGAGTAAGATACTACGTAAACCAGTAGAGTACTACGTAGCAGCTCTGTGTCAAAGTTATAAAGCATCGAGAGTCTCGGCCACGCCTTGTGGCAAGTTGGGAGTCGGATTTGCAAGCGAGTGTCGGACAGTTAGCCGTAATTCAGCATTAGCATCTAGCATTAGCATATCCTAGTCTTTATAGCTTTTAGTGTTATACATACTTATTTAGTGTTAGTTTGGCTGTTAGATATTGTAGTTTAGTTAGTGTTTGGCTATTAGTGTAATTAGGAAAGTAGTTCGGGTTTAGTGTTCCATATCGTGTTAGTATGGTGAGAAGGTGTAGTGTAGTGGGTTCGAGGGCTCTGTGGTGTTGCACTCCTTTCCGCTGGACTTAGAAATTAGGCGCCAGTGGTTGCGCGCAATCGGTGTCTGGCAAACAGTCAGCTCCCGCCTGGTGCTGTAGTTTGCAACCAGCATTTTACCCGCGATTCCTTTGCCAACATGATGGAGTTTGGGTTATTCTGCACGCCTCCGTTTGAAGAGGGAGGCCGTGCCCACCGTGGCTCTTCCACGATTTAGATGCAGCCCACCGACTCTGCTCCCCCACCACGGCGGGCTCCAGTCTGAAGTGAGTAAGCTAAATAAAATTTTTACATCTTCTAATGACAATTCCCTACCTAAATGCAAAGTTTAAGAGATGTGGTTCACTCCATTTAGCTAATATCAGCCTGCACTGCCTTCGGGCTAATTTGTCAAGTTCACAAAATGTGGAACGGGATGCAAGGTTAGAATCAGCGGCGAATCTGAACATATCTCGAAGCCCTGGCCGATGAAATGGTCCACATGACTATTACTGTCAGGCTCGGAGAAAATTCGGGTTGTTTTTGTGTCAGTCGGTAATTCTGCAACAGTGGCTCTAACTAACGCGCACTAGTTGACAGACAGCATTACAGCGTGAAATCCAGCTTGTGACCTGGTTCTGTAAAGAATTCTGTTCAGGAGGTCGCATTTCAGGCTCTCTTCACATCATATGTGACTGACTTTTACATTATAATAACGATCACACACTAGAAATGTTATAAAGCGCCTATATAGGATAATTTATTTTGTATATTATCTATGACTTTATAAACTCCAACAACAATGTGCTTCTTCTTTTTTTTCAGGCTAAATCTACCCAAGACACTGGCTGTCAGACTGTCAGTCTGCAAGAATGCACTTGTCCAGGCTGACGTGAAGCCTTGCCGGCGTAGCAAAGGTGAATTATTTTTAATAATCGTCTATGTAAACATTTTATTATCACCTTCTAGTTTTAATTTGTTTTACAGATTATTGTTACACGTGATTTTATGCTCTTTTAAACATTTATAAATGTGCTGTTTCTTTGTTTTTTACATAGCCACCCAGTTTAGAGCTCCTAGCCTCAGTGTGTCTTGTGACACAGGGACCATGAAGGAAATTCATCTTCCAGAAAGTCCCAGAGCAGTGTTCACAGCCCCTGAAAAGACCAAGATGTGAGGTGTCTGCTGTTGATTCCAAATCGATACATCAAATTGACCAGTTTGGTCTCAGGAATCTTGTATTCAATTTTAAATGCGTTATCTGTTACCATGGCAACACAAGGAACTACATATCACTTTAACCAAGTCTATTAGGAATGAATATTAAAAAGCTGAATATTGAGCCAATAACAGACTCCTGTTTTTGATCTTTTTGAACTATCTGTACTTAAAACTAGAAACAAGTTAAATTTGATTGACCGTCAGAAGGTGGGAAAGTGCCCCGCTCCCACCTAGCCCCCTGAATGGTTGAGAGAGGTCAATCATCTTCTGGCCCTGTTCGGCTTTCATCCACTCCCCCTGCTGCGTCCATCTGCTCTCGTCTGCTTTCCAGGCGAGGCGCTGCTCAACTCGAACTAGGCCAATGACGCTGCCGCTGTCAGTCACGTGAGCGTTTGAGGACCGATGCACACAGATGCAGAGTTGGAGACTAAAGCTTGGTTTATGCTTGACACATTTACTTTCCGCTTGGTGATGCGGCTCGCGGATGGAACGAGCTTCACAACTTGCAGCGTTTATGGTTCATGCGGCTTGTCTCTGCGGTGAGCCAATATTCTCCCAAACTGAACGGGGCAGCATGGAGCTCTACGGCATGCATCCAACACTACACCATAGTAGAAGTAAAAATTACTGTTGTTTACAACATGGCATTCTAGCATTTTTAACAGCGTCCTCGTCTTTTCCGACAGCGTGAGCTATTTTTCTCCAAGAATTATTAATCACGGTGATCTTTGAGAGCTGAATCATAAAAAAGTCTGTATTTACGAACCTCTGCCATACTAGTTCTTGCCAATCGGCCATGTTTTTCCACGTCCGACCATCTGCGTCGTTAGAAAATTTCCTAGATGCACAGTGCGGGAATTTTGGGCCGTGCGAAGGCGCGGTGGAGGAGCGTGGCTGTTAAAATGATGCAATTTCGCCGCGCAGAGCCGTGCGAACCTCGCAGACACATCAAGCATAAACCAACCTTCATCTCCTGGACAAGTACGTCTTTAAAATATAATTAGAGGATAAAACAACATGACATGAGAATAATAATTGTAAAACAACGTGTCAACAGTTTGTTGGCCAGAGAGGTGGGCGTTCACGAACCCGAGGCTTTGCTTTCGGCTATAAATAAATATAAATCAAGTATTATGTTGCAGTAGGCCTACATATCATCATTGGATTAAAGCACTCTGGATTGTGGCGTTAAATAAATAAAAGCAAATAAGAGCTGCTCAACAGCACATTATGAAATGTTGTGATATAAGACTTTGAAACAAACTGTTTACAAAGAGAGGGCTCGTGGTCCGGACGTGGCTCGCGGGCCACCATTTGTAGATCACTGGCTTAGAGCAATATAAAATGGTATCATCTTCATACATATGAATGGAACTTGTGGAGCAGCAGAGAGGGAGATTGTTTATAAATACGAAAAACAATTATGGCCCTAGTGATGAACCCTGCAGAACTCCTCTAGAAACTTCCCTGATTTGTGAATTAGCAACTGTCAAAGAGACAAATTGAAAGTGATAGTGGAGAAAGGAATTGAACCAAAGTTCTAGACAGCCTGATTGCATTTAACTTATCTAGAAGCAAATAATGATCAACCAAATCAAAAGCTTTAGTAAAATGAAGGAAAATCATCCCAGTGAGCAAGTTCTTATCAAACCTTAATAAAATCATTAACAAGTTTGGAAAAGTAGCAGTGGTCGAATCTTCCTGAATCCAGACTGAAATTGAGAGTATATTGTTGTCCTTAAGATAACTGTAAAGTTGGCTAAAAACTAGATTTCCAAAAACTTTAACGACTGCATTTGTTTGGACTTATTATTATTTGACTCCCTTAAAGGGACTTTTCGGACTTTTGAATTTTTATGCTTGCGATTGCCCCCTCAGGCCAAAAGCGTAACGGCAGCTTCAATAGTAGGCTCGTGCACGGGGCACGCATGCTGTACGTGCACACTCCCTAACGAAAGTAACAGCTGAGACAGTCCCGTGTGTGTGTGGCCCGGAGGACAGAAGAACACAGCAAATTAATAAAAATAATGTGCCTCTGTCTCTGCAGCTGCACTTTCTCGTCGGCCAGCCGAACGTGCAGTGTGTGTGTGTGTGTGTGTGTGTGTGTGTGTGTGTGTGTGTGTGTGTGTGTGTGTGTGTGTGTGTGTGTGTGTGTGTGTGTGTGTGTGTGTGTGTGTGTGTGTGTGTGTGTGTGTGTGTGTGTGTGTGTGTGTGTGTGTGTGTGTGTGTGTGTGTGTGTGTGTGTGTACACGTACGTACGCGCGTGGCCCGGAGGAGAGAGGACAGGAGAACATGCAGCTAATTAATTAAATAATTTGGTTCTGTACCTTTCGCTTCAGCACAGCCGACAAAGGTTTATGATCGGTCAGTCCTCCTGCATACTCAGATCATCCCCTTTCCTTGCTTGAAAATTTGTTCCAAAATGAAAGTTGAACCCACATCTTTTTTATCTGTGAATTCAATGCCTTTCGGCGAGTCTCAAATAAAAATTTGGCCATCTTATTACTGTAAAAAATTGTCATTAATGTAAAAAAGAAACTCCAAATAACAAACTATGTTTACACCCAGAATCCAACCCTGATCTTCTGCATGAAATTCCAAAGTCTTACTAGGTGAGCTAAAGCGCCAGTGACATTCTTTGTATCTGTAACATTTATATCCTTGAAGACAGCTGTGACAACGTCAATCCAAAGAACGGTTTGGAGCAAAAACGGCTATTTTGTTGCTAATTTGCAGGAAATATCTAGAAGAAAGTTCTACAGAAAGTAGCTAATGGTCCTCAGAAATGTGGCTAAGTTTGTCACTAGGCGTTTAGGAACAGCGACAGTCGCTGAGTTAGCACTGCCTCACTCTCTGCTGCTAAAGGTACAGATAGCAAATGCTAAGCATTGCCCATGGCCCATGGGCTATGCCTGAACGTGAACTCGCATGAAGCAGCCTGCTCGACCCGAGCATCTCTTTTTCTGTGATTTTACAGAAAAACAAACAATCACAGTAAAAATGCCAGGGCTCATTCTACAGTACCAGGGCATTGCAGGAGAATGTATGAAGGAGAAATTTACTATTTCTATACACAGTTGACTGTAAACTTCCTTATAGTCCCTTTCAATCAGGGGTGTCAAACTCAGTTTTGCTCAGGGGCCACATTGAGGAAAATCTAGTCCCAAGTGGGCCAGGCCAGTAAAATTAAAGTATGTATAAATTAAAAACTGCTTCAGATTGTTTTCTTTGTTTTAATATGGTCAACACTAAACAAAGCTGGAGCCTGAGGACAGTGTATCCAAAATAGTTTAAGCACAACATCACTATTAATAATAAAACACCTGAAGTGTTTTTGAAAATGTGAAATACAAAACAAAAAAAAAAAAAACCAGACTATTCCTCAGTAATTCAAATAACTGATTCACAGATCACATGGCTATATCAGTTTCATGCATGTCTTTGACTCCTGGTACCTGACATCTTTTAGATTTCACCAGCAGTTGAATTGAAAAATGAAAGCTTATAAAAGTCTGAAAATAAGGTTTACACAATCATCTCGCAGGCCAGATTTAAACTGTGTGTGGGCCTGATCCGGCCCGCGGGCCACATGTTTGACACCCCTGCTTTAAATAAAGGAAATATTTTTGTAACTTTCCATGGAACGAGAACTGAACAAGTATTAAATGAAAGATTAAAAAGCATGGCTAATGGAAGGGCAAGTTCATAAGCTGCAATTTTGATGAATTTGCAGTTGATCCCATCAGGACCTGGAGCACCAGAAGAGGGTAACGCATGAATCGCATACAAAACATTATTGGCTGAAATTTGTGAAAAAGAAAAACTGCTAGAAGTAGTTAATGGTAAAATACTTGATCTAGACCACTGAGTAGGTGATTTAAGTTGTGGAATTGTCGCAAAATGGATGCTAAAACCATCAGCAATTTCTGCCGGTAGCTTGACCCATTAAACCTAGGTTTCTTGGCTTACCTCTAAGATTATTAACACTATTCCAAAATCGCTTGGGATTATTAAAGCCATTATTTCAACAATTTCTATAATTATCCGACTTGGCATTTCTTGTTTTCGTTGTACAGATGTTACTTAGTTTTTTAATAGAAACTCAGTCGCCATGTTGTTAGTACTTAGTCTCCACAATATTCCCTGTAGAGTTGCCTTTACATAAAAGTCAAAAATCTATCTTTTATTCTTTTACAAAAATCACATACGATTTTGTCGATTCTGCACTTAGTTAATGATAAGTTTAATTGATTGGTTGAATTTAGTTATTTTTTGTGTACCCTGCCTCAATCTACTTTTGTCTCGTGCCTCGCTCTTCTTATACTGGGTATCAGCATGTTCTGGTAACTTTTCAAGCTGGGAAACCTTTCTGGAAGTTGTGCCATTTGTTCAATTGTTTAAATAAACATTTCTGAACGTCATCCATCTTGGATTGCTATGAAGCAGTGGGCGGCGCTGTCTCAAAAACAATAGAAGCCTGAGCCTGCAGTTGGCGTGAAACTGGAGCAAGCCTGAAGCTGCGGGTCTGTAGCTCCTCTAGCTCCGTCGCCATTTTTTTATCCATAAGCCCCTCCCCCTGGTGGTGCATCCTCTCCTCTCCGGGAAGCGGTCCGACTTTCATTCACTCCTGTGTGGAAGGGAGCGCCGCCTTTCTTGCTACATGTCCTGTGTTGAAAGATGGCTTCACCAAGGGCAGTAACAATATTGGCCCTTTCTGTTGCTCTGGGTTTATTTTTTGTGTTCATGGGAACCATTAAGCTCACCCCGAGACTGAGCAAAGATGCCTACAGCGAGATGGTGAGTAGAGCTGAATCCCAACCGTCAATGGCCGCATCATTAGCGGTTAATAAAGACCATTGTTCTGGGCTGGCTCCAAACGCGACGGGCTTGGAGTCTGTGGCCTAAATAGTAGAAGAAGCAGCTGTGCGGTCCGTAGAAACTTGCTCTCCATCTTTCGTGAAACGTGGATAATCCTCCGGCCTGTAAGGTTATAGATGTGTTTAAACATGCATTCATTTATTTGTAGTGTTGCACTACCGGGAAATAATACAACATAACAGCTAGCTAAAACAGGGATATTTATGTAAAGTAGAACTGGAAGTGATGGACCCACTGCCATCTTTGCTGCATTTGCTTAGCTGGAACAGTTCAGCATCTGAGGAGCAATGGCGGAGGATTCGAGTAATTTCTGTGGGATGCACCTGCAGATGCTGATGTGGAAACAGCATCCCCCCCGGATGGAGACATTTTACAGAAATCAGCATAAAGATGCTACTTTACATTTTCAACTGAAGTTTCTTTTAACCTAAAAATAAACCACCTGAAGTTTAGGTTTCTTTCAAATCCAGCTGAATGTGGAGTAATGTGACAACCCTGATTATTTTAGCTCTTATTTGTAATATTCATTATTTTAACTACTTATTCCTCAGTAGGGTCATGGGGAGCAGGTGTCTTAACTCCAGCAGTCACCTGGGGACACACTCACTCACACCTAGGCACAATTTATCAAATTAACCTATCATGCATGTTTTTGGTTTGTGGGAGGAATAAAACCCACAGATGAATGAGGAGAACATGCTAACTCCACAAATTCAAATTTCTGAGACAACAGCTCCACCAAGTGTGCCATCATGCATTTGTGATATTTATTATTTCTTTTAATTTCAGAAAAGAGCATACAAGAGCTATGCCAAGGCATTGCCAGGTTTAAAGAAGATTGGAATTAGCTCTGTGCTGCTCCGTAAGATCATCGGCTCCCTGGAAGTCGGCTGCGGAGTGGTGCTAACTTTAGTACCAGGCCGGCCGAAGGATGTGGCCAACTTCTTGCTGTTGCTGGTCATGCTGGCTGTCCTGTTTTTCCATCAGCTAGTAGGAGACCCTCTGAAACGGTATGCTCATGCTCTGGTTTTTGGTATTCTGCTCACCTGCCGACTGCTTATTGCCCGCCAGAGTGATGATCGTCCAGAGCGGGAAGACAGCAGAGAGGAACAGCACATCAACGATCAGGAAAGAAACAAGGTCAAGCAATCTTAGGGTGCTCTTTCACCTTGACCCAGGCAGCAGTGAAGGAAACCTGCACTTCTTTGGACTGTAGATTTTTAAGGGAAACACGTCGAATAATGATCCCTTAAGTACATCTCATGTCTTGTCCAGCTGACTGATTACTTTCTTCTTTTCATCTGCACATTTTACTGTGAAGCTAAAATCCTGTCTTGACATATCTGTGGACAATCTTGCCTGTGTATCGCACCATGTGATCCAGTTTGTTTATTTCAGTCCCACACTGTGTAAATGTTTGTGATTTCACTGAAGCAGGATTTTATTTAATTTTTTTCAGTTTTGTTTGAGAATGCTGTTTTCCATGGTTGTATTTGTAGCTTGTTTTTATACTATAAGTAGGAAACACTTTAATTCGTTTGAAGCATGCTTAAATTGGTTTAGAGAAGATAAATCAAGAAAGAGCAGTGTTTAGAGGATTTTATACATATCCTCATCCTTTTGGTAGCAGCGTTAAAAAGAGTACATTACTGGATGACTACTCTCTTTTTTTCAAATGTCATTAGATTTTTTGGGGGGATTTTTACATTTTAAAAATAAGCTAATTATTTTATTTCATATCATCTTGGTCATCACAGTTTTTCTTTTAGGTATACAGAAAAGGCAGCAGCTGTTGCTGCCCTTTACAATAGAACTAACCAAAAGTACTTTATTCTCTGTTAGGAGATTTATTCTTCTGTAACTCACTGAAGTCTTAAACTTCACATGCATGTTTTAATTTTTCATCTCTAAATAATTTGATAGGCATTTCTACTGGCATTGTAAAGGCTGTTAATATTTCTGTAAATGATGTACTTAAAATAAAACACTGGAGCTGACACTGGTTCTTTCATTAGCACTGCTCTCTGGTTTGAATTAGATTTTTGAATTTATGATTTCTATTTGACCAAATACATATGTTTGGGTTCAGATGTAGTTCCACACAATTAAGAGTAACCACAGAAACACTTCAACTAGTGTTTCCTTATACTGGACAAATAGCGACAACTGCTCACAGTAGGATCAGTGATTGCTAAAATTATACTGTTGGCAGAGCTATCCAGTCATTCTCTAAACGTGGATATTAGTTTTCTTAAAAGAGCTTTAAAGGTACAAACGCCTGCTGTTACAAATATCTGACCGGCACTGCCCCCTCTGGGTATTTTGAGTATGATTCTTACGGCATCATTGTATGCAACATGCAGCTTATTCATGCTGCTTTGATTGTAGGATGACCAGTTGGGCTGTGGAAGCCTTAGAAGCATCAATAAAAACACTTAAAGACTGAAGAATTTCTATTTCTATACCAGTTAACCATTTCTTTTAAGTGCGTATATACACGTGTCAGTACCATATTTTGGCTTAAAGCCAAACTGATTATCCAAGGAACTGAGCTGCACAGCGATTCTATCAAATATGATTCTTTCTAAAACTTTAGATAAAACACTGGCTAGTGCAATCGGCCTATAGTTATCCATACTGGTCACCTTCCCAGATTTGTTCTTAATTACTGGGACAAGCAGAATTGCCATAATTGAGTCTGGTAGTATGCCATAAATCATAAACCCTGTAAAACAAAGAGCTAAAAGGGGAGCTAGTCATTGGCTAGCATATTTCAAATGTTCTGCACTAATGTGATCCAGACCACTAGCTAGTTTGTGAATAGCTTCATGCACCTCATGGGTCGTTAAACATATAGATTCATCGTTAATTACAGAGCCATCCTCATACCGATCACTTTTTAAACAAGTGAACAATGCATAATAATGTTGTCTCCATAATGCTGCAATATTATCTTCCCCAGAAACACCTTCAACAGTACCTAGTAGAGATGATTTGCAATTATTAATTGTTTTTACATCATTACTCATAAATTTCCTGGCCATAGAATCTGCCGTCGTGATCTGCTCATTTTTTGATATAAAACGAAACAGCATACTTATATCTGGCATTTGCACGTTTTTTTCTGTTCAAATTCCAGACCTTGCTTAGGTCTCCCAATCATATCCCAAAGTTTAAAAGCTACATGTGCTTCATCTTGATACATGTAGTGAAACAAGTATATTAAAGTAGAGAAAACTATAGTTTTAGAAGTTTCTTTTTCCACCTGATTTCAACCAGTAGATAATTCTGCAGTATTTATGTATATATATATATATATATATATATATATATATATATATATATATATATATATATATATATATATATATATATATATGTGTGTGTGTGTGTGTGTGTGTTTAGTTTCTCTGGCCGCGCTCCAAAGTAGGGCACCAAGAAGTTGCTTGCCAATCGCCATAAATCAATACAGAGAAGATAAATATTTGACATTGACAAGTCGCCGCAAAAGCACCATAATACGGTTAAAATTAATAAGAATCATAACAGGCTGAACGGGACCAGGGATGGATACCATGGATACCCATATCCACTCAGCAGCCGAAGAACAAAGAAACTACAACTCCCATGAAGCATCCGAGCGGAAGCGCGATACTGCGCAAGCGCAGGGCAAACGGTCGCGCGGAAGAATTTAATTTTTGAATGTACGCAGGCTGAGAAAAGCCATGTTTTGAAAATTTTAGCAATGTAGACATGGCAGCATCGTCAGACTCATCGGAATCAGACCAGTTGCGTCCAAGTGACCAGTCTGTGTCCTGTCGGTCCGGCAACAGGAGTATGAGAGTCGCAGAAAACGAGAGAAGGAAAAAGGCGGAGGAGCCGTTTGTTCTGGCCCTGAAATACTTCTCTGACGGTAAGGCTGGGACAAGCATCTCGGGTCGATAGAACGGTGGAAGTATGCAATGCTACAGTCCTTAACACGACTTTGAACATTTAGGCGCAAATAAGAGAGGCTAGGAATAAACAAAGGAACTTTAGAAAACGTAGAACTATTAAAAACATTCCGCCGTAGTCTGTAAGCAACCGGCCTACTGCTAAGCTAGTTGGAGGAGGACCGAGACTAGCAGTAGAATAGAGCTGTTGTGGTCCTGAAGCGGTGGGAACATGGCCCAGGGGTCACCAGTCTTTGATGACTACCCTTCTAAAACTTTAAGCTGTTTTTTTTAATCTAACACATCTGTTTAAGTCACTGAGTGATTTCCAGACTAATGCACTGATTAAATCATTGGCTTCAGGGGTGTGCGGGAGCAACAAACTTGTAAAACGTTTTGAATGGAGCTGGTGACCCCTGAAAAAACAACAACTGTAATATGTGATATACCAGAGATTTGTTAAGGCTAAACTCTCTCAATGTGAAGGGAAAAAATAAGATTTGAAATTATAATCAGCACCGTTTGCTTCAATAAACTGTAACTTAAATTGTCTAAGTAACCTGAAAATTATGTATTGTTTATAAGTATTCTGAAAAATGCCTATTCATACTGTCTATTCAAATCAACTCAAGTTTATTTGTTTAGCCCTTAAAGTGCAGCTATGTTGCCCAAAGTGCTCAGCATCGATATATCAAAACTGTAAAATATAAGCAGGTAATTCAAAACATAATAAAACACGATAAACAATACAATAAAAATCAGGCATAAGAAATGGTAAAAAGCAAAAAAAAAGTTGATATAGACATTTATTTTACAAATTACTCACAGGATCAAAAGTCAATTTCACTGTACCCAAATTGTATCTCACCATCCAAACCCTAAGTGATAAAGGTGTCATGCTGTAAACCATGATGTATTGATGAGAAAAATGGAAAAATATGGTTTCAGGGGTATAGTATTGGACTGGATAAAAAGTTATTTATCAAATAGACAACAATACGTGCAAATAAATCAACATAAATCAGGACTAAGACAGATACAATGTGGGGTGCCTCAAGGATCAGTCTTAGGACCTAAACTATTCATAATGTACATAAATGACATTTGTAGGGTTTCACAAGTTTTGAAGTTTGTATTGTTTGCAGATGACACAAATGTTTTTTGCTCGGGGGTGGAATTGCAACAGGTCCTGGATGTGGTCACACAGGAAATAAATAAATTAAAAAAATGGTTTGATGTAAATAAACTGTCACTAAATTTAGAGAAAACAAAATTTATGTTGTTTGGTAATGAAAGAAGACACAATGAATTAGATATAGTAATTAATAATGTAAAAATTGAGAGAGTATATGAAATAAAATTTCTTGGGGTGGTCATAGACAGCAGAATCTGTTGGAAGCCACACATCAAATATGTTAGGGGGAAGCTTGCACGGGGCATTGCTTTATTGGGGAAAGCTAAGTATATTTTTAATCAGAAAGCACTTTATATGTTATACAATACGATGCTAATGCCATATTTGAGCTATTGTGTAGAGGTCTGGGGAAACACGTACAAAAGTCATTTACAGACATTAACAACAATGCAGAAAAGGGCTATCAGATTAATAACAAATGCAGGATATTTGGATCACACAAATGAACTTTTTATTAAAACACGGATAATGAAGTTCCAGGACTTGGTTAAATACAAAACAGCACAAATAATGTATAAAGTAAGAAATAAATTAATGCCTGATAAAATACAGAAACTGTTCACAGAGAGAGAAGGAGGATATAACCTGAGAGGAACACTAAACTTAAAGATACATAAGTTTAGAACAACATTAAAACAGATGTGTATCACAATAATTGGGGTTAAATTATGGAACAATTTAGAAGAAGAAATTAAAGTAAGTACAAATATAAATGTGTTTAAAATGAATTATAAAAAACATATTCTGAACAAGTATATAGTAGAAAATAGATGATTTATGTGAGTGTCCTTTATTCTAAGGAAAAGTAAATTGTATCAATTGTAAAAAGATGTTTTTTTTTTCTTTTGTTGTTTTTTTTCCATATAATTTGGTGGTTTTTGGTGACTTGTACCATTTTGTTTGTTTTAATGTCGGTTTTGTGTTAGATTTAGTAAACAAGTAAAAATTACTTGTATAAAGGGGTAGGGACATATAAGTTTCCACTTCAGCCTACTCCTTTTCAAACACAGAAGAAGGGATGATATGTATTTTTTCTGTTTGTGGTATTTTTTTAAAAAAATGTATGTTTTCTTTGTTTGAAATAAACTAAACTAAAAAAAAAAAAAAAAAAATTCTTGCCTTCTGCTGCAGTTCAGACAGGCACCCCTGTCACCGGAAATGATGAGTTTGAGAAGAACCTGGTGCTGGTTGAGAGGGTGGCCTACAGCAATGGACTCTCCCCTGAAGCCATTTCTATCATGCTGGAGTTTGCCATGAGCCTTCGCATGGGTGAGGCTGTTACTGAGAATCTGCTGAGTGGGGTTTGTTTTTGCTTGGAATGTTAGCACAAGCATAATAACTCTAGATAAAGCCATCTTTAACTTTTAATTTCAGATTCTTATGTTTTGTTTAGGATTCAGATATGTTCAGATAATGTTATGTTGTTGTGATGGGCAGCCAGCTACTTGGAGCCAGTTAAATCCTTTACTGACTTTCTGTTGTTTATTTGTTTTTTGGCTGCAGGGTCTAGTCCATGTGTGCGGGTGCTAAAGTGTCTGCTTCCTTCATCCGTGGTACCACAGGAAGCTGTTGTTCGAGGGGTAGTTTGGCTTAATGTTGGCAAAATGCCAATCACCACACAGGTTTGTGAACTTTTGTTTTTTCTCTGTTTAAATGTGAAATCTTGCATACACATCCTCTTTTGTTTCCATGTAATAATTCATGACCTATTAAACATAAATGATGTACTTAACAGAAAAAACGCTATTTTTTAAAATTATTTCTGATTATAATCGGTCACCCTGAGTTTTTCATGCAGGTTGAACATGAAAATATTCTCCTACACCTATCTCCTGCATCAGCTTCTGATAGAAAATAGACAGTGAAACTCTTAAGATTAGAAAAGCCTGACGGATCTACGTCACACTGTCACTTAACGTTCATCGACTCATCCATCTTGACTCAAAGTGGGGAAGGCTGTATTATTTTTTTTGGTTTATTTTTTTGATAAATGATAAATGACGCTTGCTTGTATAGCGCCTTTCAAAGTCAGAGGACTCCAAACGGCTTTACATTACAGTGTATCATTCATCCATTCACACACACACTCACACATTGGTGATGAGCTACAATGTAGCCACAGCTGCGCTGGTGTACACTGACAGTCAAGGCTGCCGAGCACATGCACCATTGGTCACTCTGACCACCACAAGTGGGCAAGGAGGGTGAAGTGCCTTACCCAAGGACACAACACCAGAATTCACTGCCTGGATCAATCCTACAACCCTCTGATTACTGGACAACCCGCTCTTCCTCCTGAGCTACTGCTGCCTCTAATAGATATACTGCATGATTTTGTCTACAATAAGAAAGAGATACAAGGGGAAGCGAGCTGGCACGCTTGTTAACCTCTGCAGACGCCCCTACCGCTATATGGGGTCTTTTTCTCTAATGTGTGCTCACTCAGCAACAAAATGGACCAAATTACACTGCTGATGAAAAGAAATGGAGACTTCTCTTCATTCTATGCCTTGTGCTTCATGGCGACATAGCTTTGTGAGAAGATACTGAATGGCACGCTCCAGCTGGATGGTTTCCAATTCCTCCACGCGGATCGCAACAGTGATCTATCTGGCAAAACTAAAGGTGGTGTCTATTTTTACGATTTCTAACTGGGCTGCAGCTATCGAATATTTTTGTAATCGAGTACTCTAATAAATTACCCTTTTGCGTTTTGTAAACCATTATATCAAATAGCATGTTATAAAATATGAAAGACCTCTTGAAATGAGAAAGCAATTGCCAGTTATTCAAGTTTTATTCAAAATTAGTTTTCAAAACTTCAGCACTTCAACTTTACTTTACAGTAAACAAATGCGAGCGGCTGCGGCCCAAACAGCACCAGAACCGTTCATGGCGCAAACATGGTTCGCCAGCTGTTTCCCTATTAACACACGTCCATTTTAATTTCTACACTTTTTTGTCTCACACTAACAAGGATTGTCGAAAGCATGTTTGCCGTGGTTATGTCAAATTATACTGACCACAAAACATTTATTTACTTTCTTTCGTTTTCCTCCACCTCTCATAAATACCTGTGTCCTCCTGCAGCAATCCTGAGGGACAACGGACATCAATAACAACACAGTAAAAGGTCTGACGTGTTGTAAAAACTGCCATTTTTAGCACATTTTAAGACCGACGTGTTGCTACCAGACGTGCGATGTGAGCTGAAACTAAGTGCTACAAATGAAAAAGTCACACAGTGTCTGCAGAATATATAGAAATACAGGCTAAAATGCATCATCTTGTAGAGGCTCAGAGTCCGCTTGCAGAAGTGACATTTACATGTAGATGTTTCCTGGTCAGCTTGCAGCATCGAGGAATGTGGTGGTGTGGTAGGCTAAATCCATTTTACAGTGTTTACACTGGAGTACGTTTTCCGCCTTACGACGTGAAAAATGGTCCCACACCTTTGGCATTTTGTGTCTTTTTCGCTCTCCACCGGGGTCCACATTGTCCGCCATGGCTTAAGAGAAAGTTAAGTTACATTCGCTACTCGCGTGTGCATTCAGTGCAGTGTGTATGTGCGTCACTTATTTCGGTCCGGGTGAAACTTCAACCCGGGTGATTGCAAAGCCATGAATTAATTAAACATGAATTAAATGAAGCCTCGAGGCAGAGAATTTGACTCGAGGATTTTTTGTACTCGAATTATTCAAGGTACTCGAGGAATCGTTTCAGCCCTAATTTCTAATGTGACTAATAGGGCAGGGCAATATGGCCAAAAATATTTATCACGATATATATATGAAAATTTGCGATAACGATATAACTGACGATATGACTGATGCGAGACAAAGTACTTTACAAATTAACAACTTTATTAGTGCAAAGAACCCACCAATATATTTTCATTTAAGCAGCAGTTTTTACATGCATCAAAACTACATTAAAATGTTTGTGCAAATGGGCTGAATATCCTCCTGAGCATAACCATTGGTAATATCTCATAACTTAAAGTGTTGCTTTGCAACATAAAACTCAAACTCTTGAGTAAAAAAAAAAATACATAAAAAAACAACATGGATAAAGTGCCCTTTTCAAGTTTTAAGATTTTTTGTCAGAAACACCAACATGTTCACAGATGTGGGCTTAAGGGAGGATCGTAGACAAGTTACAACGTTTCCACCTGTACTGAACAACCTTTCAGATGCAGAGCTAGTTGCTGGAATGCAGAGGTACTTCCTAGCTAATCTGCTGATGTTGGGAAAGTTTACCGTGTGAACCTTCCACCACAAAAGAGGATCACACTCACTGTCTGCTGGTGGACTATTCACATAACTGCTCAGTTCAGATAGCAACCTTTCTGCAGTTACATCTGTCTTGCCACTAACAGGTCCCTTCAAAAAGCTCCCGAGACTCTTTTTTGGCTTTTTAGCAGCTCCCTGACGTGTTTGGTCTCCAGCAGATGTGGGAAGTGTTTCTGAAACACCTGTGGCTGTGCTACCCTGGTGTGACACAAGATGCTCTAGTTCACTCATGACCTGAACTTTGATGGCTTCGCTCTCACTCTCACTGAAATATTCTGTGCGAAAACGTGGATCAAGTAGAGAAGCCATGTTAATAAGCCTCTCTGTGACGCTGTCTTTGTAGCTTTTGTTCATGTAGTCAAGTATTGCTGTTTTGATGTCTTTGGTCAGCGGTGTGTCACTCTCTTTTACTTTTAACAGGTCGTTGTTAAACATCTGAAGAACAGGCTTAACACATGAAATGGTCACATACTCCAGCAGAAAAAGCATCTGTAAACTCTAGAAGTGGACTCAATGCAGCGCTGACTGAGTCAAGCACCTGAATGTCTTGCCATGTCAACATGAGGTGCCTTGTGGTTTTATCAGCAGCTAAAACCTGTGTTATAGCCTTTTCTTGTTCCAGCAGTCGCTGGATCATTCTCTGCTTTGAGCCCCAACGAGTGCAACATTCAGTTATGAGTTTGTGTTCTGGTAGGCCCAGTTCTTTTTGGGCAGCCTGCAGAGCACGCTGGCGCTTCCAGCTGTGACCAAAGGCACCAACAATCTTCTTTCCCACTCCAACTGCTCGATCAATCCTTTGGTCCTTCACACTTCTTTCTAAAAAAGACAAATTTAAAGGAAAACGGTTAATTGCTCAACACCAATATTAATGCAGTGTGGAATGTGTGACATTTAAGTTTTATGTATAACACACACACACACACACACACACCTTAAAATGTCTTACAGCATAAATGTGCACATCCAGCCTTCCTGTTCATTTTTAAAGACATCTAAAGATTAATAATATAAACATTGCTATCATTTAAACTAATGCAAGAAATGCTTAATCTGACATTCTAAGCAATTTACCTATGGCAATGTGCAGGCGATGTCCGAAGCATGAAAGTCTGGTCCAGTTGTTGAGTGCGACAGCCTTCACAACGTTGGCCCCGCTTTCTGTCGTCACACACACCTATTTTTCCTCCTGAAGATTCCACGAGCTGAGGAACTCTTTTAGGCCTTTGGCTATGTTTTCCCCGGTATGGTCCTCGGGGAAAAAACTTGTTTCAAGGCACTTGTTCTTTAGCTTCCAGTCTTTGTCCACGTAGTGTATTGTGAGGCTCATGTAGGGGTCTGATGTTCGGCTTGACCACATGTCCGTGGTGGACGCAAAAAACTCCACAGACGATAATGCATTTGCCACCTCAGTACGAACCTCTTCATATAAAGCAGGCAAAGCGACTTTAGAGAAGTATTTCTTGGTGGGCAGCTTGTAGCGTGAATCAAACGTTTTAAGCATCTTTGTGAAACCTTCCTTTTCCACACTCTGAATGGGCATCATATCCCTGGCTAAACAATGCGTTACTGCATTAGTTAGTTCTCCCCAACGTTTGCTACTTTTGTCATACGGGGTGCAGCTATTTATAGCTGTTCCGATTGTTTGTTGAGCCAGCTTCTTTGGTCTTACCGCCACACTTGTTGAAGGGGACGCATCTTCGCGTGCTTTAACAGCTTTGTTGTACTCCAAAAAGTGCTTCTGCTTCAAATGATGAAATAAGTTTGTGGTGTTTCCTCCCTTCGCCACGACGGCCCGCTTGCATGTTCTACAAAAAATTGTGCTTTGTTGGGTATCTGACGGGCGGAAACCGAACCAGTTCCACACCACTGAAGTAGCACCTTTTTTAAAAACAAATTCTGTTTCATTCAACGAGCCGCTTTCGCCCTTCTCCTCCGTCGTCGCCATGCTTTTTCCGCCATGTGCGTATGAGCGTATGAAAACAAAGGCACTGCGCAAGCGCGTTTTAACCATTCTATCCTATCGCGCTATTTCATTTTCTTATCATTGCCCAGCATTGTACCGGTATCACCGTGAAAGGTATGATATGGCTCAGCCCTAGTGACTAACTGTGAGCACTGCTCTCCTGCTGTATTTGGTTGTGGACCAAATACTGTGAATGGAACAAAAACATCCTAGACTCCCTGATAATTGTCCTTGGTGACTTAAATGAGGATAACCTGAGCAAAGAACTGCCAAATGACAATCGATTGCCCAACCAGAGAAGAGAGCATTCTGGATCACTGTTACGCTACAATAAGTGTAGCATATCGCACAGTGCCACATGCTGCTCTTGGACTATCAGGCCACGTCATGATTCTTCTGATCCCGCATGGGCAGTGGAGATATTGTGGACGTCAGGATAGTGTCAGCTCCACTACCCCCCATTACCATGATGGACACTACCATCTCAACCGTGGACTCTTTCCACTTCACTGGGACCACCATCACCCATGACTTTGTGTGGGAGAAGTCCATCAACTCCCTCATCAAAATGGTCTAGCAGAAGATGTTCTTCCTGAAGAAATTCAGTATGCCACCCATGATGATGGTCCAGTTTCATATGACCTTCATTGAGTCAATCCTCACCTCCATCACTGAGTCTAGTGCTGGAGCCACTACCAGGGAAAAACGCAGACTACAGCGTATTGTGCATTGAACCGGTTGAACCACTCCCTTCAGACAGGAGCCACTAAAGCAGCTTCTTTCCCTCTGCTGTAGGACTTCTCAACACCAAATAATTATTGCAACCAGACATATCTGCACTAGGCACCCATGTTTCTTATGTTTTCTTTCCTGCGTTGATTATCTTTGAAGCATCCTATTTCCACTTGCCTCATTTGTACAGGTCATTCTCAAAAAATTTGCATATTGTGATAAAGTTCATTATTGTCTGTAATGTACTGATAAACATTAGACTTTCATATATATTAGATTCATTACACACAACTGAAGTAGTTCAAGCCTTTTATTGTTTCTAATGTTGATGATTTTGGCATACAGCTCATGAAAACCCAAAATTCCTATCTAAAAAAATTAGCATATTTCATCCGACCAATAAAAGAAAAGTGTTTTAATACAAAAAAGTCAACCTTCAAATAATTATGTTCAGTTATGCACTCAATACTTGTTCGGGAATCCTTTTGCAGAATTGACTGCGTCAATGCGGCGTGGCATGGAGGCCATCAGCCTGTGGCACTGCTGAGGTGTTATGGAGGCCCAGGATTAGGGCTGGGGGTAAACGATTATTTTTAAAACGATTATTCTGACGATTATTTTATCGAATAGTCGACTATTCTAATGACTATTTAGAAAATTAATCTAATGATTATTTTTCTATTGCACAATTAACAAAAACCAGAAAATCTCAAATAAATTCCTCAAAAAAATGGATAAATTCTTACTGTAAGAGAATAAACACTACAGGCCTTCCATTTTGTATAACACTGCTTTTATTGTGTTGCGGTTGGTTATGTTCTGGTGACGTGTAGAACTTGGGAGTGCAGGCTGCTGCCTGAGAGGTGGTAGAAGATGGAGTGTCTCCATGCTGCTTTGTTTTGGTCACTTATGTGCGTGAGGCGAGTGGTCTTACGGGTTAAACCAAACTCAGGTGATATTTTACACTAAACCAAAAACCCACAACACTCTAAATGTAATAAAAGGGAGATCTGCACCACAAAAAAGATGATCTCTAAACCAAAACGTAACAGCTTATCCCAACGCAAGAAGCTGTTAGCGAAGATGCTAACAGTAGCTTTACCAACATTAAGTTCAAGTTACCAAGTTTAAATAAACCAAAAACACCCAGCAGCAAACAGACCAGCACGGAGGAGAGACTGCTACCACCAAAACAGCTCTCCTCATGTCTGAAAGAAGCTCCTTAATGAAGGGAGAAGCGCTCCCGGTGATTTTCTACATCTGCGATAGACACGAAGCAGCGCATCTGACCCCGGAAGTTGTTGCCCTTTGCCGGGAGACGAAGGGGCAAAACAGGAAAATAATCTAGTAGTGGACGGACGTTGTTCCGGGTCTTCGGTATTTGGCGGAGATGTTAGTGAAGGCGGAGAAGAGGGCGAACTAGAGGAAAAACAGGCAGATTCCTCCTCTATTTACAAACTCCTGGGGATGCAACAAGTGGGCGCGGTGCGTCGACTTCCGGATCTGACGTCGACAAATTTTTAGAATCGAGTCATCGACTTCATCGAGGCTTCGCTACAGCCCTACCCAGGATGCTTCGATAGCGGCCTTAAGCTCATCCAGAGTGTTGGGTCTTGCGCCTCTCAACTTTCTCTTCACAATATCCCACAGATTCTCTATGGGGTTCAGGTCAGGAGAGTTGGCAGGCCAGTTGAGCACAGTAATCCCATGGTCAGTAAACCACCATTTACCAGTGGTTTTGGCACTGTAAGCAGGTGCCAGGTCGTGCTGAAAATGAAATCTTCATCTCCATAAAGCTTTCAGCAGATGGCACCCCAGACCATCACTGACTGTGGGTACTTGACACTGGACTTCAGACATTTTGGCATTTCCCTCTACCCAGTCTTCCTCCAGACTCTGGCACCTTGATTTCCGAATGACATGCAAAATTAGCTTTCATCTGAAAAAAGTACTTTGGACCACTGAGCAACAGTCCAGTGCTGCTTCTCTGTAGCCCAGGTCAGGCGCCTCTGCCACTGTTTCTGGTTGAAAAGTGGCTTGACCTGGGAAACGCGGCACCTGTAGTCCATTTCCTGCACACGCCTGTACACGGTGGTTCTGGATGTTTCTACTCCAGACTCAGTCCACTGCTTCCGTAGGTCCCCCAAGGTCTGGAATCGGTCCTTCTCCACAATCTTACTCCGGGTCCGGTCACCTCTTCTCGTTGTGCAGCGCTTTCTGCCGCACGTTTTCAGACATCCCACTGAGGTGCCTTGATACAGCACTCTGGGAACAGCCTATTCATTCAGAAAGTTATTTCTGTGTCTTACCCTCTTGCTTGAGGGTGTCAATGATGGCCTTCTGGACAGGTCGGCAGTCTTACCCATGATTGCGGTTTTGAGTAATGAACCAGGCTGGGAGTTTTTAAAAGCCTCAGGAATCTTTTGCAGGTGTTTATTCAGATGATTAGGTTAATAGCTCATTTAGAGAACCTTTTTGAGATAGGAGTTTTGGGTTTTCATGAGCTGTATGCCAAAATCATCAATATTAGAAACAATAAAAGGCTTGAACTACTTCAGTTGTGTGTAATGAATCTAATATATATGAAAGTCTAATGTTTATCAGTACATTACAGACAATAATGAACTTTATCACAATATGCACATTTTTTGAGAAGGACCTGTATGTTTGCACCATTCCACCAAAACAAATCCAAGTAATGTGACACACTCACTTACTTGGCAGTAAATGTGATTCTAAAATGTATTAAAAATATAGAGTAAAGTACCACTTTAAAAAATGTTGTCAGGGTGTTCAGATGAAATACCTAAAATGGCATTTGTTAATGTAATGCATCCTGATTGATCTGTTTTTACTTTAATGTTTCTGTGTAGGTTCTTTTCCTAAAATGGGTCTTGACTGTATTTGACATGATTGATGCAAAAGACCAACTGCGAGCTGTTTATGGCTTCATTTTCAGCTTCATCACAGAGGAAAATCTGGTATGTGTCTAGTTTTCTCTCCAATTCAAATGTTTTGTAATTGTTTTAATATACTTCAGCTGCTTTTTGAAAATTGGAAACATTAAAGCTGTATGAGTTGTTACAATAGTAAAACTTGTTTCTCAGCTTGTAGAAGTTTTTGTCATTTTTGTTAAAATATTCATTTTTTTAATCCCAGTGTTCAAAAGCATAAGCACTTTTGAAAGCCCTCGGTTTAAAAATATATTTTTCTTGGCATTTGATTTAAAAACTGAGACTTTTAAGTTTTGTAATATCTTGTGTTCATCAGTATGACATTAAACATTGAAACCTGTAAACAACAAATGCTCATGCTGACTTGGGATTCACTAAACTAAACTAAAATCACACACACGGTGCAATAATTCTAAAAGAATAGGAGTAAAAAGTCATCTGAACATATTTTTAATAAGCAGGTTTATTAAATCATAACATTTTTCTGTCCATCTGACTTATAAACTTTATTAATTTATGTTTTTGGAGTTGTCTCAGAGTACTTTTGCATGTTAGAATAGCTGTGTTTAATGTTTGAGTGTGTGCATGTTTTAAATCGTAAAGCAAAGCTTATGATGCGATGATGTTTCCAGTGCCCGTTTGTTTGCCATCTGCTTTACCTTTTGACCAGAAAGGAAAGTGGTAAGTCAAATACCTTAAATATAAACCACATTAATACATATATACAGATTCCCATAATGTTTTTATTTGCGTTTATTTCTACCACCTCAGTGTTAACAGTAAGTTTTCTTTTCCTTACAGTGCGTGCCTTCAGAGTGAGGAAGCTGATGGACCTACAGTCCAAACTGGTAAACACCCTCATGCTTATTTCATCTGGAGTTTTTTTATCAGAACTTTATTAATCCCTCAGGAAGGTTCCTCTGGGATGTTCAGTTTCTAGCAGTTGCACACTGACAGAAAAACAGGTTTCAACAAGGGGAAGACCAGTGCACCGGGCCGATATGTACTATTTTTTCAATATCTATATGTACATTTTGGATAAACATTTGCATAATAAATATTGTGAAATATTTTTTCCAACAAAAATTTATTTTTATTTTGAATATTTAATACTTGGTCAGTTAATTAATTTGTTTGATTCACCTTAGAAGTCTCATTTTAACATTGATCAAGGCATAAAATTTAAAATTTAACAATTGGCTAAATTCAGAGTTCAAAAACTGAATCAGTAATCTTGTGCATCAACTTTTATTAGTGACATTTTTCATGCAAACGGGGCTGAAAATGTCTAGATATTATCCATGAAAATATGTCTTAAAAATTCTGCAGCACATATCAGCTGACCTTGACCTCTACACATCAGTATCGGCAAAAGAAAAAAAACATTGGTTGACCTCTAGTTTCAACAATAAATCTGTGGAAATAAACTACAATAAACTACAATAATAATATTCCTTTTAGTGGCAATTATGTGCATTTTGTTTTACATTTTTTTGTGTGTCTTTCACATTGCTTCAACATTTCTGCACCATTGCATTCTTTGTTGGTAAGAACGTGAAAGTAAATGAATTCTTTCTGATTGTCTTAAACAGCTGACCCTGGAGTAACTCGTGACTCTATTCAGTTCTTAGTGGTCCTGAGGGCCCATTTATTGCACATTTTGATCTGATTTCAATGCAAATTCATTTAAGGTTGTGAAGACTTTAAACTACATCACACAGGCAAGGTTAGCGCAGGGGCGCTGTGATCACATTTTCTTATTCTTGCAATGAATAAATACACTCCGGGAAAGTAAACTGGAGTATATGCGTGTTTTTATTAATGTGCCGATGACGTCTTTTTCCTTCAGGGAAGGCAACCATTCCTCCTGCATCTGCTCTCACTTTATAAAGTCTTCTCACCCGAGCTGGTGGCCCTTTCTGTTCCATCACGAGTTAAGGTTTGTGCTATTTGGTTAAAGCTTTTTAAAACTTTTACTTTAAAGGTGCATTAAAGAGCAAGTCAGCCCCTACCAGACTTTTACTCCACCCCCACATCCTTTTTGAAAAATGTGACCAATGCTGTTGCCTGGCAGACAAATACACACACACACAGACTCACAACAACATTGTGACATCATAATGTACCAGTTAACATCATAGTTAGTGCAGTTTTTACCCGAAGGGGGCACAGTACTCAGTTTTAGGCAGAATATTTAAGTACTAAGATGTACTAAAGTGCCCAATTATTGACTACACGTGTCTACAGCACGATTAGACACTCATTTATGTAGTTTATCAGCAAACAACGTTGATTTGGGGATGACTTGCGCTTTAAGTAATAATTCTCCATTGAAATAATCACTAAGTTTCCCTCTGGGATTAATAAAGTATCTTTGAATTTGAATTGAAATAGTCTTTTATGTAGGGGTGAGAATTGATAAGTTTTTATCTATCAATGGTATTGTCGATTCAGTTTATCGATCCAATTCCTTATCAATTCATAGTAGTTCAATAGGTGGCAAAAATCTAATAGCACACAGCTCCTGCATTATATCTGTTGGTTTATTTATGATAAATAATCAGTTGTACTTGTGTCGGTTGAAAGTATCTTTCCAAATGTTCTCCTTCATGCTCCCTGTTAAGGCAGAGTCATCTTGTTTGGTGTAGTGTTGCTGCAGCTTTATCAGACTGGGAAAATCTCACCACAGATCTGTTTTTAGTCACTGGAGTCTGCTAGTGTGGAGGTGTGTATATGAGGTAAATGACGCTAACATGATGGGCAGTGTTAGTTGATTAGTTACCTGCAGTATTAACAGGAGAGGACGTGCGAACGTCACCGCTGCTGCTGTGTTGAAATTCACTAGTCCAGAGCGGGTCAGAACACGTCTTTTGTGCCCAAATTCTTTTTCCTTTCCTCGATGAAATGTCTACTATGCAAATATTGCAAGTTACCCTGTTGTATTGCTCTGTTGTAAAGTATAACCAAACTTTCGAGCGTTTGTGCCACTAAAGCCTGATTTATGCTTCTCCGTCTGCGTCAGTGCGGAGACACGCAACGCCATTATCCGTCCTTGCGTAGGGCACGCAAGTACGTACGGAGTCGAGCCCACTTTTTTAAACATCCGTCGAACGAGACGGATTACACAAGCTTGTGATTGGTCAGGACGCCGCTGTTGTTTACGGCACCGCCATTGCAAAGAGAGCCGAGTTTAACTAGCGGCAGACATGGAGAAGCTTGAAGAATATCTCGCGAAAAAACTCTAAAAATATGAACGTTTAATTCTCCCGCGACTGGAGGAGTGAAAAGATGCGCAGCAAGCATTTTATTTGTGGACGGAAATGACAGGAAATGTGGGTTTAGAGGTGGGGAGCGCATGAAGCGGTGGGAGAATGAGAGACAAATATGTCCGTGTTAAAAGTCTCTTATAAACACAAAAAACACAATATAAACACACGATCTTGGACCGATACATGACAGGATACCACAGAACAGCGCTACGCCCTCTGTGGTCCTGCTGGGCAATTGCTTTGCAACACTCCTCAGGAGACGGAGAAGTAAAAGAGCAAAACGCTTCCGTCAATCCGTGCATGTCTGTTCCTTGCGGAGCTGACGGAGAAGCATAAACCAGGCTTTAGACGCCATGTTTCATGCCTCCGTAAGCTATTCAGCGTGCGTGGTGACGTCATTCACGCTGACTGTAATTGATAAGGGGGGAATCGTATGCAAAAGTGCTGAACGGTTCCTAGGAATTGAAACGATGGAAATCGGTTCTCTACCAGACCCGGTTTTTGATTCCCAGCCCTAATGTCATGACCTTACTTGAAGACAGTTTACATTGAAACAGATTTCTTTCTTAGCCGGCTGGGTGGAGGCCACTTTTCATCCAATTAAGTAGGCCGAAATAAGACGTAGTCATTGTATACAATTTGTGAGCCCGCAAGGTTGTTAAGCCTTCTACACAAACACTGCCCCGGAATTTGTAATTTAACACTGACTGGATTGTGGACAGAATGAAAGCAAGTAAACAGGAGCGACCCAGATGTTATTTCTCGTACCCCTAAGGAGCCACGGGTTCTTTATGTTTTACTCTAATATTGGGCAAAGAAGGCTAGAGGCTAACGTTGAGCTAACCATGCTAATAATGAATTAAAAGAAAATGGTCAGCTCTAAAAATGTCACAAGCTATTTTTTTTCAATTACCAACAATTCAATATTATAGTGAAATGTGTTTATCTACTATCAGCTTACTGAGTATGACTGACTCAATGATGATGATCAAATAAAGCTTTGATTTGATTTGATTTGACTCGTCTCCACTTGTCATCCAGAATCTTCTGGACCTGGCAACAGTTGATCAGAGCAGACTTGTTTGTTTTGGTGAATGGACTATAAATCAATCAATCAATCAAAGCTTGATTTATAAAGCGCCTTCCGCAACCCTGTCAGGAAGCCCAAGGGGCTGAACATGGTACAGTAGAAAGTTAAATATATTGAATAAATCAGAAAATAAAAGCAATTCAAATTACAGATTACAAATTACAAAAAAAGGTGAAACATTCTAGTACAGGACAAATGGGTAAAACAAGGGATAGAGTGAACCAATGAAAACTGTGAAATAAAATCAACATAAAAGAGGGCCAAATTCAAACATGTTCAGGAAACGCCAAGCGGAGGAGGTGTGTTTTAGGCGACTCTTGAAGACTGGCAGAGAGGGGGACAGCCTAACGGAGAGTGGCAACTGGTTCCAGAGTGGCGGTGCTAGGACTGAGAAAGCCCGGTCCCCGCGAGTACAACACCTAGAACGAGGGACAGCGAGCAAGCCTTGGTCAGAGGAGCGCAGAGCGCGTGATGGGGAATGTCTGTTTAGGAGCGTGGCTAGATAGGGGGGAGCACCACCCTGGAAGAAATTATAAACAAAGACGAGGAGTTTGAAGTGTGAACGATAGCAAACTGGAAGCCAGTGCAGAGAGGCCAGAACCGGACTGATGTGGTCCCGTTTCCTGGTCCCAGTCAGGAACCTGGCAGCGCTGTTCTGCACAACCTGTAGGCGACGCAGTGATGACTGACACAACCCTGCATAGAGAGAGTTGCAGTAATCAAGCCTAGAAATTACAAATGCATGCAGCACCCGCTCCAGGTGGGCTCTCGGCAGCATATGCTTGATTTTTGCAAGGCGTCTCAGGTGAAAGAAACTGGACCGGATCACAGAGTTGATGTGAGCATCAAATTTAAGTCCAGCATCAATTTTCACCCCCAAACTGGTAACAACTGGTTTTGAGTAGGGAGAAAGAGGGCCAAGATCAACATAACGATCCACATTCCTGCTGTTGGGGTGAAAAACAATGAGCTCTGTCTTTCCCTCATTCAGATGCAGAACGTTGGCCATTAGCCAAGGCTTCACCTCATTAATGCAGGACACAAAGGACTGGATAGAGTGACCTTTCTCCTGACACAATGGAGAGTAAATCTGGCAATCGTCAGCATAGAGATGGAATGATAGGCCATGTTGACGAAAGATTGACCCCAGAGGTAGCAGATGAATGGCAAACAAAAGAGGACCAAGGATCGACCCCTGCGGGACCCCCCAGCGGAGCCCCTCCCAAGAAGAAAAAACATCACCCAGTTTAACACAGAATGTCCTGTTGTGGAGATACGATCTAAACCAGTCCAGAGCTGACCCTTTGATCCCAACCCATCGTTCCAAGCGATCGAGTAGAATCGCGTGGTCAGCTGTGTCGAAGGCTGCCGTCAGGTCTAACAACAGAAGCACCACAGATGTACCCTGATCTAGTGATAGATAGATGTCATTTAGGACCCTCAGTAGAGCCGACTCTGTGCTATGGCCAGACCTGAACCCTGATTGGAAAACCTCAAATAGATCAGAGTCAGCTAAAGCCGGGCGTACACTGTGCGACTTTTTCACTTTTTTGAGCCGATTTTCCAGTCGTGCGAGAATCCACGACATCGGGGCGAGTTTTGCGCCGAGCGGTCGTGTAGTGTACAGGGGGTTACGAGAGGCGATTAACACCACGTGACCAGCTACCGATCATCAGTCGTGAGGTCGCACGCACTTCTGGCGTGTTTAATATTTTGCTCGTCCCTCATGAGGGTATCACACTGTTGAAGCGGCGCTGCGACCCAAAAAGTATCAGAACCGCTCACGGCGCATGCACAATCCTGCATCAACGCCGCTCGTTCGCTATTTCCCTAATAAGACACGCTGTTCGTTTTTGTTTCTACACGTTTTTTTTATTCACAAAGATTGTCAAGAAAGTGTGTTTGTCGTGTTCATGTCAAATTAAACTGATCACAAAACACAGATTTACTTTCTTTATTTCGTTTTCCTCATCCAACTCCCATAAATCCCTGTGTGTCCTCCTGCAGCACTCCCGAAGGACAACAGGCAAAACAAGACAAAAAAGTCTGACGTGTTGTGTAAAAACTGCTATTTTTAGCATATGTTTTAGGGCCGACGTGTTGCTACCAGACGTACAGTGTGAGCAGTCAGGTCGCATCCGAGAACTGGGTCGTGCAGTGTGAGCGCCTGACTCGTGAGATCTGCCCTGCGAGGAATTCGTACAGTGTGAGCTGAAGCTGAATGCTACGAGTGAATAAGTCGCACAGTGTACGCCCGGCTTAAATGTGAGACCAGCTGCTGATAAACGACTTTCTCAAGCAGTTTTGATGTAAAAGGCAGGGTAGAGATAGGCCTGTAATTTTCTATCACAGAGACATCAGCACCAGGTTTCTTCAGGGTCGGCCGAACAACTGCTGCTTTCAAAGCAGCTGGGACCACACCTGTGCTGAGGCTCCCATTGATAATCTGACCAAGTGAAGGGCCAAGACACAGAAAGGCAGCCTCCAGAGGTGGATGTTAAAATCACCAAAAAATAGGACATAGTCATATTTTAGGATGCAGTCTGCCACAAGATCACAGAAATCATTAAGGAAGTTAGAGTCAGTCTTTGGAGGGCGATAAATATAGTAGACTATAGTATCCACATTTGACCACAAGACGTCTCTTACTTTTAGCATCTTTAAAATGGTAATTCATGTTTTGTTTTCTTACAGAGTGGATTCAAGAACCATAACTCTCCCTGGAAAGTAGCACTGGCTGCTGTTCAGAGGAGGAATGGTGCACAGATTGCGTCCGCTATCAGTCTAGCCCTGCCTGTGGGAGATAGGACCAGCTCTAGGAAAAGGGTGTGCTACCATTTTCTCTAACCACCACTTAGATTAAAAATCCCTCCTGCTGCACTTCTGTTATTGCTGCTGTTTTCTTGTCTTTTTGCAGTTTCTTCATCTTGATGCTTTGTATGTTTTCTCCTAACAGTGTGTCTGTTGTGGTGATGAATGATAAGATTGTACATTTAACCAAAGCACAAACCTAGCTATTAATTATTGAGGAATTGTCATTATTTCCCAGAAATTGGAGTACTGTGAAGAAAATTGTCTGTATACATGAGACATTTGGTTGGCAATGTTTGCAATTAGTCAAAAACAACTTTGTTGAACCTCCTGGATTTATTATCAAGATAATTGGTGAATAATTTTAAGTTGGTTGTATTTTTACTGCAGATAGACATGAGTAGTAATTATTCATTCACTCACTCAGTTATAAAAAACAAACACACTAACGTTCTTATTTAACAATTTTCAATATACGTTTCTAATATTGTGTTTAAAAGGAGAGTAATTTGTTCATTTTTATTAATTTGTTTTTTTCCCCCTCATAATCTTAAACAAGACCAGTAGCCCATTAACCAACTGAAGAACTTCAAAGTTCATTAATAAATAAACTATTTACTATCCGACTTTATTTACAGTGTGTATAATAAATGTTTTCTTTCACAGAAACACGGCCACTTGCAGATTCCAGTGTTGACTTCTGTCACCAACAAACAGCCTCACACCGAGCAAAACTCAAGGAAAAAGTTGATCCCTCTGGTGCAGATCCAGTCCTTTGATCAGTTGTTGAAAACAATGCACCAAATAGAGGTAATTCCTCCTTGAATTTGCCCGAGTTCTGCATTTGTCCAGGGCTGCTTCAGGGGTACCTTATTTACTTATTCACTCACTTTATTATTTTTTATTTAAATTTTTCAAACCCACAGTTAAACATTTATATTTTAGGGGAAAGCAAATGCATATTTAAATGCTAAATAGTTTATAATGATTTTATTTTATTTATGTTGAGGTATTTTTATGATTTTTGTAATTTTTAGAAACTTATTTAAAGACCAAGTTCACTATTGAATGATTCTTACCTGTTATTTTTTAAATACAACTGGTCACTCTTGAGTTTTACATGCAGGTTGAAAGTGAACTAGTTTTCTTAATGCATTAGCCACCGATAGAAAATAGACAGGGAAATGGGATTTCATGAACTCACCCAACCTAGCTTGCAACGGGGAAGGTTGTTGTTGTTTTTGCATCCAGGAGACAGCAGAAGACTTCTCGGCTAGTGGAAGCTAACCGTTAGCATTAGCAGCTCCACCACACAACATCAACGTTACAAAGTAAACTGTAGAGTCACGTTGCTGTTAGCCAATCAGAGGCGAGATGGTTGAATATAAGGAATTCTATAAGGACTCTAAATCCTGCTGTATTCTGCTGCCCTCTGCTGTGGCTAATTTCTGGTTTTTGAAACATGAGTGAGATATCTTTGTTCCATCAGAGATTGACTCCCAAAATATTTATTCATACTAGACTACTGCACATGTATTGAAAAAAAAGAGTGAAGTTTTAAAATTATTTTTGATGTCCTGACAAGGATTTCTATACAAAACAAAACGAACAAATGCACCAATGGCCTTGAAACAGCATCACTGGCTGCTCATTTTTGCACTCAACATTAAATGTTTGCGTGTTTAGTTTCTTAATGTGCAGGGTTAGGGTTTTTGAGAAAGCACTGAACTGATTTAACACTTCTGTGCCCTCCCAGTTCTGAAACCTGAGATTATAGGCACACCACTAAAAAGATCTCTAACATAAAGGAAATGCAAATATACTTAGTTTTGGTTTTGCGTTTATGTTGCACAATATTGTGTTTGTCCCTGATGAGAAGAGCTGCCACAAAAAAAAGTGATTTCTGTTTTTCACGTTTTCAGAAACCACCTGTGGCAACAAATAAAGCGTTATTTTTCTTTCTAAATAAACCTTTTCATAAATATGCACATTAAAGTCATTTTAAAACAAGAAAAGTTAATCTCAAAAGATTGCTCAAATGAAAAACTAAAGGATCTTGGTTGCTAATGTGCATAAATTACAAAAACCTTTCCAGCTTGTGAATCTATTTCAGTTGTAATGTCATTTTAGGACCACAAGATGGCAGTGTGTCACTGTCCTGACCGATTTTGTTGTGTACAGGGCTTCCCCTGACCAACCCAAAGCACAGGTGGCCCTTGGCTGTAATTATTTTATTAGATTAGGGCATGAACCTGCTTTACGAGCAGCACACTTGTTATTTGCCATATTGTGCTTTTTTTATTTTCTTTTTTCACCGATTTCATTAGTGATTTATCTGCCCTCTGTGAGTAATGCAAGCACAAGACCTGAGATATGTCTCAGTAAAGCATTAGTCTAAATAATAAAATGTCTCCATAAATGCCCATTTGCCCTGAAGATTCAGTGACCTGAAAAAATAAAATAAGCCATTTTAAATGGCTTTCAATGTTTTATACTTCACGCCACATAAATTCACCTCTTTCTTTGGCCACAAAGCCAACAGGAACGATGAGGCTTTTAAAGGGGATTAGACCAAGTTGTTTATTGCCAGGAAAGCTTTTTTCCCCCCACTATTCATTACAAAAAAGAGGAGTGCAATCAGTCGTCCTTATGAAACCATTCCTGCAAGATTACTAACAAGAAGATCATAGATATTTTTTTTCCAGTTCCTGCAATTTTAGTGTCAAAAAAACAAATGATCATCACAGATTATACATAGTTATTGCAGATCTGAATTGTGTTCATTTGGCCTCTCCTTATCACTCTGATTTATTTATTATGCTGATGAAGGCGTCTTGTTGAGCGGCAGCTGCTTGTGCGCAGTAAGAGACCGTATAAACCATCCACAAGTCATGTCCCAGTTCTGCCATTTATGAGATTATTGGATACTGGAGAACTGGCACAGAACTTGTTGGCCTCCCCATGTGATGACACGATGTGAGCTTATGTTTATTCTTCTGCAGCAGGTAAACGGGTTGGTTTGAAAGTAAAATGAGGCTGTCACTCTGAGCTTTTAATGCATCTTAATGTGAAGTTTGACTTTGAGCATACTTATGAAATGGTATCGATGTGCCAATTTTCGCCCACAAATGGTAAATGGCCTGTATTTAATAAAGGACCTTCTAGAGTCCTGGTACCCCCCCTTAAGGCACTTTACAGCACAGTCACTCACCCATTCACACACATTTACACCCCGGTGGTGATGAGCTACATTGTAGCCACAGTCTGCCGTACAAAGGCGCCACCGGTTCCTCCGACCACCACTAGCAGGCAAGGTGGGTTAAGTGTATTGCCCAAGGACACAACAGACCAAGCGGGGCTCGAGCCTGCAACCTTCCGAATACAGGGCGAGCTTTTAACCATCACTGTCGTCCAATAGTTGATTATTTAAGCTCTTTCTAATTGAAACACATTTTATGTGTTTTTCCCACCAGCTGCCTGCTCAGATGGGATCTCTTTTGGGTTCTGGTCTGGCTCTTCAGTACCTGGACTGTGTGCAGGAGGAGTCTGCCCTCCTGCGCCTCAACTTCTGGCTGGGCTGTGCGCTCCAAGAAGGTAAATGTAGGTGGGGGGAGCTACAAACCTGTTGTGACATCCTCTGTGGAAAGGGTGCTACCTAAGCAGAGCTGACCTTGAGTTGAACTGCAGCGTATTATTTAGTTGGCACATCAAAAGAGTTTTTTTTTAATACCTTGGGGATGTGACTGTGTGCTGCTATAATCTGTTGTCTTCTTTTTATTTTTCTCAGTATTTGAGTGACTAAATACCTTTTAATTTTTTTGTTAATTTTTCTTTAGAATTTTTATTTGGCAGCGATGACGATGCCGCCCACATACCAGAAGAAACGCTCCAGTTTTTGGATAAGTTACTGTCTGCTCAGCACTTCCTCCAAGTGAGCCACACGTTAAAATAACTTCTGCTGTGAATGTAATTGCAAAATAAAATCAACATAGAAATTTACTACAAACTGATTTTCCACCAGGAGGGGTTTTCCAGCTCTGATGCTTTTCTGTACAAATTCCTCAATGTTTGGGATGGCTCGCTCATGCGTCCACAGATCCTTGGCCTCTTGAGCAACATACCAGTCATCCCTGCCTTGCGTGAGTCCCCCCCTCCCACACACACACACACACACACACACACACACACACACACACACACACACACACACACACACACACACACACACCTTCATTATTTAGTCTTTTTCCTTAATGTTATCTGAATGGCTTTTGGTGGAATAGTTTACCTCGTTGACTTTCTCAGTAACACTAAATAAGTTCTGTTTCTCTGTCTTGCTGGTTGAGAGCGGAACTAAAAGTGTCATAAACAACCCTGTAGCCGCCTGCTGTAGCTAGCTTGTAAATATTGTGAGTTGTTGATGGGGTGTCTGACCCCAGGTAGAATAGTTGCTGTGTGAAGCAGCAGCAGCAGCTAATGGGGATCCAATAAATAAATAAACAATGAACTAATGCTAAAGCCTAGTTTATACTTCTCCGTCAGCAACTTTGCACTCACACGTGGTGTTGGGAGTAGGGCTGCAACAACGAATCGATAAATTCGATGAAAATCGATTACTAAAAGCGTTGGCAACGAATTGCGTCATCGATTCGTTGTGTCGCACAACTTTTCCAAAAGCCCCCCCCCCCTTCCCGCCCGCCGTTGCACGCAGACCAGAGCAAGTCAGATCAGCGCGAGGGAGAGCCGGCAGATCAGCGCGAGGGAGAGCCACAGATCAGCGCGAGGGAGAATCGCAGATCAGCGCGAGGGAGAGCCGGCAGATCAGCGTGAGGGAGAGCCGGTACCGGCAGATCAGCGCGAGGGAGAGCCGGCAGACTTGCGCTGCTGCGAACCGGTTCCGCATTGTCGCGCAGCGATCCAGGCAGCTTCTTCCAGCGCATGGTCCATTCTCAAAGTGGCGCAACCAAAAAACTATAATTAGCACACGATCGTTCATGTCCGCACATGTTCTCTATTTTCTGTCTTATTTGTGCCTGAAGCTCGCTACTGTGGAACTCATCACCTGTGCTGTGGTGATGTCACCTCACGCAGCATCGAAAACGCGCTCTGCGCTTTTCGGTCAGGAGATTCCTTTGATCTGCTCAAAAGTAACTGATGAGGTGAAAAGGTAAGAATCCAGGCAACAGATTTTCTGGAGAATTATGAGGAGATGCAGGAAGATGAGAGACAGACAGGACAGGAAAATAGTTAAATAAAAACAAGAAAACAAAACAAAGTGTTGAAAAGTCAAATGTAGGTAGATTTATCTCCATTACACGTTTTTACCAGTAAAAAACAAGTTATACACATGTAATATTTATACATCTGATACAATTCAGATCACCTTCAAAACTCAGTCACACACCCAGGGCCGTTTCAAGACATTTTGGGGGCCAAGGCAAAATGCCCCCCCCCCCAATAACTGGGCTCCCCAGAAGCCTCTGTGTAATTCATGCCCTCTCCAGTAGTGTTAGTTATATGGTGTTTATAAAAGCCCCTCAGACATTACTGACATGTTCTATTATTATCAGATGAAAAACTAAATTATCAGACATGCTGTCTCATCTGCTTCTTTTATAAACTTGCAAAAAGTAACAAAACCATTTGAAAGCCACTATTTGTGGATTCTCTGAAAGTTTCCATGGAGTGTGTGACAACTTATTTTTTCATTGATCCTATCGTCTAATCTCACAGCTGAAACAAGCATCCTTAATAATCTGTGCACAGGAAGCTTACCGATGCTGTAGTAAAACAAAAGGTATAGTAATTTATTATTAATAAAACCTTGTTGCAACACTAAAGCAGAAAAATTAGATTTTGCATTAAATATGCAAAATATTTACATATGAATTGTTTTAGAGCCCTTTAATTGGCAGAATCTGATATTAATTTAGTTCTTACAAAAAATGGGTCCCAGCATGGTTTGTGTGGCGTTGCCATAGTGTGACGTCATAGGCACAGATCCCCTGTCCTCTTGTTTGGAAATGGAAATATGGTCACCCTACATTAAACAAACTGTCCACCCGGGCTTTTGCGCTGCACAGAGAATCTTCGCTGCCTACGACTGAACGTCAGTTGAGAGTCAGTCTCATGCAGACTGACCAATGAAGAGAAGGCCTCAAGTTAAGACCCTCTCCTCATTGGTCAGTCCACACGAGGTGGGTCAAAGGTTACTCTGGGCGGGTTACGTGTTGTCAGGCATTCAAGTATTGAGTATATTTACTGCATATCACAGTAAAATATTCTGTATGTGACCACATTATGGTGATCCTTGGGTCGTGATGATGGAGCCCTTGAATATTGTTGCCCAGGGTACAACAAAGTGTTAATCTGGCCCTGGTTCCGCCGTCACATTCCCGCAGAAACTGGTTGATCACACCGGGGCCAGACTACTAGCATGTGGTTTTACAACCACAATGTCCTCAGAAGCAAAAACGCTTTTAAAAGGGAGGGAGGAGTCCTAACTGTTGCTGCAGGTGTGTTGTGTGAGAGTGCAGTTATATACTGGTTAATATATTTTTGGGTTCAGTTGCTTTCATGTGGCCTAATGTGAGTCTATTTGGGATCATTGGAATGATCAGCAGCATTTCTTGATGTGACTTTATGGCAGTTGCCCAGGGCATCATCGCAAGGAGGATGGCATTCATTTACTTTTGTTTTATTTGGTATTTTTTCAGTCATTTTTGGAAATAGTGATCAATTTTGATTAATTCACAGCCTATGTTTAATTACATTTAAAATAAATGTCAACAGATGAGATCAAACAAAACAGATGAGAATTGCCCTTAAGCTGTTTAACTTGGACCAAGCATTTTAGGTCACAGATAGATGTAGCTTAGGGTCTCTGTCTATACACCTTATAAGACAATTTAGGTGATGGCATGTTGTTTTTCTGCTATTGAACTGTTTTCTAATAATGTTGTGTTAAATAAAGTGAAGGAAGGAGAGAAATAACGTTTCCCAAGCAGTTTTTAAAAATTTCCCCATGTAATCCGATTAATCGATTAATCGTGTCGAGACCCCATCCGATTAATCGATTATCCAAATAATCGTTTGTTGCAGCCCTAGTTGGGAGACATTTTCCTTTTCACTTCCCCACTGTCAGAGTTGTGAAGCAGGACAGCAGCGGGTGCGGTGCTTTTCTGGTGCATTAACACAAGCCAACTGATACCAAATAAGCCACAAAGTAAAAAGATCCACACAGTTGGAAGTCCTGTTGCAACAAAGCCAGGTCACCATCAGTCTGTGATTTCATAGCCTCCTTAAGCTTCCTCAGTCAAGTGTAGGATGCATTGATGTGCACACTGGTTTTAGCTAATTGCTTCTCCTCCAAAGACATTACTCTCTTACTTTTACTCCCAGGCTGAGCTACGATGGCAACAAAAATGCAACATTCTTCTCATTCTTATTCTTGTGCTATTTATTGGCGGTCGGCTAGCCGAAAAAGCTAACTGCTGGCTTTCATATTGGCTATCGGCAGAGTAAACAGCAGTTGCCACAAAGCAGGTAGAGGTCCCGCTAGTGCACCTGTCTCTCAAAACTGTTGAGTGCAGTTTCTGGTCAGCAGAGGGCGACAGAGTGCTGTCCAATGTGAATCTGCTCAAGAACCACTGAAACCATTTTGAAAGTAATAACTGTTAAAAACTCTTTAGTGTTGCTTTAAGGGACAGTGAAGGACATCACGTCCTACTTATAGGAACTTTCTCATAACTGTTTAAAAGAAGAAGTCTCCTTTAATAAATGCGGTTTCATCATTCCTGGTCTCTGTTGTTTCATATTTAAGAGGCAGTCGTAACTGTGTCTTTCTCCCTCCTGTTCAGATTTAGGAAAGCTTCTGTTCGAGCCGCTCACACAGCTTTTCTTCACATCCTCGCTGTTTTTCAAGGTGGGTTTTTCCTTCCGCTGAATGACAAAAACCTTCTGCGCTAATTTAATAAGAAAGTCTTTAGCAGGGTTTGTCTTGTGTTCCTAATGTTCTCCTCCCAGTCGGTGTGTGTGAGGTTCTGTGAGCTCAGTGCTTCTCCTCCCTGTCTGCAGTGTGGCCTGATGGAGTGTTTAAACAGCATGCTGGTGAAGTGGCTGACCTGGCATTCAGTCTACGCTCTGGAGGACGACCTGGACATCAGTCTCGGCAGCCACACCTCTGTGTGAGTGTCACATCTGTTTGTTCTGAGCAGACAAAACGGTCAGCGCTGGAACAGTTTAGAGTTGAACAATTTCGCACACATGGTGTCAAATGGCAGGTGAAATCTTCTTCCTCTGTGTTCTGGTTGAGTCTAGTAGGGGGATCCATTAGTTTACTAACATTTTAATCACTGATGAGAGACTGTGCTTATGTAAATATATGTATAAAGTGTTGTGTGTGTGTGTGTGTGTGTGTGTGTGTGTGTGTAACGTTCTGTCCCCTCTGTCACAGAAACATGACCTTGTCAGGGTTCAAGGATTCTGTGATGGAGCTGGTTCACTTCGTGGGTCGGTTAGCGTCCGTGGGTCTGCAGCTCGAAGGCTGCCACACTCTGCTGCTAAGCTTTGTCCTGGATTTCTATGGAACTGTAAGTAAGCTGAAGCTGCTAACTGAGGTAGCCTCGTGCGTTTCAGTCCAGCTGCAAAACTTTTATTCGGACTTTAATTTTGAGATTCTTTTATCACACAAATGAGTTATTTTCTTAATTCATGTGGATGTTTTACAGCATCATGTATGTAGCCTTAATGGTTTAAGGCAGAAGGAATGTTGAATCACAAGGAGGTCCTCAAAGTGATATTTTGGGCATTTGGAGGCATGTTTTTGTGCAAACGTGATACATTGTCACCATCTTATCATAGATTATTATTATTATTATTATTATTTAATATTATTATTAGTCTTATTGTAGATAAAAACAGCTTCTGTTTAGAGCAGGGGTCACAAGCCTCTGTGAAGCTGAGAGCTACTTCATGGGTTTTGAGCCCATACAGGGCTACCAGGTTAAACTAAACAAACATTTTAATGTTTTTAAAGAAACTTGTAGTTTTTAAATCTATATTATGCATTTGTGATTTTTGTATTTGATCACTTGTGGTATTTAAAGAAAAGGCTCTATGGGTATACAGGGTTTCCCCCAGCGCTTTATAAGCCTGGCCACCCGCCAGGCTAAGCGTCATGCCCGGGGACAACAGCCTAAGCAGAGAAGCCCAGACTTCCCTTTCTTCAGCCACTTGGGCCAGCTCCTCCAGGGAAATCCTAATGCGTTCCCTGGCCAGTGTAGAAAGTCTCTCCAGCGGGTCTACTCCGAGCCCCTCCCGGATGACCGAGCTTCTCACCTTCTCTCTTAAGGGAGAGCCCAGACACCCTGCGGAGAAAACTTATTTCAGCCGCTTGTATTTGCGATCTCGTTCTTTCGATCACTACCCTAAGCTCGTGACCATAGGTGAGGGTAGGAACATAGATCCACCGGCTAATCAAGAGCTTTGCCTTCTGGCTCAGCTCTTTCTTCACCACGACAGGCCGGTACAACGTCCACATCACTGCAGACACGGCACCAATCCGCCTATCGATCTCACGCTCCATCTAGCCCTCACTCGTGAACGAGACCCCGAGATTCTTAAACTCCTCCACTTGAGGCAGGACCTCATCCCTGAACTGGAGAAGGCCTTCCTCCTCTTTCCGACTCAGTGTGAAATGTAATGCCAGTGTAAAGGTTTTTAAAATGTGATGTTTTAGAGACTGAAGCTGTTTTAGGACAGCAGCAATACATTCTGGTGTTAGCTGTGCTACTGGATATTAGCTTTTAGCTCATCACTGTTTGGGTACAAATCTATTTCTCCAAGCTGAAGCTCCTCTTTATTAAAACATTCACAACTGCTACACATGAACACACCAGGCTCTATCCAAAAAGTCCATTTAGGAACTCGTCCCCTCACTTATTGCACACTTTAAAAACAGAAGAATAACTGGTAGCACTATAAGAGTTTTTACGGAAACGTACAAACAGCTTTTATAATTAAATGCTGTATATTACTCAAACTTCTTGTGTGTGTGTGTGGTAACTGTTTGGTTTTCTCCACCCCCCAGGTGTGTGATACTTTCTTGAAGTTTGGTCTTCCCCTTGTGGTGATGCCGCCAGCTGGAGTTTTTTACCCAGCATTCTTTGCTGCTGACCCCATCAGCTTGGACAGACTGGCCCACATCATGCACAGGTGGGGGCTCCTTACTCCTCCACCAGTGTAACCACCACATTGCGTGGAGTTGGAGATCTGCTCAAGGACCAGAGACAAACTCATTTACCTGCTGATGTTTGATGATAATAATAATAATAATAATAATAATAAAATTAATATAGTAATGAGAGTCCTGAAGAGACACCAATGAGCTCTCCTTTGCTGTCTTTCTTTCTTTTTCTGGAGTGAAATGAGAGCTATTTTTTAACTGTGGGCCGTAATAACACTAATCTTTTACATCAGTGGCAAATTGATGACACCCTGGGGTGCTGAAATATTTCAACTAAAACCAAGTGCAAAAGTACATAAAAAGAAAAATTGGATTTTAATTGTGTCATATATTTTTGACAGACTCTAGAGAATTAGCAATTTTATGTTGATTTATGATAATCAAACCCTGAATATTTTTTGGTCAGATACCGTGTGAACCTCACATCAGCCAAGAATCAAGAGAAGGCAACAGAGGTACGGACTTTGTGTGTGTGTGTGTAAATGATACTAGATGGTAAAACTTGTTCGTCATATCAGTAGTTGTAATGTTTTGGTTGATTTGTGTATTTAATACTTCATAGATCTACATCTGCAGCTTCTTTTTGTTGTCTCGGTGTCTGCCCTGCTCTTTAAAAGCCAATAAACATCCGTATAAACCTGATGGCCATAATCTCCTTTCAGATGTTTATTTTAGTACAGCTGCTATTGCCAGCTCTGACTTTTTAAGTAGATTTACCTCTCAGGCTCTCCTGAAAATGCCACTGGTTCATTTCGTTAGGAAAAAAAATGAACTAGGCAAATGGCACACAAATGAATCACGACAACAAATATTAGATGCCAGTGGGTTTACTTTTTCCTCTCTCCTTTCTCTTCGTCCCTTTTGGTTTCCTCTCCCCCGAAGGCCTTTCACATCAGCCGCCAGACTTTCCAGGAGTTCAACCACTACCTGGTGTTCATGGTGAACTGCCTGTGGAACTCCAGGATGTTTAAGCCGGGGATGGACGTACGGCTGAGTGAGGAGCTGCTCCAAAAGAGCAACGTCCCACAGTACTGGACGAGGTTCGACCTCATCCACCACCCCGCCTTAATGAGCTATGCGTTTGATTTCCACCAGAAGGTGAGTGCGATTTGTGTTTAAGGTAGGAGTCACAGGATGGATCAGTGTGCAGCTTTGTTCTTTTTTAGCGGAGCCACAGGCGAGACAGATTAGCATTAATGTATCTTTCACATTTGACACATTAATACTGAATGATGCTCCATTATTAATGGCATCTCTATAAGATATCACGTTTAATTCGACCACCTGCAGCGTTGAGCAGCGATCTGGTGAGATTTCTGTCAATGAATATTAATGTTCTCCTTTTATCAGTGTTGGCCAGGCAGAAAGGAAATGGACCTCAATTCTATAAAGGTACCAGAGGCCTTATTTTCATTTTTTATCCATAATTAACTCAAATTAAACTCATCAGACAGGCTTCATAGATTGAGATGTCTTCGACATGTCATTGTGTGTTTCAGCACTTGAAGCCTTGGAGTTGGTACCTGCAGTATCTGTTCAATCAGGGCTTTGACGGCCTTAAAGACTTTTTTCAGAGTAACATCAACCAACAGCTGACAGTGGATGACGGGCAGGGCGACTCACAGCAGAGGTAGTCGCAGGATGCACGAGAAAAATGATCTTCAGGATTTTGCAAAGACTTGTATATATTTTGTCTCCTGTTTTAAACTTTCCATTTTTGTGTATGTATTTTATTTCTGTGCTGAAGCACCTTTTGCTTTCTGCTACAACAGTTATGCTTTTGTAAATAAACTCTTTTTGAATAGAGCTGTGTTTATGGCATGAACAGTAGAGTGAAGTTACTGAGTTCAGTCCAGTTTAGAAATAATTCAGAAAAGAAAGCCACAATTCAGCTTCTCCAGAAACCCCAACGTGCACAAGTTGATGGCACACTATTCAATTTTTTTTTTTCATATTTTTAAATCGTTTTCTGGAGCCAGTATGTGCTAAAGTGATCCTTTACACCAAGGCTAATCAATTCTGGGCCTCCAGATCCATATCACGCACGCTTTAGTGGTTTCTCTGGTCCAACACACTAGATTCAGTGGTTGAATCACCTGTGCAGCAGCTCATCAGGCTCTGCAGAAGCCTGTTAATCACCTGTTGATTGACATCAGGTGTGTCGAAGCAGGGTTAAACTCAAAACTTACTGGATACTGGCCCTCGAGGCCCTCAAATTGAATAGCCCTGTTTTACAGGATTAATGAAAAGTCACTGAAACCCCCACCACCCCCTGTGGCCACAATATCGCACTTGCAACTTCAGACTGGCTGACATGTCTGGCGCTGCAGTCTGCTTCCAGAACATTTCCTGTATGTTTTAGATCATGAACGCAGCTGATTTGTTTAATTTAGTGACGAATCACTCCTGTAGTCACAAGGAAGGCTGAGGAGACGTTTCAGCTGTTAGATTAAGGTGTTTAAAAAGACTAACGCACAGCAATGAAATATGTTTTACTTTTGGTTCTACTAAAGACACAAGGGGGTGGTAAAAGCAAGCCCAAATACCAAGTGTACCTTGAATTTTCAAACTTGTTTTTTTATTTATTTTTTAATTAATTTTTTGTGAAAGGCAGCATGGATTCAGAGAGCAGGAAACTGTAAATCTTATGTTCATTAATGCAAATAAAACTTCGTTTTGAAATAAATAAAATGGGCACCATCTGGATGTAACATGTGCCTTACTCCGTGTACATATGTCTGGTAAATCACAGCAGGCTGTGTGTCGTGTGTTGGCTTTTATCCTCTGGCTTTCATCATCCGTGCCCTTTGGAGAGATCTTGTTAACTTTAATACAAGTTCACATTATTTCACTCTAACCTGAAAAATGATTACTGGATACATGTGTTTACAGTCTGCAACAGATGGTTTCATAACCATCCACGCAGCTAATGAGCCTTTGGTGTTTCAGATGGCCCATGATTTCATTCTTAACCACTATTAGAAAATAAATATGCAAAAATATGAGTGAAAGATAAAATGGTTATTAGGCAATGTTTTTCAGTTTTATATTGATCATAAACTCCAATAAACTTATCGGCGTGTTCTCATTTGTCCCAGAGTGACGAGGTATTTAATAAAACGCTCCTGTGACGTCATTCTAGAGGACAGATTTGGTCTTTACAACTTAGTTTGACGCCTGCTTCCTCAGCTCTGTGTCGCAGATGAAGATGCTGCTGCTGTCAACCTGAACCACATCACTTCCAGCTCTCCTCTCTTCTGAGCGGTGACTTCACTCTTCCTCCTGCTGGAGTCACAAGTTGTAATAGATCCAGCAACTGCCGGTTCCGGACCTGATGCTGAATCTGAATCCTGGAGCAGCCGCGCGCTGATGTGAGTCGGAGCCGCCGGAGCAGCGCCGCGCTGCCCCGCTCCTCTTCCTCCTCATGCCTCGACTGGGAGCAGGTTGTTCCGGCAGCGTCTTCCCCGACGCGTTCAAGTGAGCGGTGCCGGTGTTTACCCAAGCCAAATCCCCGCCGCAGGGAAGAAAAGGTAAGGCTGCTCTTAACGACTGCTTGTTATTTATTGATTGGAGCCCTGTCGGGCTCACGCTAAGGGCAGACCGGAGGAGCGCGGCGTGGCGGTCTCGCCGCCTTTAGGGCAGTCCGGCTGCACTTGGGCTACTGCTCACACTTTAACAACTGGCTTCTGGAATCGGACGGCATCCTGTGATGGATTGGGTTTGCTTCACCTTGCGGACGTGCGTGTGCGCTTTTGGAAAATCTGGACGTCTCTTGGCTGCAAGTGGACTCAGTTTCTCCTCTTTAGGCTATTATTGAGGAAACCTGCACGGAAGAGTTAGCGGAGACACTTTCAAGAGCGCACATACATCTAAAACACCACTAACGGTATTTTAATTAAATTGTTCTTGGCGTTTGGGTCTTTTCCGCCCCACCAGTTTGTCTGGGTGGAGGCTGACGTGTGATGGCAGGCTGAGGGTCTGAGCTGAATTTGAACCCGGGATGTCGCGAGTAATTATGACTCCAATTACACGCTGAGCGTCTTAAGCCCCAGACTCCTTTGAGGTCTCCACGATGCAGCATGCAGGGATGTTTTAGGGAAATATCTGGCAGGAGAAAAGGAAAGTAAATGCGTGTGCTGTAGTGGGTGTAAAATTAGGACCAGGAAGTATGTTGTCCCGCACGCACAAGTTAAAAGAAGCGTTCACCTGTCCAACTCAGTTATTTATTTATTTAATATTTGGTACTTAGATTGACAGTTATAGATTTTTTTTCTGACATGAAAGCTAGCCATGTGTTTGTTCCTTTTCTCTCTCATTAGAACTATGGTTTCATTTATGATTTAAAGAAGCAATTGGCTATGTAAGAATACAGTGAATTAATCACAAAACGTTTGTCTCATGTTTGATGGAAGGTCACATTGAACCAGATTTCATTCTCAGCCAGCTGACGGTGGTGGGGGTGGTCAATTTTTCTTCAGCTGTTTATTGCAAAGTAAAGATAAAAATGAAAGAGTGATGTACTTACAGTTCGCAGTATGTGAGTTTGTGATGTTGCCATGTCATAACTGCAGCGCTGGTATCTGTAATTCGACACCGACAGGCAAAAAGCTTCAGAGTTGTTTAAAGAATGAAGCCAGTGAACAGGAGCGACCCATTAGCTGTTTCTTGTACCTCTAAGAAGCCAGGCTGTCAGGACAAAACATCAGAGGGAGAAGAAGCAGATCCTTTGACCACAGGATGCCATTCTTAGTTCATTCTTACATATTGCACCTTTAACTCCAGGTTGTCATTGGTGCTCTCAGAAAAAAAAACAAGGAAGAAAATGTAGCCTAACTAAAGTAACTTAGTAAAAAAATACAAGTTTTGGATTTTTTACAGATAGAATCGTCTAACTCAAGTTTAGAAAGTGGTGACTCCAAGTGGGGAGCTGTGTGCCCTCCCCCTCCGTGAGACAGTGTTTGCACAATATCTTTTTAGGAATATTTTAAGGGGAGAGAAGACACACATTAAGGAGTTACAACATTTATTCCTTTATGATTGTCATTTCTTGTCCTTGTTATTGCAAAGAAGTTGTGTGAAATAAGATAACGCCTACATGTAATCATCCATCTTCCTTCCTACCTACCTACCGACCGACCGACCGTCCGTCCGTCCGTCCGTCCGTCCGTCTGGGCTGTGGAGGGATACCTACCTACTGTTTGGGCTGTGGAGGTATAGATCCAGGAGGAAACTCCAGACAGTCTTCTCCCAGCAATATATGCCTCTGCTCTTCTTGAAGGATCCAAAGGTGTTCCCATGCTAGAGAGACTAATCCCTCCAGAAACGTCTGAGTCTATCTCAAAGTCTCCTACGTGGACGTACCTTGAAAACCTTTAGAGGAAAGTGGACAGGAGGCATCTTAATCATGCTCTGCTCTTCACCTAGTCTCTAAGGCTGAACCCAGCCACCTGATGGAGGAAGCTCATTTTAGATGAAAGGGTCTTGTTTTCAGTCATGATCCACATTCTTTAGGTGGAGATGGTGGCTCAGGGGTTAGGAGGAGTTTGCTGGTTTGAACCTTCTGTCTGTGTCACTCATATCCTTGGACTAGATGCTTCACCCCCCTTGCCTGCTGGTGGTGGTTGGAGGGAGTCAGTGCTCTGCAGCCTCATCCATGTCAGTGAGCCCCAGGGCTGCTGTGGCTACACTGAAGCTCATCACCATCAGTGTGTGAATGGACAGATGGACTTATAGCACTTTGGAGTCCTCTGACTCAGAAAGGTGCTATACAGGTCATTTGTCATTTTTAACCATAAGTGAAGGCTGTATTGTGGAAGGACCAGTGTAGCAAAAGTTTTTGTCGTTTGACTCAACTCCTTCTTAAACAGATCAGAGCAACACCCTCATTACTGAAGATACCGCCCTGATCCATGCAGTCCCTTTCTTGTTCCTCGCTCCCTAACAAAACACCACAATTCCCAAACTCCAATCGACGAGAAAGAGAAACGCTCCCAACTTCAGGATCATTCCACCTGGCCTCAGATATGGAGGAGCTGACTCTCACTCCAACGTTTGGCTTTTGGGGGTGCTACCCCATGATTATCAGCAGCTCCAGCTGGCTGCTCCTTTGAAAACTTTCTGAAGGAGCCCCGGAGCTTAGAGAACACGCACTGACACTGATTGATCACTTCTTTCAGAACTTTTCTCTGGTTCTTGATTGCACATCTTTGATTTCAAGTGCTGCTATGGAGCACACCCGGTATAGGAAAAGAAATCTGCATGGCGGGTTTCATAGTGGTTAATAACGAGTAACACACTGTCGAGTCCGTGCTGCTCTTGGTAATGAGACTTGGCAGAAAGGAGTATTTCTCAAGGCTTTACTCAGTACTGAACTGTAATTGTAAGAGACTAACAGGATTACTAGAATGTTTCATTGGCACTGTGACTCTCCCGGCCTGCATGCCTTCTGGTAATTTCCTTTTTTTCTTAAGCATTCCCAGCTCTCTCCCTCAGGCTGTTTATTGCAAAGTAAAGAAAACTCCTACAGCACCGTTCCATTTCAGTGTCATTTATTTATTGTGAGGGGACAGAACAGCAGCCTCCGTGTGTTCTTTACATGAGGTGGTGGTTTGTAATACTCTGTTTTTGTAGATGAACGGTCTCTGAACCACCTCTTCACTGACACCTACTGTAATGACGTGAATGTGAAAGTCTAATTTTTAGGTCGGTTTGATTTTCTTTTTGCTGGTTTAAGTTATTCAGCCAGTATCTTACAATTACTGCCCCATTACTCTAATATTCAGACTGATTATTGCATTGACTATATTACTTCAAATAATTATTTTAGCATATGTTTAAATCACATTTTAACCACACAAGCGATTGCTGTTTCTTTTGTGACCTTTCATTTTTCTCAACACATTAGAGACTCGCATGACCCCGTCTGTGATGATTTTCTGCTGCAGAAATGTTGAATCACACTGCCTTCCATTTAGGGGTAATGTTTTTAGAGTTCTGAGTGTTAAAGGTTAAATATCTATTTTCCTTAGGTGGAGAGCTGCAATTTATATTTACTCACCCTCGATGAATACTCAGCATGCATTTATATCATTTTATTATTTGTTATGTATTAAGTAAACTGTGTCACAGATTTGTTTCAGGCCTCTAACAAAAGTAAGACAGTGATCTGAAAATTGCATTCTTTATTCAGGTCTATCTTATAGGTGTGTGTATTGGTGAAATTCTGACTATACGATACGTATCAGGACACAGCGGAGACGATACGATATGTCACGATATATTGCGATACATTCAGCCAGACGATATTAGCTCTTTTTTTTAGAATTAAGTTTTTGTAGGAAAATTCAATAAACAGTCCAGACTGATACATAACATGTTTAACATGAGGTATCTGAACCATAATTGAGAGATTTACATTTCAGTGGTGAAAACATAACTCATCGCTCACTACTGCCAACTAGTGGTCAGCATTTGAATTGCATCAAAAGAAAAGAAAATACATAAATGTTTGCATGTGAATTCTTCCAAAAATTCGATACACAACTTTTGAATATCGATATAATATTGCAGGAAAAGCTATCACGATATATTGTCCTATCGATATTTTCTTTCATCCCTACTATCTTAGGCCATTACAAATTGGAATCAGCAACTTAGCTGATGTTTTTGAAATTATTCATTATTGGAAGATTTTGCGGTATTTACAATAAAAAAACAAGATTGTTCACATCCAGCCTCACAGGAAGTTTTGCAGGATGACTGGAGGCAAACTGAGCAAACACATGGGGACAGTGGAAAGGAAAACTATTTTTTTTAACAGGAAGCAACCTCCGTCAGAACAAGAACAGGTTCACCGTTGTTACTTATGTACTGTTTGTTTTCTGATTTTGTTTTCTTTAGTTCTTCGTTGTGTGAGAGGGTTTGTTTTTACCTTTGCTGACATGTTTTAATGTCATTGCCGTCTTCGTCAGGGTAACCGCCGGATTAGAGCCCTGCACAGGCCTAAAATCTGAGCCCGTGCCCGGCCCGGCCCGAGGGTATGGAGCCCCTGCCTGACCTGGTCCCAGAAGTTTTTCAGGATTCTCTGGCCCGACCCGAGCCCGACTTTTTTTTAACCTTTCATAATGTTTTAGCATGATAGAATGCTCCACATTCTAATTATCTGTGAGAAGCATTCTGCAGTAAAAAAAAAAAAGAAAAGAAAGAAAAACAGCATTCATGCAGCTTTTTTTCTAACAGAGCATATTTTTCGAGCGGCAGATGAAATTTATGAACACTATATTAATTGGATGCGTTTGTAAATGTAATCTGCTCTGAAAATGCGCTCTTGTGCAATTAGAAAAAAAAGCAGCATTCTAATTTTCTAACTGCGAGCGCATTTTCAGAGCGGCAGATTAAATAAATGTTCCCAATTAATAAAGCGTTTGTAAATTTAATCTGCCGCTCTGAAAATGCGCTCTGCAGTTAGAAAAATCCCAGCAATGAATGCTGTATTTTTTTAACTGCAGAGCGAATTTGTTCACAGAAAAATAGAATGCTGCCGTTTTCATGAGAATAAACGAATGGTTTCTGACATCAAAGTGGACATAAAATGGCATATTAGAAAAGGGGCACATGTTTCAATCAGCAGTTTGAGAATTTGTTTTTATAAACCACACAGACCTTAACTGAGCTAACGGTGCGTGAGAAGCAGGAAGGTGCTGCTGCGTTTAAGTGTTTCAGTTTTTTTTTATGAATTCGATTAAAAATAAAGGTGCCCGGCCCGTGTCCGAGGTAATACACAGTTGTTGGCCCGAAGCCCGGCCCTTGGGCCGGGCCGACCCACAGGCCTAGGGCTTCAGTGCAGGGCTCTACGGTAGGGCTGTCGCGATTGAGGAATTCCCCCTG